TAGTTCGTCTTGGTTACATGTATGGCCTAATTTTAGAATGTACATGGAATATACTGAAAATTTTGCGCGAGTTTTCATTCGTGTGGAATATCAAACTACATTAAGAAGAGCCTTCTTTTCTGACAAACCTAATATTCAGAACGAGCCTCTCCTTGTAATCCAAGCCGAGCTCTTCGAGTCCATTGCAAGAACTCGACATAAAATGTAGAGACCTTATTTGCAGCTTCCAAACTGGCATCTTTTTTAATACTCTGCATAGAGAATTTGATCGAAATTTGTGAGAATATACCGGACTCAATTTCCTAACGCATAAATCGTTGGGAATAAGGACCTCACTAACATAATAATCTTATTATGCTTCATGTTCAAATTTTTAGGAGAAAGTTCAAGCTTATTTAGGATTTATAAAACTTAAAATTTGTTTCAGTAGCGTCTGGAGGGGCAATCGATGAGTTAAAGTTATTTTTCTGAAGCCCCACCACTGATAAGCATTTGACAAGGTTCTTTTAACTGAAAATGACAACATTGCGATCCATTCAATTAAGACGCTGTAGTTATTACGGTAAAATTATTTAAATATTAATTAACAAATCATTTCATAATTTAATAATTTATTCAATTTACATACATAATAATTCATATGTAAGCAACGTATATTACAAACAATCTAACTACATACGTATTAATCATATTAATCATTTGAAGTTCTGCAATGATGAGTAAATCGTACACATTCATGGGCGTAAAGTTGAAGGACCTGAAATACAAATCTGGTCTTGAGTCAATATGATTGGTGCCAAGTTTACCCAAACTTCCACACAAAAAAAAAGTTTTTACTGGTCATGAATTCTATTGTGTATTTATGAGAAACGATAAGTTAAAGAAGTTTTGACTAGATTAAGATGGATGGAAATGTTTTTCATATAGGGAAAACTATTCATATTTTTATATATCTAGGTGTTCTCTTGACTTTTCTCTTGAATGATTTGCATATAACTAAATATGCCCCTTTTGACCAACGTTGATTTTATTATCCAAAATTGAAAATAATAAATTTCAAGTTGATCAAAAAAATAATCATGCAGCCTCATAAATTTTGCGAGGTCTGAAGCGACACCCTGAACTGATACTAACACAAAATAAAAAAAAAAACTCAATTAAAAACACAAGTTGGAATTTGTGCTGCCTACAATATAACTGCATTATAATATAACTTGCATTATAACTGCAAAAATGCTCAACTAATATTTAATATGCTCTAGAATCGCATGATAATAATTCGCTATCAAACGTGATCATTATTTCGTGACGCGGACTTTTTTGTGCGCTTATCTCCTTATCTGCTACTAATATTTCAGACCTAATTCTACGCCAAAAATATATTTTATTTCTTACTCAATGATTGATAAGCTAACAAATTCTTTACGTGAGAATGAAACTTGGTATAACTAAACCAGCAAAACACGTGGGCGCTGTCATGAGTTCAGAGCTCCATGTGTTCGTATCGCTCACCTCATTTCGCGAAAATTGCAGTGGAAGACGAAGTCGCTTGTTCCACTTTGCCATTGACATGATCTTCACAAAGTCACGCTCCCGAACACAAAGAAAAACAAGTATTTTTCTCGGGTCAAGCGCACGAACTAAACGCNTAAAATATTCCTGCTTTATTTGTCGGTGGGAAAGAAATAGTCTTGCATGCCCCAATTTTGTTCTCGCAACAAATGAAGATCATGCAACAGCTGCGAAATGAAGATCATGCAACAGCTGCGAAATGAAGATCATGCAACCGATGCGTGTGTTCAGACGACCCATTTGGACACCGCGGCCTGTTTTCGTCTTCTTGAATTGTGGACAAAGAAAAATCATTTTCAGAATTTAAAAGGCTAGTCGGCGAGCCTTGGAGCGAGAGATGAAAATTCCGAGGCCAAAAAATGATGTAAAATTTGGCGGGTGGGGCAAGGCTGATGTTAAGTGGCCAAATAATGAAGCCTCAGTTCAGCCCCACGAGAAATACGCTCGTGAAACTTCGAACTATGCGTGCCTAACGCAATTAAAAGCACGATTAGCTCTAGGGACTTCTGTTGGGCTCAAATTAATATATTTAATCTATTATTTGTCTAGTGCCATTTGGTATTGCACTTTTTGGGTGGATGTTTCTTCAGCTGATTCAATTATTACTTTAATTCCATGCGGTGTTTTATTGTGTTTAAAACGCACCTATCACTGAGGAAATTGGATGGGTAGAGAAATATTGTCATTCATGACTTTGATGATATAATCATCGGTAATTTTTAAGCAAAGAAGAAAATTTTTATTTTCTCTTATACACATAGTATAAGAGAAAATGTTTACGTACAAGCGTACAAAGATACTCTCCCTATTCCAATGCGATCGTCCCTAGTTTATCAATATAGTTGTACGCAGCGCGCATCTGCGTATGTCGCTATGATATCACGCAATATTTATGCTAGGGTAGCAGAGCATAGAGGTAGGAGTTATAAAACAGGAAACTTATTTATGCATCCCCCTTATTCAGCCTTACAAAATTTTCAGAAAAAAGTCAAAGGGCAATGTATTAAATAGTTGTGCTGTAATAAGTAAAAGTGTAATGAAAAAACATTGATAAATTTGAATGGTTTGTAATGCCCGAGCATGCTCGATGAGAGCGGTATATCGAAACTCAAACACGCACAGGTAAACTTTTAAGCTATTCAATTCTCAGTAAATTTCAATAAAAACTGTAGGAATCCCTACCCTAGTCAGTCGTTAGCATTCTAACCTCAGAAAATGGGCGGAATTTTCAGACTGCTCACTTTACCCTACGCAGATTTTTTCGGATTTTTTCCGAGTGAAGTACACAGAGAAAAATATCAAGAATTTTACACAGTTAAATGATATCACCCAGTATTTCACTATTTGATCAATAAATATTTGATTAAATTTGCGCTCTATAAAAAAAATTGAAACAGATATGATTTTATAATTTAGAAGCATTTGCTCGAGTTTTTTTCGAAAGTAATTGGAATTTTTCGAGTCTAGTGAAGTGCAAAGCAAATCTTCAAACCTAAATTCCCAGGAAAGGAAGTTGGTTTCAAAGTCGTGTGAAAGTTGGGTAATCAGACTCCCGGAAAATTTTATGGCAAGTTCCAGAAATTTTATGGCAAGTTCTAAAAATTTTATGTCAAGTTATCGCCATTGTTTGCACTGTCACTTGCCTCCATTGAATGGGTTTTGTTCTTGTTTATTATAAAATGAATGAATATTTTCAGCAAGAGCTTTGACAATTGCAATAAACACTCGGTTGTCGATCTTAAGATAACACGTTTTATCGTTTCAAGACAGACTCATTGCTGAACACTGAGATGAATTTATTCAAATTTTAATAAAAATACATATATTCAAATCTAGTAACTTTCATTAAAGATAGCGTGAAAGTTTCACGGTAATGGGTATTGAATCAACAATCAATTGGAACATGCCAGATGGAAAATGCGAATCTGTCACTGCGAGTTAGAATTGAAATTGTAAACTTTAATTTTTTCCAAATCATTAATTATCAGTAATAATTAAAGCAGTTGTTAATAACGTAGGTGAGTAAATATTTCCTGCACATATTTTTCATGCACTTATTAAAATCTATTAATGGAACCGAAAGCGCTCTGAATTCTTCCCCTAAAAATTTTCATCACTTCAAAAATTGTCCTCCACAGCATTAGCCCGTTCTTTCGCTCATAACTTTAAATAATAAAAATACGTCATTTTAAATTAATAGTTCGTTTTAATGTCTTCACGATTCAGCAAATGAAAATTAATTATTAATTTACTCAAAAATCACATCCGTTTTATTTAATTTTCCATCACTACCGAAAGCGCTCTGAATTCTTCCCCTAAAAATTTTCATCACTTCAAAAATTGTCCTCCACAGCATTAGCCCGTTTTTTCGCTCATAACTTTAAATAATAAAAATATTCATAAGTGATACTTATATAGTTTACCGTCATTTTAAATTAATAGTTCGTTTCAATGTCTTCACGATTCAGCAAATGAAAATTATTTATTAATTTACTCAAAAATCATATACGTTTTATTTAATTTTCCATCTCACTAAAAATTATATTCGAAAAGCCATCGAAGCTCTCTATCTATGACAAAGAAGAAATCGAAAGTATTGTATGCATTTTTTAAAATCTCTTTTGAAAATTTAAATTAAAAATGTAGTAAAATTCTTACTTGGATGAGTTATTATAATGGCAAAGACGGTAATATGCTGCCTCGTGAGTTGCATAATTCAATTAAAATAAACTATTTTTATAATTATTAGAGCACCCTTAATGTGATTAGGTGGCGTTAAGGCTCTTAATCAATTATTAAGAGCATATGACGATGAAAAAATTCTGACATGATGCACTGTATTTGGTATAGCGGTTTATCAATACAAAATGTCGTGATTTCTATATGCCTAAGTGCGAAACAAAAACAATACAAATTGAGGAGGTTATGAATTACTTATGAAATAATCTTGGATGCTTAATTTAAACCTTATGTGCAGTTACGATTTATCTAACACCAATGCAGAAACTTATTTTTTCACGTCTGTGAAACTTATCTTCCTGAAAATGTTTTTGTGCAGGTACCGCGAGTTTAAATCTGTAAGTAATGAACGTGCGCGTCGTAAAAATATTGCAGTAAAGTTTCGAGTATCAAGAACTTTGCACTAGATTTACAGAATAAGAGTGATACAACTAAAAGAATGTGACTTTGAATCTCCTGAAACGAACAACTTGATTCTGAATTAAATTTTTTGGTGCGGGCAAATGAATATGTTATCTCTGAGTTAATACAAAAATTTTACTGGTATGTGCAAGTTTAATTTTGAAAGTATTCGAAATTTGGAAAGGAAATATCTCAGACTGTTTGAGAATAAATTTTATAACAATTGTCATGAATTTGATTACAAAATTGATTTTGAAAAATTCAAGAAACTCTCATTAATCTTTAAACTGAATTTAGCATATTGACAGGTTTACCTTGTTTATGAACATTTTTAAAAGATCGAAGTTTATTCCGGGATCCCAATTTCACATAAATAAAAAAAAACAGGAATACATTTATATTCACAAAAATCTAAAAGGAATGGAGGTTTTCTTCGACTCAAAATTTCAGATCCTCGAAAGAGCCGTTTGCCGATAAATTCCATCCGGATAAAGGATTACAATGTTAGGCGTTCACGACAATGACTGCAAAACGAGAAGTTCGGCGATTCTAGAACCGATTTCCCTTGGCGACGCCACAGCCACGCTCGTGAATGTTTCCCTGACAAAAATGATCAATGAAGTTCAACCTTCCTTTAGACCAAGTGGAGTTTCAAGAGACGTGAGTTTCCGAACTCGAAATCAATCCGGAGTTGAAGACTGGAATGACATTAATTTGAAGGAATCACCTATTCTCAAAACCCAATTTTTTTCAGACGTCGATCCATTAGTTGAATTATTTATGCATACAGAATATACAGATGCTGAATTGACAATTTATTCATGTTACAAAGTATGCTTCGGAGTTTCAAATTTAGCTACTTTGCAATTATCATTGATCACCGATAACTTGATCGAAATTTTGAAAGAAGTGCATGAAATGGATAAGAAGGTGCTGGATAAAAACGATTTTATTACGACAGTTTCAACCGACAAAGTTGGCTCCTCAGTCTCACAGAGTTACTTGATGAAAACTTGCCCTGCTAAGAACAATATTTCAAATAAGATCTTCTCACGCACCCCAAGTTTGAAGAGCCTGTTTGTTGCTGGGAAAAATTCAGTTCATGAAACGAGCTATGCACCTACCAGTTCATTCATCCAATTTACACCTCAGAAATCACTTTGCGAAGAATTACTAGCTGACCAATACAGTGGACACTTGGAATCAACATCCAATTCAATTGTTGTCAGTCCAAATTCATTCATAATGCCTAGCTATTCAGAGACTGGGACTCAAATGTCAAATGGAAAGGCCAGAGATTCATTTCCACGTGCACTAAAAAATTCAAAGCAATCTTCAAAGGCTGCTGACTCAAAAACAGTCGGCCCTGGTGACTCAATTACACATAAGATACTAGTGCATGACGAAACCGGATTCAAAGTTCCAAGTGCCAAAATTAAAGAGAAAGTTCAGCAGCATGAATTTTTCAACAGTGCCAACTCACGACATTGTGGTGTTCAGACAGACGCTATGAGTAACAAATTCATTAAAATTGAAGCCCAATTGGACGAATTCCATCGATATGAAGTCTTTGGGAATCACTTTCCTTGCAGCAAAGTAAAAAATACCACGTTCACTTCCACAGCATTTCGCGGAAACGATAACCGTTCTCCTGAAGCCATTGAAGGCCAAGTCAATATTACTGAAGTCCCTGCAAACCTACCCTCCAGCACCACATCGGCTGCAAAGGTCATCATCGAGAGCCGGAATCCTCCAGAAGTAATCAGCAAGCGGGCAGTGAAGGCAAATGTCAGCCCCAAGAACTATGTCTCGTCAGCCGTCAGATGGGCCGAGTTTAAGACGGTCAACACGCCAGCTTTTCTGCTCACGTTCTTCTTATTGACGTCGCTGAGTTTCAACGGAGCCATGGCGAAAATTCGATCTAGTAAGTATTGCATGACGAACGCTGAAGCGTGCCTTGAATTTGAGATTTGGTTAGTAGCCAGCGAAGACAATGGCATTCGCAGGGAACATCGGTTCCGTGTTAAAATTGAATGCTAATGATTTATTGCACTCTAGTGTTTGAATTATAAATTTTGTTGAGCTAAATTGAAGTAAAAACTTTATTAGAATAACACTACTTCGGTAAATTTGATGAATGTGCGTTTCCCTGACGCCGAGAAATCTTTTTCCCTGAGTAAATATCCTCTACGCTATAATGTTGATAATAATTAATTTCATATTGTTTTATTGCATTCATTATGCAATTAAGCAGCGGCTATATATAGCCCGCCCCCCTCAATATAGTACCTGAAATTGCAGCGAAACTATTCTCTCAGTTTTTCTTCCCTGACAACACAGTAAATTTTATCTGAGCTAGCAAGTAATTACTGAGTAAATTTAGCGGAGGCTCCCAGCTCTTTGCCTGTTATGAGAGCCATTATATACTGTGGGCCAGATTACGGACTTCCTCACGCAACCTCTTCGATAATCATCTTTATTTGCTATAAACTTTCTCCCTAGGCTCACTCTCCTGTAGATACTTGCTGATGGAAAGGGAAAGTAAACGAAAATTTGAATGGGAATGATTCCTTGCTAGAAATAAAAATGGTCATAGCTTGATATGCACTTTGTGGATTTTGATACGGTATTGCTACTTCACGCCTATTTGAATAAGTCTCGGCATGAAATATCTGATTTTTGTATTATCTGTTTTTCATACTACCACTCACTGCCTTTAAATTTAAATTAAAATTTTCAAGTATTATACAAATTACCTGAATTAAAAGATGCAGAATTTACAACGAGATTAAGAACCAACCGTAACTTACTACCGGTATATGAGATTAGATACAGGAACCACGCTATAAATGCATTACCTGCACTAAAACACGTATTGCAATAGTTTGCAATGTGTCGGTTACCATTATACGGCACGTATTGTTGTAGTTCCTGCAAAATAATTCTGAAATTATTTAACCAGGAGACGACAGCGATCCAGTGAGCAACATACGACACGTTTTGCCGGAGTTGGAGCTCGGCAACAATTCTGTTACCGACGTTCGCTTCAACGAAGGTTCTACGGCCTTCTTGCCTTGCCGATTTCCAACCTTCCCTCGGCATCACGAGGTAAGAAGAGAGGCAAGACAGCTGTAATTTTGGCTTATTATATAATTTTTATGTGGCATGTAGCACAACTCGCATTAATTGCCTCCAAATGAAATACAGACTTTGAGACAAAATTTCGCATGATTTTTTCTTCCAAAGCAGAACGTTGTATCGGGATGCAAGTCTTTGGCTTGAACTAGTCTTGAATTTCTCCTTTTGAAAAATTCAATCGAAAATATCAATTTAAATAGAATTGAAATTGATATTCGTCACGCACTCACTGTTGTTTTGTTTCAAACTAAAATTCGTTTTGCAATATGAACGACTCGTGTCCCGAACGACTCAAGAACTGCAATCTTCCATCAAGCCGAGAATTTCAACGACAAGGCTAAAAGGTTATCACATCGCAGACAATAAATCCTTGCTGATCCTTAGACCCCTACAGGATTTTTCGCCTGGGTTCCCTGACTGGACTGGAGATCGCCATAGACCCTTTATTTTTATCTACGAATATCTGCTAGCCCCTACAGAATTTTTCGTCTGGGTTCCCTGACTGGACTGGAGATCGCCATAGACCCTTTATTTTTATCTGCAAATATCTGCTAGTGGGCGGGGTCTATACATCTCCCTCAATTTAGAGGCTGGAGCATTTCCGACGAGCTCGTAAATTTCCATATGAATAACTCGGGGATTTGCTATGTGTTCGCGCTGGCTGAGCCTTGACCTTTTCCGTCAATGTTTGTAAGCTTGGATTTGCTAGAGAAACAAAAAAGAATCTGAATTTGCAATTGAGGCTATGAGTGAAACGACGTTTTTGACTCTGAAATACGATTTTAACTTCACCTTTTTTCTTTAGCATTAACTTCAGCTACACTTTTTTCGATACAAAACAACATTGCGGAATAATTTAGAAAGGCTCGTGTCCCAACTCACTAAAATTTCATTATTCTCTCCCAATAAAGAAGCTCTCGTATTCGTCCTATGGGCCTCAAAGTTCATTCACTCGATCATGTTCGACGTGCAACATGACATTTCATGTGTGGCACGTTGAAGGTCAAAGCCAATAACAACAAAATTTTCTTACAGAATACCACGAATAGAAAAAAATATAACTCAGTACTCACTGCAGTGAGTGACAGAGAGCGCATTTTCTCGAAATTTACGAAAACGTGTAGTCACGGACAGACGGACAGACGGACGGACGGACATGACGAGAACAATAGGGCATTTTTTCCATAAATGATAAAATGCGCTAAAAAGTGGAAATAACTGCGATTTTACCGCCCAATGATTAATAACTGGAAGATTAGTCGAAAATATTTAGCCACTGATATTAGAGCATGCATTCTGTGAATGAGCTTTTGCAGTGATCATAACCAAATCGCAATGATTTGAAGCCAATTACACTATAAAGTTTGCGATTTCAATGGTCAGACTCAAGTTGATGGTAAACATTAGCATCGATGTGACCACTACCGGTAGTGTTTGTTCAACGTAATGTCATCATCAATTGGAAGGCATTGTTCAGCGAATTGGTTCCCGGAATTCAACAAGGAAAAATATTTCGACAGTTGCATGAACGCGGTTCACATGTAAAGTAGAGTCAGCAGAGCTTGATCATAAAATGAGCGATCGCTGTAATCATTTTATTCATATTTAAGTATATAGACGCTACTCCTGAAAGATTACTTCAATCATAGAATTATTGCAATGATGTCATTGCATTTCATTAAGCACCATTCATAATTTCACGATTATAATTCCGTGCGACGCATATGGGTACTTATACAATATTTTTAATAAACAATGTAAGTAGGCGAAAATTTTTGATAGTTTTTTTCTGCATTTCTTTGGAGAATTTAAATTTATTTACGAATATTAAACTACTGGTTGGTGCATTCTATGTGAGAAGATCGTGGTGAGAAAACTTTCTCTAGGAATAAAACTTCCCAAATAAGAATATAAATTTCAAGTTACAACATTACTGCAAAAAAAAATACACAAGTATTTCAAACGAGAGGCAGCCACGATTTTTTTTCTTTGATCCAATGAACGGAAAGCTTTTTCTAACATGAATTGAAAAAACTCGGAGGTTTCCCGCTAATCGAATTTGAGGCTTTCAAGGGGATGAAATTATTGGATTCTTCTTGCTGTACAGAGACAACAGTTTGCTTCATGAATTTTTAAGTAAAAAATCCCGCAAGGGAGCGACTCTTTCGAGAAAGCGAAAAAGATATTGAATAGCGATCGTGAATTTTGGCTTTTGTGCAGAACGTTATTGGACCCGAGCCTTCGTATCTCACTTACAAAATTGAATAATGTAGTGCATTTCAATTGAATTTAAAGTCTATCTTTAGCTAGTGCTTTAAGCGTGTGGGAGGGGAACACATAGTTTTTCATGATATCTTTGAACATTTACGTCAATCGGAAACGATATAAAACGCTTGCAATTTATAGTCGTCGCAAAAACAGTTGCATTCTGTTCGACTTTAGATTATCTCTTTTTATGCAATTAATATCTCTCTATCTGCTCTCCTAGGAGCATATTCGCACAGCCATTTTCAGCAAGAAGCAGAAATCGGATGATGAATTTTGAATTTTCTTAGCCATTTCCTAGCAATCGACGCGTTTCTAAACTGACTAAAGTCTTTCCATCATTCCAATGTGTTCCAATGATCACAAACAAATTTAATTTAAAAATGCAAAACCCGACTATATCTCATAATTTTTCTATTGTGAAAACTTTTTTTAAGCTTAATTTTCTCCCTAAAATAAACGATGTTTACTTTCGTTCACTACTTTCACTTTTAACGATCACTTACTTTCAAACGATGTTCACTACCTTCATTTTTATTTTTGGTGTCATTACTTAGATTAAATTCAGCGCGTTACTTTACCCACAGATTTCGTTCCTCATGGAGCTAAAGCATAATAATTTTGAAAGTTGTTCTGCTTCTAGATTGAGGGAAGAGTTTATGTCTATTTCAATAGATGTTTGTCATCTTTATGATTATGAATCAGATGTAAAAGTTGTTCTCGCGCCTTCCCTCATTTGCTTCATTTAAATTCAGAATATTTTTCCCGGGAAATCTCCGTAGAAAAATTTGAATATGATTAAACAATTCGCGATCGTTGACTATTTATGCACAAAAGATAATATTAGAACACTTGATTGAATTTCCAAGCAATTAAAATTTCGAGTCATTTTTGTTATTGGAACGATTGATAGGAGGAGCAATCGGGACGTACAACAAAGTCTATGAAAATGTTGTTAAATAACGATTAAACCTTATGCGACAATTTATGAATTGTAAGTTTTAACTAAAATGAATTGCAGCTGCAACATTTCTATAAGATTTTTTAATAGGTGGTAATGAAACTCCAAGCTCCAATTCAACAAATTCAAACACTTATGAACACGAATAAAATTTCTAGTAAACTTTCAATGGTATTTTTCACTCTAAAAATTTTGTAACAAACTGATGGTATCACCAACTTCATAGTAAATCCCGTTTATGGCCCACTCCCAAACTCCCGAATGAATATCGAACAACGTGCAAAGTTGTACGACATTGAATGAGCTTTTGCATTGATCATAACCGAATCGAAATGATTTGAAGCAATTACACTTTAAAATTTTACATTTTAAAGTGTAAAATTTTACATTTTTAACATTTTAAAATTTTTAATTTTTTAAAATAATTTTTTAACATTTTAAAATTTTTTTACACTTTCAAAATTTTACAGGGCATTGACCTATCACCATTTCCAGCAATGAACACTGGAGGTTTGATAGAAAAGCGATGGATAAGTACAGCTTTGAAACAGAGACTTGACTAGTACAGTGGACAGCGCTGTATCTTTGTCATCATTTAGAGCGACCGTCATACTGACGATGCCTGGTCACCTAAATACCACCGGCAGGGAAGAATAACAGCTGTAACAAATTGCTGCGCGGAAGACATAGTGTCATGCGACAGGCTTTTTATTGGGTTTTCATTTCCCAAAGGAACCATTTATGACCTCATAAATCGTGATCTAATGGATTTAGATTACCGCCGAAAACGTATCTTCTCAAAAACTTTTCTGTACTATATAAGTAAGTTAAAAAATTGTTGACATTTCTGCTCGATTTCCTTTTTTTTCGTTTCGATAATTTTATTCCATCATCCTGAACTTGAAGTGTATTAATTACTGAACCCGTCAGGCACTACCACGTTTTATACATCACAAAGATGCTGCACATGACAAGTTGACAAGTTAAAACGATGCATTCCTTCCGGTATCTGCTAAAAGATTCATGACTTATCTTTGTGCTCCAACAACAATACATTCGTAAATTTACTATCATTGAAAATCTTGGGGTATAAATTATGCTGTTTTCTCTGAAAAAAAAAACTTTCGTAAAAGATTTTAAAAGAAATTTCAATATATTCTCGTCCGCTTGCTGATTCTCAGATAGCAATTGAAACACAAAAGCAATTTCTCATTTATTCGCAATTCCACTCGCATACATCCGCGTACTTTATTCAAGCATTGAAAATCATTTATGAACTCGAGGGCAAAGCAATCACTGAACGTATAATTGCGCGTTGGCGACTCAATCATAATTTACCGCAGATGAACGTGTCTGAATTTCAGTTCATTTTCCATCTCCAACCGATGGTTAGTATGGAAGGACTCTGCAGGCGGCGGAGCGTGAATACTCTGAATATTGCGAGAACGTCATCGCAATCAAAGCTCGTGCGATTCTCACATCGTCGCATCGAATAAAGCTTTGCGGAAAATTTCAAATATACTTTCATGAATTTGAGCACTTATTGGACGAGAAACAATACAAAGAATAACATGTATTTTAATTAGGCGAAACTTCAGATTTTTAGAAGAGGTTTAAGAAACTAACTATAAAAACATTAACAATTACACCAATGATTTAAAATGTGCTTTCATAGAGTCATACGCCTGGTAAATTTTAACAACGATTTAAAATATTTAATATATTTACTGCTTTTATTTTTTTAAATTTTATCAAATCATTAATTATAAAATAAAAGGTTATCTTTTGATTATTGCGTTCAGCGAAGTTATTACTTTTGGACTAATTTCCATCTCGCTGTATTATCCAAAATACGCCGAATCCTCAGCACTACTCTGGGTCTCAGAAATTCGATAATCTCCTTTGGCAAATATTTGTTATCTAATAACACCGCTGTCGCCCCCAATCGAATTCCGTTCATCCATTTCCGTTGTTTACGCGTCGTGAGTATTTTAGCCATGTTTGCGGCTCAAGTTTATCCGACACATCTTTTGTTTGTAAGCGTTTAACTTTGTTGCGGAAAGACTCAAGTTTCGTTCCAGTTTCCGTGAGGCCGGAAGGTGCATATCTCACGCCCGGGAAGTAAAGCTGTGTCAAGTTAGAGGTTTGTGGTGTCATGAGGATACCTAAGATTCGCGATAACAAAAGCACTGTAGGAAAACAACGACTTTGGAATGGCAGTCGTTCTCCGCTAACACGGCCGCGTTCCCGGAGCGTTCTTGACAGCCAAGTCGTTCATTTGAAGGACGCTCCACTTTGCCGACATGCGAGAGCTTTTCAAAGCGATACTCTAGCACTGCTTACACAGATACTCCAACGAAGGCGTAAGTCCCGAAAAATAAAGAATTAACGCAATAGATTTTGCTTACAATAAGATTAAACTGGATTGCACTGCGTATCTTTTTATGAGCTTGGGACTCGTAATTTTATAGCTTTTAACGTTCCAATGAGTTTGTTTTTCGATCAGCAATATATTTTGAGATATATTATGTAAGAATTCATTCAATCAGTCATTCATACATTCAAAATTTTTAACTAGAAACAAAAAAGTTAAAAACAAACTAAAATTTGCAGCTCTGCCGCTAAAGTTCAACGTGAGTGCAACTTACGCTCCTCTTAAATACAAATGCAGCGCATTTACCTCAGCCGTTTTTACCACTCTGAACATAATACGGCCTCCAGACCCTAGCTCTTCCCAGGTAATAGAAGCAAACAAGGCGGTAAAAATATGTATAAAACCTAAGCGATAAAATTGGGTGACCGAGAGTTGAAAGCGTCGTATGTACCTAAAATATAATATTCATAGAGGCTATAGTTGTAAGGTAAGATGTTTGCGTTAGGAAAGCATTTTCTGTCTAATTCATTACTATAAGTCCATGGGTTCTCAGTTCAAGTTGAAAATCGACGAATGAAATAACTATTTCTTCGGTAGAGGCATGTCCAAATAAATTTAATGAGTGGGTACCTACACTAAATTTCATGCACAATGTCATGAAAATGTAAGAAAAACAGAAGAATTTGGCGTCTGAAGATTCTAAATTTTATCAGATTAATAAATTCGGAACAACTTCTTGGTACACACTTTGATAAAATGACGAAAACAGATCATAAATCGGACAAGTCATTTGAAGCTTTCTCTGTTAATGCTTCGTCGGACCACGACTGCGTTTGCTTCGCCTCGTCGCTTTAGTCCTGATCAAACAAAGACTAATTTGTTGAACTTTCTGGTCAATATACGGAATACCGGAAGCGTAAAGTGATCATTATACAAATTACGGGACCATACAAGGCAAAGAAATACATGATTCATTCAAACGAGCAGAAGAATGAGTAGAGTTACATTGATCAGTTCAAGTGATCAGAGGAATGAGTAGAGTTGCATTGATCAGTTCACATGAGCAGAGGAATGAATAGAGTTACATTAATCAGTTCACATGAGCAGAGGAATGAGTAGAGTTACATTAATATGTTCACATGAGCAGAGGAATGAATAGAGTTACATTGATCAGTTCACATGATCATTGGAATGAGTAGAGTTACATTGATCAGTTCACATGATCATTGGAATGAGTAGAGTTGCATAGATCAGTTCTTTTTTGCAAAAGAACAAACAGAATTGCTCTGAACAGTTCTCATATGCAAAGGGATGGAATGAGTAGTGTTTCATTGATTAGTTAGTCTGCAGAAGAGTAGAGTTGCAGTGAACGGTTCTCATAAGCAGTGCAATGAGTAGAATCACATTGATCAGTTCTCATGAGTAGAGTTATGAGAAATCTAATTTGGACTAAATATAATCAGTAAGCAAGTGATCTTGACAATCTTTACATTCACAATACGTCGGTTGTGACGCTTTCTTCTTCGTTTCTCAAGTAGGAAGCTAAAGAAACTTAGGATTAATAAGGTCAATAAAGAAGAATTTATCAAAATGAAAACAACAATGGGACACCATCATGATTAATGGTACGCCTGCCAGGTATCAGGCGATGTATTGATCGCGCGGTAATTTTCCCAACAATCGACAGAAAAAAAACAACGAATCAAGAGGATGATGGACTCGGATAATGCTTAGCCATGAGCACTCAAAGATGTGTAGGGATGGTGAAGTAGAGTGAGTTAGGGTGTAGGGTGCTCTTCAGTGATGGTGCGGTGGGGTGAGGTAGGGTATAGGGTGCTATTCATGCAGGGATGGTGCGGTAGGGTGAAGTAGTACCTGAGACTTCTCAGTACAAAAAAAAAAAAGAATTATTGTTTCTTAACGTCGCAAAAATTATTAGAAGAAACTATTGCTTGATAAATTCAATAGTTAATTCACTGCTATATTTATATATTCGTAATTATTGGAAATTTATTTGACGAATTTTGAAGATTTTAAATGATTTAAAAATTTCATAGTACGTAGCTTCTACCAATAAATTTAAACTTAAAATATCTGATGTACCAAAATTAAACAATCGGATGAGCTTTTAAGGTTCATACAGTCCTGGGGCCATATTTTCAAAAAAGTTAAGAGATCGTAAGTTCATCAGCCAATCACTGACGGCCTTTCAAGCAAAATCCACCAATCGTGGAAAAGAAAATAGTGCGTAAGTACTTACGTTCACTTAGCGAGTTTTGAAAGTATGGCCCCAGTAAATCAAAGCCTATAGAGTCGCGACAGTGTGAGAAATATGCGAGTAATTTTTTTCCCAAATTGTGACACGTGTACTGCACGTAGCACTGATACGATCGGCGAAAATGGGTCTGGAAAACACTCAAATAGATACAAATTCATCGCTATTTGACCTGAGTCTCAGTCATTTATAACAGTGTTTCTTGGCCTCCAGGCAGTTGATGCTAATCTCTGCCCTGTGCTACCGGCATGATTTTTTTAATACCTCGTGAAAGATTGCAATCGATGGCGTATTTATGACCCATCAATGACGACGGCTAATTATTGGTAAAAGAAAAGGCTTACGTGATCAGAGGCCATTGGAAGCTTATTACTCACAAAATTATGTGGGTCAATTTGTTCAAATTGTGGAACAGTTCCAAATCCACAGCACGAGCACAAAGCCAAATTCACAAATTCACAGCACAATTTCCCGAGGCAAACTAGGTCAGGCCAACCCACAGAAATATGAAAAAAGTTGACAATGTCTCGCTCATTTCTCTGTGTGTATGGACGTCGGTTGTGCCGAACATGCCACCGATCAAGTGACTGATTTTATTCTCTAAATCAGTATTAAATAATAATACAGCATTACAGTTATTAACACAAAGAAATAGTAATGCCGCATTAATTTGCACACCTCATAAAATTTTTTGGTATTTAATTTATTGTTTTGAATATCATCAATCCATGTATTCTAGTTAAAATAATTTTATTTACTAACGACGTTATTCATGAAGTAATGAAAATGTCCACTTTTGTGAATAATTTCGTGAAAAGAATACTTAATTCTTCTGAGAAAAAATTCCTCACTTATAGTTACATTGACACAAGTCATTTGATTTACAGAACCGCGTATCTTGGATACGTCGCTGGGACTGGAACATTCTGACGGCAGGAATCTTCACCTACACAAACGATGATCGATTCGTGGTGTTGCACAAAGATGGTACCAACGACTGGACTCTACAGATCAAGTTCTTGCAGACTCACGACAACGGCACCTACGAGTGTCAGGTAATGCTGAGTCATCCCAGGCACCGGACGTTGAAATGACGTAGATTAGAACGTTTTTTTAATTATACAAAAATCGTGCCAGGCATCGGACGTTGAAATGACGTAGATTAAAACTTTGTTGCGTCTTGCAGACTCACGACAACGGCACCTACGAGTGTCAGGTAATGCTGACAGGCATCGGACGTTGAAATGACGTAGATTAGAACGTTTTTTTATTTATACAAAAATCGTGCCAGGCATCGGACGTTGAAATGACGTAGATCAAAACTTTATTGCGTCTTGCAGACTCACGACAACGGCACCTACGAGTGTCAGGTAATGTTGAGTCATCCCAGGCACCGGACGTTGAAATGACGTAGATTAGAACGTTTTTTTAATTATACAAAAATAGTGCCAGGCATCGGACGTTGAAATGACGTAGATCAAAACTTTATTGCGTCTTGCAGACTCACGACAACGGCACATACGTGTGTCAGGTAATGCTGAGTCATCCCAGGCACCGGACGTTGAAATGACGTAGATTAGAACGTTTTTTTTTTATTTATACAAAAATCATGCCAGGCATCGGACGTTGAAATGACGTAGATCAAAACTTTGTTGCGTCTTGCAGATTCACGACAACGGCACCTACGAGTGTCAGGTAATGTTGGGATCTTCTCAGGCATCAGACGTTGAAATGACGTAGATTAGAACGTTTTTTTATTTAAACAAAAATCGTGCCAGGCATCGGACGTTGAAATGACGTTGATCAAAACTTTATTGCGTCTTGCAGACTCACGACAACGGCACCTACGAGTGTCAGGTAATGCTGAGTCATCCCAGGCACCGGACGTTGAAATGACGTAGATTAGAACGTGTTTTTAATTATACAAAAATCGTGCCGCCAGGCATCGGACGTTGAAATGACGTAGATCAAAACTTTATTGCGTCATGCAGACTCACGACAACGGCACATACGAGTGTCAGGTAATGCTGAGTCATCCCATGGCAACGGACGTTGAAATGACGTAGATTAGAACGTTTTTTTTTATTTATACAAAAATCGTACCAGGCATCGGATGTTGAAATGACGTAGATTAGAACGTTTTTTTATTTATATAAAAATCGTGCCAGGCATCGGACGTTGAAATGACGTAGATTAAAACGTTTTTTTTACAAAAATGTGCAAGAAATCAACATTTTTCAACGTCAATTGGCCTAAAGGGATGTTGCTCGATCTTATTTTCTTATTTAAACGAGAATTATGCATTGGTTGATGATTCAAAAAGAGGATGATTTAAATTGAGTCATCCCAGGCAACGGACGTTGAAATGACGTAGATTGAAACGTTTTTTCTACAAAAATCGGCAAGAAATCAACGTTGTTTCAACGTCATTTGGCTAAAGGGATGTTGCTCAATCTTGTTTGATTGTTTAGAAGAGAATTATGCATTGGCTTGATGATTCAAAAAGAGGATGGTTTAAATTGAATAGTTTATATTCGAACTGCGAAAGCGAAAATACTGTGTAATGCCAAAAAACTGATGTGTGCTGAATGGTGACGAATGGACTTGTTTGAGTACACCGACTCACCATTACGATCGGAAAAATAATATCTATTTCTTAATCAATTTCATACTTGCGCAGATTGAACAATAAGGAAACTTGTTATTTCATTAAGAAACGGAATATATGAATCTTTGAATATTTTAATAGACTGCGATAATCGACAAACTAAAAATTAGAATTTCAGGTGCATAAGTGCAGTTCACTGGAAATGCTCAGAAAACATTACTAGCAGCGCCAAAAGTGAAATGAATTTTCTGAAACAAGAAGATATCAATTTAGTTGCTCCTACATGCAGAGTGCTTCACTCTATGAGGGTGATATTCACTCTATATGTCATCTAATCCCTTTAATATGCGTCATAAATAATTTGCATTCAGGTTCTGCGATGAACACACGACTGACACGGAAAAAAATATGCAATTATCGTAGTCGCTAAAAAATTATTTAATTGAGATGTCAAGTAATCATTTAAGTAGGTACTCCCGATCTAATTAAACGCTGCTTCCCTTCATTAAGCAAATTGCCGTCATTTGATGAAACGTCGCTGTCAATGGTTAATCAGGTGCCAGTGAACAATCATCGTTGGTAAAAATATTATCTTTACTGCCTAGAATAGAATATTTTTCACAACTTAATGCAGTTTATTTCTTCCTGTGAACTAAGATGGAACAGTGAAAATGTGTGCAGTCCCTCATATGTTAATATTTTAATATAATAATACCCATGCTTTATTATATCAGTAAAGCGCTTCGAGAATTAAAATAGATTAAGTAAGCCAAGTAAAAATTTGCTGTTTTCCCCTATATTTTTTTTCGCTGTCAATGGTTAATCAGGTGCCAGTGAACAAGCATCGTTGGTAAAAATATTATCTTTACTGCCTGGATTAGAATATTTTTCACAACTCAATTCATATTATTTCTTCCTGTGAACTAAGATGGGACAGTGACAATGTGTGCAGTCCCTCATATGTTAATATTTTAATATAATAATACCCATGCTTTATTATATCAGTAAAGCGCTTCGAGAATTAAAATAGATTTTGCATGACAAATTTACATTATCGAGGTAATAGAGGTGAATGATTGATTTATATGCAATCGATGCTCACGTTTTCAAGCTGTGTAAATCACCTAATATCATATTAATCAGGATGAAATGGTGTATCGTTTTCTACGAGAAGTTAATGTCTAGCGATTGGGTTAATGTCGGATAGTTGCTTCATGTTCATAACATGCTAATCAATGTGAACGACTTCCACCAGTTATACGCTTGGTCAGGGCTTGATTTTATCGTTCACGTTTAATTTGTAGTATGCCGATCAATGTGAACGACCGAACCAGCACGCACTAGGCTGGATTATGTCGAATATTCAGGTAGAATCTTTATAATACCATTTAATATGCATGACATGCTCCGAGGTCTGCACTGGTACGGGGTTCATGTCTAATATTTAGGCTAATCCCTATCAGGTCATTTAAATGAACGACATGCTCCTGGTCCACACTGGTTCGGGGTTCATGTATAAAATTTAGGCTAATCGATATCATGCCAACTAATGTGAACGACCTGCAACAGGTCCACACTGGTTCCGGGTTCATGTCCCAGTTCGTGAACCTACATGTGATCACCCCGCGTGCGGTGATCTTGGAGCCCAGCGAGTTCACCATCGAGACTGGACAAGACTTTTCCCTAACCTGCGTCATCCAGCAGGTGAGAAGAAGGGGCGAGAAACTGCGTCATCCAGCAGGTGAGAAGATGGGGCAATAAACTGCGTCATCCAGCAGGTGAGAAGAAGGGGCGAGAAACTGCGTCATCCAGCAGGTGAGAAGAAGGGGCAATATAGAAAATAAAGGGTAAGAAGCTATATCATCCAGCAGATGAGAGGAAGGGGGCGAGATCCTACATCATCTAATTTGTGAGAAGAAGTGGCGAGAAACTGCATCGCCCAGCAGGAGAAAATAAGGGGTAAGAAACTACATCATCTAGTAGGTGAGAGGAAGGGGTAAGAGACTGCATCATCTATCTAGTGAGAAGAAGGGGTGGTTAAACTGCGTCATCCAGCAGGTGAGAAGACGAGGCGAGAAACTGCATCGTCCAGCAGGAGAAAATAAAGGGTAAGAAACTGCATCATCTAGTAGGTGAGAAGAAGGGGTAAGAGACTGCATCATCTATCTAGTGAGAAGAAGGGGTGGTTAAACTACGTCATCCAGCAGGTGAGAAGATGAGGCGAGAAACTGCATCGTCCAGCAGGAGAAAATAGGGGGTAAGAAACTGCATCATCCACCAGGTGCGAAGACGAGGCGAGAAACTGCATCGTCCAGCAGGAGAAAATAGGGGGTAAGAAACTACATCATCCACTAGGTGAGAAGACGAGGGGAAAGAAGCATTCTTCAGCAAACGAGAAGCGTCGAGAAAACACATAATAATTTAATGAGAATATTACTATCATCATCCGATAACATGATATGTTTCTACCTATTGTAGAAAATTCAGGAGTCTTGAAAGCTTTCGAATAAATCATATAGCTAATGTTCATCTCATTCAATAATTGTTTACAACTGAATTAAGTGGAATAGGAAGACTGGAAGGGCGAACAATTTTGGTGTGACTTTCCACGTCTTCAATGGGAGATTTCCAACTGCCAACTTAATTGATTAATCTATTTTTCTATATTTGTCCTAAGCTTGCAAATGATGGGCGTTTTCCTCTTTGAGTCTTCCTCAGATCCATTATAGGTGTTTCTCTCTTGATGGAACTCAATTGTTAGCATTTTTTATGACATAATCAACCGTGTCTATTATCATATGCTGATATGCATAATCTCAATCCATGGGGCTGTTCTATCAAAACTTGCTTGAACACTCCTAGCGGTCGATTCTCGTCTTTGCTTGAAGGGTTTAACGTGGAAAGACATCAGTTATTACCTGACGAGTAGGAAAGGCGTTGATATTTCCACAATTACGGCTCAAAATGGCTTTTAAGGGGACCGACTACCCTAAAATTTTCAATTTCTGTGGAAATTTAAGTATTTTGACGCTCATGTCCCATCCAATAATAGTTTTCGCTAAAATTGTGTTTACTGTGGAATTATCTTCAGTATTTTGATATTCATGTCCCAACCTAAAATTGTTTTTACTAAAATTGTGTTTGCTATGGAATTATCTTCGGTATTTTGATGCGCATGTCCCAACTTAAAATAGTTTTTACTAAACTTGTGTTTTGCTGTGGAATTATCTTCGGTATTTTGATACTCATTTCCCAACCTAAAATAGTTTTTATTAAAATTGTGTTTGCTATAAAATTATCTTCGGTATTTTGATACCCATGTCCCAACCAAAAATAGTTTTTACTAAAATTGTGTTTGCTGCGGAGTTATCTTCAATTTTTCCATGCGCATGCCCCAACCAAAAATAGTTTTTTATAGTTTTTACTAATCTTGTGTTTGCTGTGGAATTATCTTCTGTATTTTGATGCTCATGTCCCAACCTAAAATATTTGTTACTAAAATTGTGCTTTGCTATGGAATTATCTTTAATTTTTGATGCTCATGTCACAACCAAAAATAGTTTTTTATAGTTTTTACTAAGCTAGTGTTTGCTGTGGAATTATCTTCAGTATTTGAATAGCACCTCCCCACCGTACAGAGTCTGGAGCCGCCGGTGTACGTCATGTGGTTGCACGGCGGCGTGCCTGTGAACTACGCGCCAGATCGTCCCCGGCTCGACGTGCAGCTCATCGTCAAGGGAGCCACGTCGCGCTCGGTCCTGAGCGTCAAGAATGCCAAGTCAGATGACAAGCCACAGCATAATGCTATCTAATTCAGCCTGTCAAGCCTTTGTTTATTACTTGATAGTGATTTTATACGTATTTAAGTTATTTAATATATGTTGAATGCATAGAACACTGCGCGGGAGATTAAATTAGCAAGTAATTGTGTAAATAGGTAGTAATTATTAAAATTAATTTCAGTTAGACAACTTAAATTTCTAATGCGATTTCAATGCATTTGAATGGAGTATAATTAAAGCGTTCTTTTAATCGCAAAAAGTTTTTCATGCGAATCTGTAACGCCGTACTTCAATAAAAGAAGAGAATATTTTAGAACAACCTTCAATATAGTATTTTAATTTTTTAATAACACAAATCCCTCTTAAACCACATATGTTTACATCAATTGGTAATCAGATAATGAATTATAAAACTATAGAGCCCAAAAACTTACTTCTAAAAATCATACTAAAAATTATTATATATGTTTTCCGTCAGAGGTTTATATTATGTTATATTATATAGGTTTCCGCCTCGTGTCGGTATAACAGGTTGATCTAATAAAAAAAAGGCTCTGAACCCTATATTATATCCTAAAAAATCTTCAGTGCACCAATATTTGATATAAGAGGCCTTACATTAACAGACGCATAATATCGCATTGGTTTCCGAAATTAGTAGGAGTCCTTCACTTCAAAATGTTCTCATATACATATATCGTAAACACACCTTAATTTAACAGCAAGAAGTTTTGCCTGTTTTAGTTGTGCGCCATCATATAGTTACAATTCGTTCTCATATATATCGTAAACACACCTTAATTTAACATCAAAAAAATTTGCCTGTTTTAGTTGAGCGGCATCATATAGTTACAATTCGTTAAGAATTAGTAAATAATCTTGATTTATGAACAGTTTGATATCTCGCCATGCCTCCCCCAGGTACACGGACTCTGGTAATTACACCTGCACCGCCCCTAACGCCGTCAACGACTGGGTGCTGGTCTACATAACTCAAGGTGATACTAGGGACCAAGTGCAACATAGGGAACTTCTTTAGTTTTTGGTGGGATGATTTTTTTTTGCTTGGTTTGGAAGACAGGTTATTAAGTTCACGAAAAAAAATTTCGTTGCTGCTGGACAGTTTTTGACAGGATGATTTTGTTGCTTGTTTTGGAAGACAAGTTATTAAGTTCACGTTCAATTTTTCATTGATGCTGGACAAATATTTTTTTTCGTCCAGATACTATAACTTTATAAGAGGTAGTGGTACAAATTTTTTGTGTTCAATCCATTCGATCTTAAGCGACCTTGTTCTTCATGGTGTTTTAAGCTTATATGTAATCGTTTCGAAAGAAAATTAGAGCGCACTTCTTTTGCACATTAAAAATTGTCTATTAACAAAATATTTGAATACTAAAACCATCTTTACCTAAAATTAGGGGATACAGTGGCAGCAGTACAACGTCGACAACCAAACTCATCTAAAACAGCAGAAGTGGAAGGAGCCCCAGCCCTTCCCAGCATGGCTAACGCGGCTCAGCCACTTCTTTCTACCTTCCGAGTGTCCTTTAGTAATGTATTTCGGCAACTTCCTGATGTTCTGCAGCCATTTGTTGATATTCTGAAGCTATTTACTGATGTTTTGAAACCCTCAGCTAATACTTCCAACCCATCCTCAGAAATTTCGCCCATTTTTACTGGTGTACTCCCATCACGCATCGGCTTTTGCGAAAAGTCTGTCCGTCTAACAGAATTAACAGGGGAAACGTATGTCAACGTACAAATTCAGCAACATGTCTTCGAGACTCAATGCCTTCACGAGCCATCGAAGCAAGAAAAGTACTCAGTTCGATCTATCTTAGACACGATTAATTATATTCCTGTTCGTATTCATCCATCCGTAAGTGTGAAACGAGATTATACTTACCAACGCTACATAATAGACGTAATTCTTAACGTCAGTCTATACTTATTTTTATTGCAACTTTTTTCTTTGGTTCTTTTTGAGTCATCTTCTCTTGGGTCGTTTTCCGTAAGCCAATTGAATTTGAAATCGAGTTGTCTCCTTCGTCCATGTTCAACCAAATTTCAAAATAATGTAGTAAATGAAAAGTCTCTCTCTGCTGAAGTATGTAGGGGTGCAGATAGAAGATAGCGATGTGTACTTGTTCAAAGCTTGCTTTGTATTGTACCAAAATACGAATACAACCATAATGATGTAAATAATTCCACCTTTTTAGTATCTTCATAAGAATTTGTTATCCTGAATATAACTGTAACCTCACGAACTCTATAACTTGAGAAGTTTTTCAAGGATTCTTCATCATAATTCTGGTGCTAATGTTTACGGCATTTCAGACCTTAATGTTCAATTAAATTATTGATTTATGATTATCAAGGAAATTGAGTTTCCAAAAAAAGTGTTTCAGCAATTGCAATTATGTTTCTTACTGTTATCGTTCAATTAAGTACTTCTTTGTATAATTAAAACTCTTATTGTATTACTTGGAACAGATATACATGTTAATCACTGAAATAAAATTTTCCCTATGTAAGTGTACCCTAATATTTCTAAAACAATAGGCCCATCCAGATTGTAAATACTTATTTCAAGATATATTAACCAAGCGACTGTACCTTCAGGACTTTCTTTATTATGCTTTTCAACTCCTTACGTTTTAAGAAGTTGTTACGTGTTTTGTACGTGTTTGACGGCCTTTAAATATAAGTCATTATATCGTTACGGGTTATGAATTTTATTCAACTATGTCGAAGAAAGTGAAAATTTATTGAACATAGAATGAAAGTGAAAATGTAAGTAGTCACTATTCTGAATTTCAACCCAAACTTGAGAAAATATTCATTGAGATCGAACGGTATTTTTTTTTCTCGAAATTTCAAAGGTTTCTGATATGCAACCTTACATCATTTTTTAAGATACCTAATGTTCTTTTCATTTTTCAAATGGAATAATGTTTTTAGAAATTGATGATATTCAATGTCTATTTATAATTGGACTGTTGGCAATTATTCATTATTATTATTATTGTCTATTAATCAGATATTGGTTTAGACACATTTAAGCCTTTTGGGTTCAAACCTCAACAAAACATATGTAAATATGATTTATAAAATGAAATAAAGGTAATGCGAAAAATAGAATATTATCTGTGGAAAAACTGAAATCTACAACAGTAATTCTTCCACCATGTTCATGCCTATAGAATACATACAGTATATCGCCTGGAAACTATGCTTTTTCACTGCATTGCTACTCGATTTAAAAAATTCATCGAAATTTAATTTTTCCATTTGGATCAGTGTGGTAGAATGAGAAAGTGCAAATTCGTGGCCCATGAAGGCATTAAAATAATCAGCTATTTAATGGCAATGTGAAACATGTTATGATTATAAAATAATAATTTAACGAATACCAGAGAACATAAAACCAAAAGTTGTAATGAGTTAAGGAGAACCAGAGAAAAAAATACCCATCTACAAAATAGCTGACTTATTTATAACCTAAATGTAATAAATGTTTAGAATTTGTTGTTCAACCAAATACATATTTATGATCTAATGGGAAATTACTGTCCTTCCTACGATTTTATTTTCATTGACCGCGTTTTTTCCCTTGTCAAAGGCTGCTTGAGGATAGCTAAGAATTTGAAAATCAAATCCAAAAAATTTGCCATCTTTTTATTTGAAACAAAGTAGCGTGAAGCATACGTATGTTTTAAAAATATCAAGCAGTATGAATTAGAGCGCTATTCAGACAAGGTTTCATTTTAAGGTATTGCAATAATTCCATAATCTTCATATCACAAATACGGGAACTTAGAGCTATAATCATACAATTTTCGCTTGCATGCTTTGTTGCGTATAGTTGTGCGCAATGCTTATCAGCATAAGTCGAAATGACTTCATAATTTCTGCATGAGATTCGCCGAAACTTGTAATATATTTTATTTCAAGTCACTAGCAATTTTTTTATTTTAGTGACAAATTTACATAAATACTTACTAGCAAAATGGGCATAAAATATTAAAAATCATGCGTCTGAAGCATCGTATTAATCGCGAGCCACGTAATTTACTTGACAAAAATTCCGATTTTTTTTATGCATTATTGCTCCGTGACTTTCAAAATGTTATCTATGAAGCTATTTACTATCATTATGAATTTAAATAAAAAACTGGAAATATCTATGCGCATCGGGCCTCGTTAATTGCCTATAATATCGTTAATACTTTCGTCCCTTCTATAAAGCTAACAAAGCTAACGGAGTTGATCTCAGTAGGTTATCTTTTCAAATAAATAAATAATATATTTATTTATTAAAAGTTGTTAAAGAAATAATAATCTCCATCGGTACTCTGATTTTCGATTTAGCTACCAGTGCCAACGAAAAATGTTGTTCAATCTATTGAAAAAAACTAATGAGAGGATTGTTAATAGAGCGAATTCTCAGGTCTTCAATGAAACCTGCTTTTAAGGAACAACTTTTGCCAACCTATACAAATAAATAAATCTTAACTTCAAGATTTTCCGCGTACTCATTCCTGCTCTACGGCTGCGCCCAATCAATTCCTGGAGTTGGCTTGGCATTTCCTGTATAAGATATATCGCGGACATAACCTATATAGCATCGAATATTTTTGAAAATATTTGATTTAGCAAATTGAAGATACCACTGTTTGACACAATATTTCTATTCTATACAGATGGATTATTAGACAATTAGTCTAATGTCGTTCTTAAAAGGCCAAGTTTACAAGACTTTCGTAAAATTAAGGAACTAGAAGTCGACGAAATACGTATGTAATTGAAGACTGCATTGAAAGAATGATGAATATTAGATAGAGAATTGATAGAACATAATAAAGAATGATGAATAAGTTCTGCATGATCACAACAGCTTAGGAATCTCAACTGCATCTCTGTTTTCTCTCGGTGTGAAAGCACAATTCCTCTCACGGATACTGAACCTTCTCCGCAATTTCCGGTCGAGCAGATTGTGATTCGCATCAAAAAATGAAGTGGTTGTAGTGGTGCAAAGCTTGACTCAGGCATTTCCTGGTAATATACCTGGTTACGTGCCTGATTCTGTACCTGGTTATATGTCTGATTCTGTACCTGGTTATTTACCTAGTTCAATACCTGGTTATATACTTGGTTATATACCTGGTTATGTATCAGGTTATATACCTGGTTAAGTATCTGATTATATACCTTGTCATAAATCTGGTTCTATACATGGCTGTAATCCTGGTTCACAGTTAATGCAAGGAAATGTAACTGGCTTATATAATACACCTTTCGAAGTTCACTGGAAAAGCTAAATCTGAGTAATTTTTTAGAGCCGATCTTTTTTAAATATTCAATTTTTCAAACCAATTCGTTTATAAATCTAAACATTTGTTTTATCTTAATTCATTTAATTATCTTAATTATCTCCAAAAATTTTTAAACTCTGTACTCGTATATATTATTCTATATTATAAAAATTGCATGGTAATATTAAATATGTAGTGAACTCCTCCCTTAATGATTTCGAGAGTTTTTTTGCAATGCCTGAGCTCTAATTGCGTCCATCATAAATTCTTTGATTGTGGTCGCCTGCACCCTGCATTGCCGGCGGGGAATACCCTTATTTAATTACCGCATAAGAACAGGTTCTTAATAACATTCTTGTGGCACGGTCACTGAACTGAATCCTAGTCCCTGGACTTAAAGGGTAGATAGAAATTACCGTTGTAGTGGAAGCGTTACGAGGACTAAAGTGTAGATAGAAATTACCGTTGTAGTGGAAGCGATACGATGACTTAGGGGTAGATAGAAATTACCGTTGTAGTGGAAGCGACGCGATGTCTAAAGGGTAGATAGAAATTACCGGCCATAGTGGAAACGATACGATGACTAAGGGGTTGATAGAAATTACCGTTGTAGATGAAGCGATACGATGACTAAAGGGTTGATAGAAATTACCGTTGTAGTGGAAGCGATGTGATGACTAAAGGGTTGATAGAAATTACCGTTGTAGTGGAAGCGATACGATGACTAACGGGTAGATAGAAATTACCGTTGTAGTGGAAGCGATGCGATTACTAAAGGGTAAATAGAAATTACCGTTGTAGTGGAAGCGATACGATGACTAATTTTTTTATTTTTAACCAGGTGATTAATTATGTCTTCTTTTCCATCCGAATAAAACCATTATATCGTTGAAGTATTTGTCCGTAGCGTTCTTCACCTGCCCCGCGGCTCGGACCAACGGAGGCTGTGGCCAGCCTTTCATTAAAAGGTTAAACGCTCGACGCGGTGGTCAATTTATCATTTAAATAAGGCCAAGACTTCTAATTTGTGGGGATAATTCAAAACAATGAAGAAATTCCCACAAAGAATAAAGCTGAGAGGAGTTCGGGTAAGTTTATTTATCTAGTTCAAATAATCAACTTATAAATAAAATAAAGAAATATAATAATAATAAATATAAATAATAATCAAATATATAATAATAATCAAATAATAATCAAATAATAATTAATCAATCAAAACTTTTCTGCTAAACATGAATTTTCAAGTACATATGCACGTGATTTTCTGTCCTTTTATTCGTATCCGTTGTTAACTATTGGAATTTGAGTGCATATAGGGGTTAGCAAAGTGATGTTTTTTTCCAGGTCGTGATGAGCAATGACAGGTGTCCTGAACGCAGAAAAAATGATAGTTTTAAGTTCACACTATCAATATTTGATTCAAATGAATTCTCGTATAACTGGTGTTCTTGATCTTTTCCATTATTAGCACATTTTCAAATTTATGAAAAAAAGCGCTATTGTGCTCGTCATGTCCGTCTGTCTGTCCGTCTGTCCATGACTTCACGTTTTCATCCACGAGAAAATGCGCTCTCTGTCACTCGATCATTGCAGTGAGTACTGAGTTATATTTTTTTTATTTTACATTCACATGTTCTTAAGATAATTTTATAAATTTTATATGCAAGTATGCTGACATACCTCTCTCGCGATCGGATCATTATCAGCCTTCTTCATCTGTACGGAGGAGAATCATTAAGGACGATGTCTTTCGGAGCAATCTTTTGTCGTTAAAGAAAGTCCACGAAAAACCAGTTCAGCTTGCCCCTTAAAGCAACTGCAATGTCATGGCTGCATAGCTGCGAAAATTGATTAACAAGAAGATGACCTAAACGAAATTGTCTGCACAAGAAATAAATTAAGATCGTCGGCAGCGTACGTTAATTGTCACTCTTGAATCTTCTTTTATCTTCTAGTCTTTTCCTAATGTATTTTTTAGCACAATAAAGTGCCATATTTACCCCTCTAAATTTGTATATTTATACCATCAGTAACTACACACATAATCAACTCAGCTGATCAACGCGATCTCCCATTGCTCAAATTTTTTGGGGCTACAGTCAAAACGTAAATGCATTTTGCAAATAAGTTTTTCTTTCCTACTCCGGCGAACCGAACAACTTTAATGCGTAACCCAAACTTGTTGTATTGTTTTTGTGTTGTCTAAGAACGAGCAATGGCTCGTGATGTATTTTAAGAAAACTAAGATTAAGACCCCCAATTATCACCAGAACTCATTTGCAAATTATTTGATACAACTCAGTATGAGCTTGTTGTGTTTTGTCGAAGAAAGATTTTTGTTGGATATGGCAAAAAATCTTCTCTCTGGCTATATCAAGTACATTTTCTGCTAAACTTAAGTTTCGTAATTCCCCCATCATTCGGATTATGCCACGTTCTTTCTTTAAACCTGTTGAAAGTCACATTCGTAATATATGCGCTAAAAAACTGGTTTAGGAATGGAAAAAGTCTATAGCCGGACATTCTGTTACACACATGATAGAAAAATTTAAAGATAAAAATAAAGTTTATCAATAAAATCATATAAATTTCTGTTTAATGAGGAACAGAGAAATAAACCTCTATCACTTCTAAACAACAGGACGGACAGAATGAAAACTTAAAATATCACTTACATAAAAGTAGGGTACGCCATTCAATAATTCCATGGTGTCCCGTTATTCAATTAGCGGCATTATAAAAAGTGATCTCAATTAATTATCCTTGCTTCCGAACGAAGCAAATTGACCCAGGACGCTGGATGACGCTACTGATGATGTGTAAATGCAGCGCCACATCAGTTGAGCTTGTTTTTAAAGAAAATTTTGATACTTTTTGAAAATATTTTTTATCTGAAACATTAAGGATTTGCTGCATCTGCATTAAATTTATTCAAAGCCACACATGAAGTAAAACTAATAAAAAAATAGCTTAGGATTTCTTGCTTGACTTATCAAACATATTTGGACAATTGATTTAGTGTGTTTCCATTTTTAAACTTTTTAGGCATCAAGAATTTACCAAATTGCAAACTTAACAGAAAATTTTTGAAGACGTAAAAAATTTGAAGTCTAAGAATCGAGTAAAAATTCAAGAAAATCAAATGGATGGTTCGCATATGCAAAACCCTTTTCAATATTCATCTCTTACGTCTAAATATTTTGAAATGATCCCGTACGGTTAAAATCCTCATTTATTTATCACTTTCCGAGCGAGTTATAACAGTTTAGTTTCATGTACCATTGTATCATACATAGCATAGAGCTTCGCTATACTGTATACTGCTACAATTTTTAACATGAAACAAATATTTAAATGAAAATATAACTGTAAAGTTGCAGATTATTAGCGCATTTTCTCTTTTATGGAAAAATTCACTATTGTGCTCGCCATGTCCGTCTACCCTATCCGTCTGTCCGTCTGTCCGTCCGTGACTTCACGTTTTCGTCGACGAGAAAATGCGCTCTCTGTCACTCACTGCAGTGAGTACTGAGTTATATATTTTTTATGATAGCATTGATCGACACTGCTAAATAAATACCATAGGGAATAGTGATGGGGAAACACCGTCTCGTGCTCTACTTATGTTCAGGACTCATCGAACAACCGGATAAGAGATTACGCAATCTCATTGACATATCCTGAGTTATAGTCTCCGTAGGAACTGCAAGCTCGACCGTAATACAACCTTATAAAGCCTACTGTGGTGATCCTTAGGAAGTAAGATTTATTTGGTAATTCTTTTTTATTAAAGGATATAAGATTTATTTCCTATGAAATGAGGTCGCATACGGAAGGGTCATGTGGACATTTCTAGGATTTATCGCTGGAATTTCTACTTCGGTTTTCATTCAATTCCATATTTTTTAAGACGCAAAGAAATATTGATCAGTAATAAGACATGAATATAATTATCTCTGATTTTTTAAACAAAGACGATGAACTGAAGCGATGAAACTGAACTGATGAAACTGTGCTGGGGGACTACCTCTTTATAACTATCTCAAACGGTCATGAAAGGGTTTCAGTTGCGATAACACACTGAGTACTCACACTGTATTTTTTGTAAATCACATCGGTACAATTGTGTTGCGCCGTACGGCAATCCTTCCCAGCTCGTGACTGAAAAATCAATAAACGAATCCCGGATGTTTACATAACCTATATAGCATCGAATATTTTTGAAAATATTTGATTTAGCAAATTGAAGATACCACTGTTTGACACAATATTTCTATACTATACAGATGGATTAATAGACAACTAGTCTAATGTCGTTCTTAAATAACTGATGAAACTGAACTGATGAAACTGAACTGATGAAACTGCACTGATGAAACTGAACTGATGAAACTGAATTGATGAAACTAAACAGATGAAACTCAACTAATAAAACTGAACTAATCAAACTGAACTGATGAAACTGAACTGATGAAACTGAACTGATGAAACTGAACTGATGAAACTGAACTAACGAAACTGAACTGATGAAACTGAACTGAAATAGAACAGGAGGCCTGATGCCTGATTTTCGCTGATGGTATAATTTTATCTACTGCGCCGGTAAGCTGTGCCCGTTGTAGTTTCCTGACTCAACCTGTGAAGGAGAATTGATCCACTTCATACATCCTCCTTTCATTTCGTGGATTTCATGGAAATAGGTTACTCGTAGAATTGTTGAGGTAGATTAGAAAAAGACAGTCTCATTAGTGTATCTTCTCTAAAAAATATGACCATGAAGGCGAGAATACTGTGCAGCAAAATTACAATAACATTTTTCAATTCATTAGCAGGATATTTCGGTAGTTAAACTGAAATGAATCAAAATCTGAGGTTACGTAAATTCCGATAAAAACAATAACACACCCGGATAAATGAGCACCGCTTCCAAGGAGCAAAGTTGACATAAATAGGAGCGCCTCCGCTGTGCCCGCTCATTGCGGCTTGTGCTGCTGTCGAGGAAGCGTGCAAGGTGTCATCACGCTCTGGTGAATAGCTCGGCTGGAAACTATTGTGATAACCAAAAGTTGAACGCAAACTTAGGAGAGCTTATTAACAAAGTTTTTTATTTATATATCATTTTAGTTTACAGATTGGAGTGGAATTAAATAATAAGCGCAGTCTGATTATTAAACGAATAATTGCAGTGTCATTATAGGACTAGCCGGAGGTGCAATCTGGGGCATGGATGTGGTGGTTCCCTGCTTGCTCTTCCTCGCACTGTAAGTATAAATTTCACTTTAAGTTATTTCGCAGTTTATTTATTTACTTCATGATTAAATTGTATTACTTTTATCTATGTTCCTTTTTTCATCCATATACTGTAACCGCAAACGATGTTGTCGCCAATTTTTTGCTATATCTCTGAGATTCAGATGGCTCATCCAAGAAATTAAAATTCAAATTACTAGAAAATATATCTGGTATAGATTTTTAAAGAGGATTTAGTCCAAGAATGTATGGTTTAGACAAGGAATTGGAAACGTTCAAGCAGTAGAGAAATTAAAATAAAATCAGAACGATGTAAAAATCAGCAATGCAGATTCATTAATTTTTTTAGAGAATATTATGTGAATAAGCATTTAAAGTAGCTTATATCATATCTTTTCGAGGGTTAGAATCAGAGTCTCCCAGTAATCTCAAATTCGTATCACATTCTCTGAGATCTTTATTTATTTTGAACAGACGTTGATGCCATGGTCTCCCGAAGGCGTCCTATTCACTCGAACTATTTTGATTATTTTTTTATGAACGTATAGATTTTTAAAACGGCGTGAGATGAAGCGACTTAGATGAATGAGATGATGACTTTGTAGCGACTTTGAGATGATGATGATGACTTTTTAGCGTGAGATGAGAGCGACTTTGTAGAACTTAATCGAGGGCCAAATAATAAGATTGTCTACCCCGTATATTACTCATAAGGTTGCCGAATAAACAGCAAAGGTATACACGACGCAAGCAAGCCTCTCACTTTCATTGTTGTTGGAACTTTCTAACGCCTTCGCAGCCTCGCTTTCTTGCGTTACCGACTGGCCCCACTTTCTCTTGTAGCTCCATGAAGACACAACAATATTACTCAAATTATCAGATTACGCTAATTGTGAAGTAAAGGCCTACTTTTCATTTATACAAGTAAGCTTTTAAACGCTGTAAAATGTTAGCGCTTGGCAAGGCTGAAAATATAAAATAAAAGTGAAATAAAAATAGACCAAAAAATTCATGATTACTTACATATGGTTAGTGTCATAGTGAATTTTATTCATATATCAGATCCTCTAAGATCAAATTTTTCACAAGATTCTAGCCGTTCCCCGTTCTAAAAGAATTACAAAGCACCAACATCATAATTAAAATGTATAACCATTAAAATATAGCATGAAATAAACGTCTTATACGATTTTTAAAATGACCGTCACTCCCATAATTGTCGAGTTCACATAACTCGGATTTTTCGCCTCAAATTAACCATATTATTCCAGTGATACTATAATATGAATTCCTGCCTGACTGTCAAGTATTCATAATAAATCTAACGAGCTCAGCGTGGCGTTAAAGAACAAATGCTATGCTCAAGACAACAGGGAGGAGTCGTATCTTCCTTTTTTGTCGCTTAACCCTTTCCTACCCTGAATGTAAACGATTCTGGTAAGAATAACCTTACGAAAATCGAGCATCTGCCTATCTTGGGCCGTGAAAGGTTAAATCGGAGCTGCCTTTCCCTGTGCTGAGATTGCAGGCCTAACCCACAGAATATATATTGATTACATCGCGGGAATTTATAGAGATAATATATTAGGAATATATAGAGATGATATAACATCGAGTAAATATAGCGGTGCTAGGCCAGGCAGGATGTCAGGTCACTGACACGATGGGCACTGACGACAGCTGCTCTAACACTTGCTCCTTTACAGTTTCCTGAAGGATCATTTGCCGGACTCGAGCTGAAGAATGTTATCTATTTGAATATATTAGCTGGAACATGTAATAGTGCATTTATGGTGAAGTCGATACAAATGAATCATCATATTTTTTCAACCATATCCTGCCATCAAAATATTATTAGGCTACCAGTGTGAATTAGAAAATATATCATAGAGCGCTTCTCAACGTACAAAAAATGAAAAAAGATGACAAACCAGGCTATTCTAATATGCAAAATATTAATTCTTCGCAGTATAAAATAATCAACAATTTTAATCTAGAACTTTTTATGTTAGTGACATGACGTGAGCCAGTAGCGACCGCACAGAAAATGAAATTTCAGGTAACTGGTTACAGCAGTAACTGGTGCGTGCACTCTCATATGTTCGTATCATCTAAAGATTTCAGTAGATTAATTCAACTCTTACTTTGTTAGCTAGAATTTATTTGAAACTAATAAATTAAAACTTATTTAATCTAATTTTCGATGATAAATTCTCCAATTTCCACTCATATAATATAATACAAACAAATGGCACGTAAGATTCAAAAAATTACCAATTGAATAATATTAAAAAATTCTATAAAAACGTGAAAATATATTTAAATCTCTCGATGACCCCACAACATAATACTAAAAATTCCCCTTTAAACGTGAGAATATGTTCATATCTTTCAATATTACCACAACATAATGCTAAAAATTCACCCAGGTCCTAAGCTGTATGCAGCTCTTGGAACTGGTTTAGGGACAACGTTCGAATTTCCTTATATTTTCTCTAGGGTAGTTTCTATTTTGCGGGACGGACAATGCGGGCGCGCTGGGCCGGCGAACATGTATAGCATTGGAAGCAAACCTGCAGCTGGTTTCAGGGAACGGTCATTGTCCACTATTTTTAAAGAGACTTTAGAAAGCTGCATTGTTTGCCAAGATGGAGAACCCCCAATGTATTAAGCAAAATTAAATTTATGTTCGTAACTTACGAATTTAATTGTTGAGAAGTAAATTGATAGTTTTACGCCAGCCAAATAATTTTTGCGAACACTTTATTTTCTTATTGAATTTCTAGTTGATTTTAGGCTTTACGATTCATAATTTATTGATGATAAAATCCGTCAAATACGAGTAAAAGGTTTTTGATTGAAATAAATATTAGGAATTTACGTAATATTTCGATTTCGTACATGCAAATAAGGAGTCTCGATGGCGTGAAGCAATTGATATCAATCCCCAATTACGGCGGTTCCGCGACAAACAACTTCCGAAATATCGTACGAGCATGCAATAACGTTAAATTTTCAAGCAAATATTTGCTTTCGATTCCATGACAAAGAATTAATCTCATTCGTCCTGCCGTGTGCGGAGCGAAATAATTTTTTTAGACCTGCAAGGACAGGTTATGTCTCCACGTAATTTATTCATGATATTCATGACTCACAATAGGATCTCTGATGCCGGGAATATCTGGGGCATCATCGGGAGAATTTCTCCAGCAATAGAAAGCTTCAAGCACAATCGAAAAGGTCGGTGATTTGCACATGCTGCTTTCGATTGATCGAAAAAAACCTTGCATTAGGAAAGGGTGTTCAGAAATTAAAATCACACAAATTACTTTAAATGCAGAAATTTTCAGAAATTAGTTGATCGTCTGTCAAAATTTATTCTATATCAAGCTTATGTTTTTAAATTCATTTATTTTTTTTTTTCGTCCATGGGGCGTATTCTTTAGAAAATGAATAAACGTACTCTATTTTTTGCAGCGAAAGTTTCGAAATCGATTCAAAGATGTATCAATTTAAATGCTTATATTCACGTCTTAAAGTTCAAATAAAATATAATATACTCATAAATATCATAAATTAATAATAAAAGTTTTTTTACCCCATGACAAAACTTTTCAATATTAAATTTGCAAAAGAAAGAAAATATAATAAAATAAAGGAAGGAAAAAGGAAAGGAAAAAAAACTAATTAAAAATCACTTAAGAAAACGCTTATTTTCCTCTGATTCACAAACATTTCAACATTTATAGCACAAAGTGACAATTCCAGCACAAGGAGGCTGCCTAACAAGGCTCTCTAATCTGAGCGTCAGGATAAAGGACCTTCGCCATACAGGTTCTATGTCCGTCTCTCTAAGTGGACCGGCGAAAGCTGATAATGGTAGCAGGGATTATTTTTTTAACTCTAAAGCTCCCATTATCTTGCGAGCTTCCAAGTCCAGGATATTTTATATTTAATTATATTATATTTTATCATATTTCATCACCTAACCACAGGTTGTGTGGGGAGGTGTCAGCGGACTCGTCTGAAGAGTTCGGCGTGATGTCGTTCGAGCAAGAGTCTGGCGAGTACTCGGGCTCGCTCATGGCTGCCGCTGCTCAAAAATCTGTCGCTCCAAGACGTCAGTTAAATAATAGTTAAATGCATGTCTTCTACAATACCTTTGTTTTCTGAAATATTTAGTTGGATTTAATGTTAAATCAGTTCGTTGTTAAGATATTTGATTGAATTTTCTGACATCGATTTTCATTTTTCACATTTCACAAATCAATCGAATATTTCAGTTCATTGTTCTATTTAAGCGGTGTTATCTTATATTAAATTTAGTTTCACCTCATCAATCAATGTAATAATGTTCTCTCTTGTAATCTCGCACCTTTTATCGTATTGAAACTAATACTAAAGTTATCGGATTAGGAATTTTTGTATAACATGTTTATGAATATTATTTTATTCTTGCATTATTTCATCTCATGTTACTTAGCTCAACTAAATTATCAATACTATAACGTCAGTCATTACTATTGCCAAAATATTCAGCGACTATGGTGTCTGAGTCATTAAAATGACGTTTTGTTCTATACGATACAGCCAACATTTCAAACAATTCATTTTTTTAAACTAGCTTAACTATTGCCTAATGTCATGTATTTTGATGAGAGATTAGTCCCCCGAAGTGACGCTTGACTATTTAAACTACAATATCATATATTTTAATAGTCATCTGATCCTTCGTAACGACGCTTGACAGTTTCCATTACATTATCTTGTATTTTAATGAGCGTTTGGTTACCCGCAGTGACAATATACAGTACATAGTCTTGTATTTTGATGCGTGTTCGGTCACCCGTAGGCACAATTTGCAGTACATTATCTTGTATTTTAATGTGCGTTTCGTCCTCTTTTACAGTGATTTTGAATCCGTTTAGCGTGTTCGGGAACCCGAAGTGTTTCTACAACGGCGACGAGGGAAGATGCTACGGAGAAGTGGAGTGCCTTGCTCTGGCCGGCAACTACGGGGCTTTCTGCCCTGGGCTGCAGGGTCTCTGCTGTCTCTGTGAGTGTTGACAGAGAGGTGGTGCAGGGTCTCTGCTGTCTCTGTGAGTGTTGACAGAGAGGTGGTGCAGGGTCTGTGCAGGGACTCTGCTGTCTCTGTGAGTGTTGACAGAGAGGTGGTGCAGGGTCTCTGCTGTCTCTGTTAGTGTTGACAGAGAGGTTGTGCAGCGACTCTGCTGCCTCTGTTAGTGTTGACAGAGAGGTTGTGCAGCGACTCTGCTGCCTCTGTGAGTGTTGACAGAGAGTTTGTGCAGGTTCTCTGCTGTCTCTGTGAGTGTTGACAGACAGGAGGACCGAAAGATCCACTGTTATTGAAAGAGCGATTGACAGACATGTAGAATGATTAGGACTAGACATTCAACAAGTAAATAGACGGAAATAGACAGGCAACATCTCAGAAACAGTTGTTCAGCGACAGATATTCAGCTAATGACAGGAAGAAATTTATTTGTGCAGTATTGACAGAGGCAAAGTACTTGAACACGGCGACAGTAGTGGCGGCCATTTAAACTTTCAAATACTAACTACGACTAATTATCACGCTAATGGCCTTCTGTAAAAATTTACTGTATCTACCATGACCAGTATCGTCTATATACTAGCTCATAACGCGTTAAATAGGAGTGGTTCGTGTTTGAAAGTTGTACTAGCTGCTACCACTGTCCCTGTGTACTTACACTTAACCTCTAGATAAATAACGTCAAAAAAACATTAACGTTGATTACGAAATGATTTCGTTGAGAAAAAGTTAAATCAGCGTTATTTCGCCGTCTGATGTCTTGTGACGTCGAAACGACGTGCAAATGACATTTAAGCGACGTTAATTAAGTGTTGATTGCGTTGAGAAAACGTTGAATCAACGTTATGTCAACGTCAATGCCTGGTGGGTAATGGTCATTCTGCCATGAGTGGCACAGAGCCAGACTCTCAGGAGTCAGGTAATGGTCATTCTGCCATGAGTGACACAAAGTCAGACCATCAGGAGTCGTGCCAAGCTTTGGTCCCAGTGTTTGCATGGCGCTGAACGCAGTCTTTCCTGTAATGCGTGGGTAAACAAGCTCTCCCACTGGAACCACTTCAATGGACAGCATAAATAGAGTTTAGGCAGTTAAAAATTGGAAATTAAGTGATGGCAAATACAGTGGACTGAGGGAAAAATATAACTCAGTACTCACTGCAGTGAGTGACATAGAGCGCATTTTCTCGTCGACGAAAACTTGAGGTCACGGACAGACGGACGGACAGGCAGACAGACGGACGGACGGACATGGCGAGCACAATAGCGCATTTTTTTCCATAAATGAGAAAATGCGCTAAAAATAGCAAAAAAAATACTGTTTTTTTTGTGTAACTCTACACAACTGTTATACAAATCGAGTGCAATTATGCGTACAATTATTGTTTATGAAATATCGAAACCACAAAAACGCTTTCAAAACCTTTTGTATTGGTAAATCTTTGATATTCTTGCACTTTTGTTTCAACTGAAGAGATTCATTGCAGAATTTTGCCTATTTTGAATGATTTTTGTTGACTGTGGAACTTTTTTTAATATAAATTTCAATCATAGCCAGTGACAGAGAGACAGGACTTCATATGAATAACATTTAAAACTATGTTTCCATTAACTTCTATGTTAACTTTGATGCATTGTTAATTGATAAATCTTAGTTTGATTCCGATTTAATTTCATTCATAAATCATAATTCTAACTTCGACCGATGTATCGAATTTATTTATTAATTTCGTTAATACTATATTAGAATAGAGCCAATTGTATTGTAATTTAAACCTATAATATTGAAACCTGCGTATTTATTGAAATCAGTTGTATTGAAACTTATTGTATTAATTGAAATTTATTATACTCTGAACAGTTTACCGCGCATGCCACCAGCGGACGTCTCAAGAGGTCTCGTATTTCCGCAACCTACAGTGGCCGCTGGAGAGCCCCGTAGGCGGAACCTGTGCCTTCAAAGTCATCCGCCGCTCAGACGACTTCTGCGGGCTCCAGTACGTGCTAAAATTATTTTATTGCAATTTCTGAACGCGTCATTGGCCGTTAGCATGCGCTAAATAAATTTTCTTGTTATTTCAAAGCGTCCAAACGCTTTTGCGGCATCCAGTACGTGCTAAATTTATTTTATTGCAGCTTCTGAACGCGTCAGTGGCCGTTAGTATGCGCTAAATTAATTTTCTTGTTACATCAGAGCGTCCAAACGCATTTACGGCATTCAGTACATGATAAATTTAGTTTATTGCTTCTTCTGAAAGCTTATGAGGTCTCCAGCGAAAATCATAATTCATTTCATTCATTTATTTCATTGGCGATTCAGAACGCATCTCTTTGGTACAATTCTGTGACAGTTGTAAACATTCGTTTGACAGTTTTGTACAATATTGTGACATTTGGACATATTCATTTTACAGTTTTGTACAATATTGTGATATTTGGACACATTCGTTGGACTGTTTTGTACAATCTTGTGACAGTTGGACACATTAGTTTGACGGATTGGTACAGTGTTACGACAGTTGGATACATTCGTGTGACTGTTTGGTACATTGTTGCGACAGTTGGATACATTCGTCTTATTGTTTGGTAAATTGTTACGACAGTTAGACACATTCGTTTGACTGTTGGGTACTTCATTTTAAAGGCTACGTATACTCTGGAAAACATTAGATGAATTCTGGTTCATGCGACAGTTATTAGATCATGTAATTCATTGATGCGTACTACGCAGGGTGACACCAGAGAAGCTGGAACTCATGGCGGACTCCCGGCACTGCGAGACCACGGAGGTCGTCATCAAGGGAGCGGGCAACCGCGCACCCTTGCCGCTCTGCAGGAGCGCCAAGGCAATGACGTGTAAGTCATCCGTTATAACATAACATAACATAACATAACATAACATAACATAACATAACATAACATAACATAACATAACATAACATAACATACATAACATAACATAACATTATTAACATAACATAACATAACATATTGATCTCGGCGCTGAAGTGTTGGCCTGATGTGGTCTGTCGCCGATTCTTTTCCTTTTCGTGCCTTGTTCGCAGAAGATCTACAATCGTTTAATTTGACCGGATATTTTCATAACTGATGATAGTTTCAAGTAGATGTTACGATGTAGTGAAATTTGTGAAAAATTATTACGACAGTGTGATATTTATGAGGAATCATTACGGCCTTGGAATTTTTATGTGTGATTTTTAAGGCATAGTGAATTTTATGAGCAAATATTACGATATATGGAATTTTATGAAGAATCACTACGACATGCGTCTGCATAAAAATGAAATTTTCCGCTATCAAAAATCTATGGACACTGTAATTAAATGAATGAAACTCACCAGCGAACATTTTCTGTCGTGCTTTCTTAAAGCCTAAATTTGTACTTACTTTGAATAAATTGCGTGAATTCTTTAACCCAATACAGGAATTTCGGGCTGACAAAAGAATTGCCCTTTACAGCGTCCATTGTCTTGAAGTTCCCAATTTGAATGTTGAGTCCAGTATAATTGAGTATATATTGCATAATTGATATATTTATGATATTTTGTTGTATAGATTGTTCTTTAATTTAACTTAATCTCCGAAACAGACAATATCGACTTCAGCCGCGTGAGTGAAGTTTATGTTGAAGTGCAGTCGTCATCTCGGTCAGCCGCGGCCTGGAACATCAAATTAACTCAGGTGAAGAACAATTTATTTTAAAAGTCAGTTTTTCACACAATATATCAAAAAACCTCCTACTTAAATAATCGGAAAATAAAAAAGTTTGATTGCGGGTATCATAATGACATCAAAAATATAAATATGATTTCCTAGAAAAATTTTTAAATCCCTTTGCAATCAAGATTAAGCGGTGCAATACTCTCCATTTACTTGAATGAAATGTTAATAAAAATGAAATAATATTACAACTGGATAATAATACCACAATTGACAAAAAATTTATTTTAACAGAAAATTCTGAGCGCTGCTAATAAGTAATTATAGTTGTGTCATCATCTCACAATATTATGGCAAATATGTAAATTCATTTTTCGCCACGCTGTCGAACGAATATTATTCAATTGTTCTCACTGGTTGCATTGACAACAAGAATATTATTGAAGATCTATTCATTATAAAATAAATGTATTATTTTAGTAATTAAAGTGTGAAAGTGGTTTTGAACTCCCATGTTTGCATTTATTATTTTGCATATGAATACATAATCCAAATGATTAATACTCCGCGGTCTGAATTATTCATGGCTGATTAGTTTTGAATTTTACACCCATATTCACAGGTGCCGTGTTCAGAATTCAGCGGCGAGTCTGTCGACACAGCCAGTGGCCCAGTGGGACCTCCAGTCTCCAGCGGGCCAGTGGGTGGAAGTGGAGGAGGTTCAGGGGGAGGTTAGTTGAGTTGTGCTTTAAGTTTTATACAACTCGGTCGCCTGATTATGTTATGATGATTGAAGTGAACAACATAAAATTGTTAAAGTTTAAATTTATTCCCAACCTTAACGAATTTACATAATTCCTTTGAAATAATTTCAAGGATTTAGTGCTTTTTACCTTCATAGTCAAAATAATTTGTTATCTTTAAGGTTATGCAATAGTACTTTAATATATTAATTCAAGAAGTAGGTATTCTAGTTTTCAATGGTAATAATCACGCTAATGGTAATAATAAAGTGTTCTCCAAAATTTGTATCAATCACTTAAGTTCTAAGGTAATATTGAATATTTTCTACACAATTTTAATAAGCAATTATATGAGTTTTGAAGTCTTTGTCTTAACTTATTATGTTTAAAACTTTACCTTTTGTAAACCATCTTGTCTCCCCACACAGGGTCGGTGTTCCCGGATATAGTTTTCCCCCCAATATTCCCCTTCCTCAAACCCACCACGACGCGCCCCTCTACATCGCGTCCTATCACTACAAACAGGTAAGTATATATAATGAATAATCGGATTAACTTATTCAATAATCATTAGAAAATATCTCCTTCTGTATCATATCTGTGACGAATTGAATAAAGACAAATAGCAAAGTGTATATGAGCAAAAATAACAATAATTACGATGAATGGATCGGTTGTGATTACGAATTAGCGCAAGACAAATGCATTTTAAGTTTTCTAATTCGAAATACACTTCAAGTACGAGTGCAGTGAAAACTGTAAACCCTATCACGAATCTATAGAAGTACGGGTGAAATCTAACAAAAATTATGGAGCTCACAGTAAAATTTGCAGTCTATACAACATATATATTTTAGTTAATGAATTATATATTTCATTATTTCCTGCAGTTTTGTTTATATATATCATTTGTCTCCAGACCTCCCTCACCTCAGCCTCCTGCCCCGCCCCCAACCAATGGCGGGTTCCGGGGCTGCGGAATCAAAGGATCTGACCGCCGTAAACGCGATGCTAACGTAATTACAATTATTATTTATACAAGTTAATTATTTACAATATTTTTCTAATATTTATATTATAAATATTTGTATTCATAATATATATACAAGTACAAGTTATTATTTATACAGTCATTATAGTATGACGGTTTTTGTCGTAAAACAATAGATTCACGACAAGTTTTTAGAGAAAAACAATAATTGTGAAGTAAATTTTGATGTAAATACATTAGTTGCCGGGCGATTTTTGACGTAAATTCAATGATTGCGGAAGAGGTTTCGTCGCAAATACAATAACTGAAGGGAGAGTTTCAAAGTAAATACAATAAGTGTCGGAGAAGTTTCGTTGTAACCTCAGAAATTGAAGAATAAGTTTTAACGTGAATGCAATAATGACAGGACGAGTTCTAAGGTCGTATAATATCCTATAATAAAATGAGTGATAATATTTTCGAGTAGCATTAAATTTTATCGAAAAAGCATCCAGCTTCTTCTCTTGCTAAGAACAGTGAATAAAATGTTCACATAACTCTATCTTTCATCATTTTATTACCGGTCATTTGCAGCGAAAAGTATGCTTAATATAGAAGTGCCTGTTAAAAAAATTACCGTTAACGGTATCACCGGCGTTTCAGTGGCCGGTCGGCATGTGAAAAGAATTACCGTGTCGCCATTTTTATTCTAATTTAACACTAGTAATCCGTAAAACATCTTATAAAAACGGCGAAACAGTTTATTTTCACGGGGCGACCGGCCACTAGAATGCCAGTGGGACCGTTTTTTCACCGTTTTTTCCTAACAGTGTAGAGGGCTTGTTGTAACTTATATTTTGCTGTTGTAATGTAAGGCTTCTATTGAATATATAGGTAACAACAGTGTGAGATTTAATAATTGCAATTATACGCCGCAGATCACCGTTGTTTTTTTCTAAACAGTGTAGAGGGCTTGTTGTAAATTATATTTTACTGTTGTAATGTAAGGCTTCTATTAAATATATAGGTAACAACAGTGTGAGATTTAATAATTGCAACTATACGCCGCAGATCGCTGCCACACCTCACGACACTGAGAGCAGAAGCTGGTGGACAAGCCGAAAAACCTCGGCCGCGGCCAACTCTGTGGCAAGCGATCGTAGGAACCAGCCTGCCGTGGTGGCCAGAGACAATCCGTTCATCAGAGACTTGACATTCGAGGGACCGAATGTGGAAGACAGTCACTTCAATTACTGTGAATTATTTACTCACATCATAACGTATTTAAATTCAATTTTGATTGGAATTTTGATTTCATTATGCTCATATATGAAAAAACATGATTATGTTTAAGATTGTTGACATAATAAACGTACGTGTCGGAGGCAATGTCTCCGGACGCTGGCCTTTCTATGGAGCTCTATGAGGGTAAAAATCTACCTATATGAGGGCATCTATCTAAACATTTATCTATAAAGGGGCAAAAATTCTCTGTTACAAAGAAAGTAAAATTTATCTTGGCAATGATTCCGTCCCTTTTTTACCTATTTCCTTCACTACTGCAAATTTCTTAATAATTAATTAAAAATAATAATGTATGCCACGGCCAAACAATTTAATTGTTATGCCAAGGCTAAACAATTACCTCCAAGGCTATACAATTTTCCTAATATGCACAAGAAATTATATTATATGTTACCTATCAATGATCCAAATGTAAACACTTGAATCCTCATTTTCACTCATTTTCACTCATTTCTTAAGAATCCTCATTACCAGTGTCAATGTCACTGGTACATAATCCTCATTTCTTAAGAATCCTCATTTTCACACATTTTCAAAATGAATCCTCATTTTCACTGCCAATTTTTGCAGGGAGCGGAGCTGCCACTAATATCACGTCACGCATCACGTTCGGCAGGCCAGCAGGCCTACGGGAGTACCCATGGCAGGTGGCGATGTTTGTAGGTGGAAGATACCACTGTGGTGCCTCAGTTATCGGTGATAGATACGTCCTCACCGCAGCACATTGCGTCATCAGGTGCAGTAATGCGTGCTTTACATAAGCACCTTTTAAGTAAGAATTTAAAAGCAAAGAAAAGTCCACAATAGTAATAATTCTTAGTTAATTTGCGATTTAAGCAAACAAGTGATATATATTCATAAGCACCTTTTAGTTCATAAAATTGGATAATTTCTGGTTGCACGCTGAGTCCATGTTTCAGCTTATGCGATAATGTTGTCTACCCAAAATTACTGTTCCTCATGGTAGGATTTCTGTCATCACGCTCCACTTTAAGTCTGAATAAATGTCATTGTTTGTTACCATGAAAAAAAATCTAATAACGAGAAAATGATCAGAATTTTCTCATTTTTGCTTAGACATAGCATTCCTGCATGCATTCCCACAGTCAAGTCTGCCTGGCTAAGCAGAAAGCACAATTAACTGTAAAATCCAAGATGATGAGTGCAATATGATGGGTGATATTCATTCCTAAATTTATTAATTGGCATATTTTTCGTCAGATTTGTCAGTGTTGAAGTATTAAGAAAGCGCCCTTCAAATTTTTGATACACTGTTAGAAAAAACGGTGAAAAAACGGTCCCACTGGCGTTCTAGTGGCCGGTCGCCCCGTGAAAATACACTGTTTCGCCGTTTTTATCAGATGTTCTACGGATTTCTAGTGTTAAATAATTAAGAATAAAAAAAGCGACACGGTGTTTCTTTTCACGTGCCGACCGGCCACTGAAACGCCGGTAATACTGTTAACGGGAATTTTTCTAACAGTGTATTATACGTCGACGCTAAGATCATAGAACTACTTTTCTCATCGCAGCTATCGAGTCAATCCCGCTCCTCTACGATTAAGCTTCGGGGACTGGGACGTTAGTAATAACAACGACGGCCCTTACATCGAGGGCAAGGTCGAGAAAGTTACCGTGCACGAATCGTACTCAAGAAGTACTCTACAGAACGACGTGGCGGTACTCAAACTCACGACACCTCTGCAGTACTCAGATAGAGTGCAGCCCATATGCTTGCCAACCTCAGGTGTGAATATTTATTTATTTCAGGTGTTTGCCAACCTCAGTAATAGGAACATTTTAAATATCATATTTTCTAATTCTATTATAGAAACCATAAACTGGTCGTACGAGAAAAATTAATCCTGAAAAGATTATTAGAAATAATTCGAAGACCCTATCTGATTTATTCCTCTAAAGTGGCCATAAATTTATCATCTGAACTAGAAATGAAGTAAGCTTATCCATATTTCATCAATGTTAGCGGGCAATATATTTTGCCTCCATCGGTTTTGGTATCAATAAAATGTAATCTGTTTGATTAATCGATTATTTCATTTCGCAAGCCAGAACTCGATTCCCGGTTCTTAAACTCTAAATCCCAACTTTAACTTATCCTAAAAAGTTATATTCTAGTCATACAAATGAACTATGTTTATGGATTGTCAGATATTCCAACGGACGGTGAGTTGCAAGCCACCATCACGGGCTGGGGCCGTGACGAGAGCAAGCAGCTGAAGACGATCTTGCAGGAGCTGACGTCGACCATCACAACAAACAAGTTGTGTGGCGAGCGATGGAACAAGAATGGCGCTCCGTCCAGCTTTATTGTTGACACTATGATGTGCATGGACGCTTCTGACGGAGATTCGTGCAATGTGGGTTCACGAAAAAAACGATCTATTTGTTGTGAATAAAATTTTTATTGTGTAATGAAAAATTATCTGGCTTCACTGCTGAAGGAACGCATGTCTTTACATCACTATCGAAGTATAACTAATGAATCCTAATGACAATTTGAGCGGAATTTTTGATGGCATGATTATCGGTAATATCATTTGATTGTTTCATTTATGTGAGCATTTATATTAGTGAGAATCCTAATATAAGGTGACGCGATTTCAAGTGATTTTCTTAGAAACCAGACATTTTCACTGCAGGTGAATAAACTGGGCAGACCCTGAAATGAACCGGATTGATTTACTTGTATTACTGCTCTAAAGTGATATTTTTTATTAACGGTTGCGTGTGAGGTTGACCATGAAATGCATCTAATTGATTTACAATTATCCTATGCTTAAGTTTTATCAGCTTCTTTTTATTTTTATTAAGTTTAAAATTAAGTTTTATCAGCTTCTTTTTAAGAACCTATTTAAAATGGCCGCATTAATGTTACAGGGTGACAGCGGAGGCCCAGCGGTCATGCAATACCCAGAAGGCTCTCAGAATTACGTGCAGGTCGGCATCGTGTCGTTCGGCTCAGGGTCGTGTACAGACAAGGACTTGCCTGGAGTTTACACGAGAGTCTCCAAGTACCGTGACTGGATCAGACAACATATGAACTAAAACTAACGAATGAAGCCAACGTTTTCAATTGTATCAGTAATCCAGAGCGTTGAGCGTTTAATTTTGAATCGTGAGAAAAACCTTATACAAACTGATGACGATGACCGAGGATGGATCTTCCTACGCGTGGTTCTCGATTTTGTATTATCAGCCAACTAGAGCTATCGCAAGCGCAGAGGGGTGCATTTCACTTTATCATGATCACTTATATGCAGAAATTCGATCCATTATAGATTTATAGGTTATTAATTGCTTCTGAATATATCTGGAGAAGCCATTTATAATGTCCAACCATACAGTTCGTTATTATTTTCTTTTTTATGCTGTATTTGTGGCAGCCATGTATAATGACTTTCGCTGCACTTCATTATGATTGGCTTTTTTAATGTGGCTTAGTGGCAGCCATATATTATGACTTGTCATAACCCTAATTATAATTTACAGTTTTAAACTGTAACTGGATTGCAGAAAGCATTTTGTGTTGTAGTTAGTAAGCCTGTTACTTATTTATTGGAATAACTTATGCTAACTACGCAACTTCATGATGAATAATATATGTAATTTAGTTATAAAAAAGTCACAGGAGTGACTACGTGTATTTTATTAACCACAATAATAATAATTTTCAGCAATTTAAATTGTCGTTAATGAACGAGAATTTTATAGTTAGCGGCAATGTGGATGGATTCATAAAGCTTAACTAGGAACCAAATACATGACATCACAAAACATTACATGACATTTACTACCAAAAAAGCTTTTTGCAGACTTTTTCTGCCAATCTAGGTCTTTTTCAAGAGCTTCGATTGATTTATTATTCACTGCATAATTTCAAGCGTTTCAAACTGCTTCAGCTCAACCAAAAATTTTTCGACGTGAAATACAACTTCACTTTAAAATTTTAGTGAATCGGATCCCACAGCCGACAATTATTCTTAAAACTCACATTTTTATACAATATACGCGAAAAGATTTGGCTGCAATTTGCAGTAAAATAGAGTATATTCTAAAATTGTGAAAGTAATCACTCGCCCATCTATATTAGAATTTAGTAGATGGTTCAGATAAATTCAACATAACTTAAATAATGAAAATGTACGTTGTACAATAGTACAATAAGTACTATACTACATTGTAACGGTTAACATCATTTATTCTACATTGTACAATGGTAGAATAAGTACTATTGTACGTTGTACAATTGTAGAATAAGTACTATTGTACATTGTATAGTGTAGTTAATAGTACAATTCATGCGAAGAACATCTGTTCTTAGGGTGTACATGGTGCCACCCTTCGTTCGTTAGATGTAGCACTCGTCCCAGCCGCTGAGCTCAGACCGCTCTCGCCGGGCAGCTCCGCGATGCGATACACCGGAGTTGTCTTGTCGACCTCCAGATCAGATACTTTACGCCGCTTGAGTCGCTTGAGCCGGGTCAATATATTCTGGTGGTCTAAAAGACTCGAATGAGATAATTATTATGCATGTGTTATTTGTTTTAAATCAAAGTTTATGTTATTCCAAACATGTATCATTTGTTTTAAATCAAATTTTATTTGCCCATAGCTCAAAATAAACTTCGATGCTCTATTATAGCGTGTAAAAAAGTCACATCGTATACCCATATATATTGCCCAGAATAAAAGTAACCTTCAGATGAGACGTCGACACAGAAAATGCCGCTTACGTGACTTGTCAGGAACAGGAAATGGTTGCCTGTTCGAAGCTAAAACCTACTAACAAAATTTACAAGTACTCTAGAACATGTTATATAGAGTTTAATTCCAAGTTTAAACATTGAAAGAAGTGAAAAGTAGCACACAAAACGTGGAGTGTCTGCCAAATTAAAACATATCGTTAGCACACCATGCCGTGAACCTAAATGATTTTCGATAGAAACTGCCTTACAACAAAGAGCTCCACTAAACAGCCATTACTTGAACTTGCCTCGCAAGCACAAAGCCCGGCAACAAAGATTTTTGAATGAATAGACGTCGACAAGTTCGTACGTGCGTAACTAAAGCTCGTGGAAGACGTGTTAAAAAAACAATCCAGTTTCATGGAAAACCGCATTCATAGCTAAATGTATTCAAATCAGGTCAGAATCGCACTCTCTATTATGCAGAAGGCGTAGAAAAGTTATGTGCGACGGTAGAATAATCAAGGGTTTATTACTATGGGGCCAGCAGTGTGAAAGTCCTGACTGCAAATTTAGAACATTACAGTGTACTGTTGACAGTGAGGTTACGGTACGTGTAAAAAGTTGAAGTAAAAACACAATAAATAACTCTGGTGTCGCACCGTGTTTTCTAGCGCAGTGTTGAGTCAGAGAAGTGTTTTGATAAGGGCAAATGAAGTATTGCTGCTGACAGCACATTTGTAACCATGATATGCATAGGATGGGCTTTCACTCCAGGTCCATGCAAAAGTTTACAATCTGCCGATGCATGGTTCACTTTCAAAAATGTTATTGTCTGTACCAGACACTAACCTAATTTGAGTACTGATAAAGACCAGCCACTTTGGTAATGTACAGTGTATCACTCACCAGGGTTATCTTCAATCACAAGAGATAACCCTTACATTGTACATTGCACAACGATTAGAGCCGCTAGCTCTAATCAGTAGGTACATAATACATACATAATCAGTATATAATCGCTAGCTCAGGAGTAGGATTCGACATATTAACACAACAGTACAGTGTAACACTCACAAGGGTTATCTCCAAGCACAGGAGATAACCCTTACAGTATACATTGCACAACGATTAGAGCCGCTAGCTCTAATCAGTAGGTACACAATACATACATAATCATTATATAATCGCTAGCTCATGAGTAGGATTCGACATATTAACACAACAGTTCAGTGTATCACTCACAAGGGTTGTCTCCAAGCACAGGAGATAACCATTACAGTGTACATTGCACAACGATTAGAGCCGCTAGCTCTAATCAGTAGGTACATAATATATACATAATCAGTATATAATCGCTAGCTCAGGAGCAGGATTCGACATATTAACACAACAGTACAGTGTAACACTCACAAGGGTTGTCACCAAGCACAGGAAGCACCGGGTTCTCCACTTGTTCAGGCCGCATGCCCAGCACGGAGGTGGCCCGAGTGATGCCCACGTCTTTCCTCCGGATTCCATGCTCAGCGAAGTCGGCACCCACAAGCTCCTCCCACTCGCTCATGCGGATCGACACGATAAACTTGTCGATGCTCTGGCGAATCAAACATAACGGGGTGGTGATGATAAAGTTGTCAGTTTATTATCATATATGCAAATGAAAATTATATTTAATGTGCACTTTTCACATATACAAATTAAAATTAAAATAAATGTGGACTTGTCATATATACAAATAAAGATTTTATTAAATGTGGACTTGTCATATATACAAATGAAGATTTTATTAAATGTGGACTTGTCATATATGCAAATGAATGAAAGTTATATTAAATGTGTACTTGTCATATATGCAAATGAAAGTTATAATAAATGTGGACTTGTAATATGTACAAATGAAAATTATATTAAATGTAGACTTGAAACTTGAATTTAGGACAGTGGAAATGTCTCTATCATGAACATCAAAAACATTTCTATAGCTCACTAGAAATGTTTTTGTATTTGTACACTATTAATTGATGCGTTTACAGATTTTGTAATAAGTTGCAGTGACAATAATAAACACTCGAATTTTTAGAACGTTAGATTACAATTTTATAAAAATGTGATACACCGAAGTTAAGAAAGAAAGAATGTGAAAGTGTTTGAAAGAAATATTCATGAAAACAAAATAAGGGAAAATCTAGATCTTATTCGGAACAAAAATGCTAAAAATTTTCCCAGGTTGATATCAAATACTCTGAGAAAGTAAAAGAAATAAATCGATACAAAAAAACAATAAGACAAACGGTCTGTGTGTTGAATTATTTCATTAAAGAGTTGTAAAGTTATAGAGTTAAATACTTGCATTACATATACATGATTTTAATTTACACACAGTTATATTGAGAAGCTCGCTACTGAAATTCAAAAAGTAAAAGTGTATATTGCAAAAATTAATTTAGGTTCAGAAATTCGCCATGAAGATGTACATAACACTCACCTTTAGTATAACAAATGTCACTGAACCTGACCAAAGAGCCACCACAAGGCAGGAGAGTGCCTGTACGCCCAGCAAGTAGAAACCTCCTCCTGAGTGAACGCGAACAATAAACACTGACGTAATACTAACCGTATTCTCTGAACGTAATAATTGTTTACATAAATTACCATTTCAAGGAGTTCAGTAATGCTGAGGATAGTAATTGTTCTGAATTGCATTTAATTTTCATCATCGATAACGAGGAATGATGTAGTTGTGCTTGTCAAGGATATAAAAATATATAAAAATATATTAATTTCATGCAGGGACTTTTTGTAATAATGAAAGTCGATGCGGCTCAATACTTAAGCTGAATTCAGATCGAGAATAACAAGAAAATTAGCTTAAGCGCATAATCATAACTTAGAAATGAGTTCATTCATAACTTTTCTTTATAGTTTACATTACAAATATAATAATCACCATCAATATGATTCTCATTCAAACTGAACGTATATGGAAATTCTGTATCACCTCGAACAAGTCCATGCCTTGACGAATAGACCTATACTCAACATACCCCACAGACCACACAAACCTGGAAATTAAATGAATATTAAATTTTTTTTCAATCGAGTACTATGTACATGTGAACGGCATTGTCTTCCACTAATTGATCAGACTCATCATACAGCGATGTAGATCTTAAAGGAACACAAATTATTATTGAAAATCAATTATTAATTTTATATGCGTTCGAGTCTCCAACGAATGACTTCAAACGAAGCTAAGAAACCAAATTATACGATTTATGAGTGAATTTTTCGATTATATTCAGTTTGCACTATTTACGAATCATGTTGAGAATATAATTTATCATTATTCAAGAAATATATTTGTTTAGATTTAATGTGAGATGTGTGCTAATTGTACACCAACAGCAAGTAAAAATTATATAAATTCCACATCAAATAATGCATCGTGGTGTTTGAAACTTGGTATCATGACTACATAGTACCTCATCAGCTCGTATAAGAAGTTGATATCTCTGAAGTTCATTCCAAAAGCAAGCACTGGGATGGTACACACATCAACATTTTTGGTTCAGGACTTTCTCACGGAAAATTTTGTCTCTGAGCAACGACAGTTTAATGAGTTACATACCATACATGACATACCATACAGTATTGCCAGGTTAGACAACACAAAGTATGAATTATTTTCAATATTTCTTTCTATTTATGCAATACCTGCAGATCAGCCCGTCGTAAATACCTGAATTGATAAACCGCAGCAATTTTAGAAGTCCGTAACCCTCAATCCTGCACTCCCTTATCCCGGATTGACAGTAATTAACCTAATATTTGCTAACTAAAGGAAGAAGCGTTTAAACTCACATCACACATAGTAGGTAGAATTGTCATTTGGCTCATGTGTCAAAATACAATATGAAAAAATTTATATCCTTTAAATTTTCACTTCTTAATTTAAGGACTATAATTAAACTTTATCCAATATACTCCTCTCAGTTTTGCAATGCCGCTCTATTTCCCCATACATTTTCAGGAACAGGTAATATCCCGACACGATAGGTTCCGTCCATGGCAACCTGATCAGCCCCTATAAATTTGCGGTGCCGGGATTCAAACACACAAGCAACCCAACAAACACATATTCAAACCCCATACACATTCAAACCCCACATACAACCTTACACCAAGCGTCATAAAAGTCTCAACGACCACGAACATCAAAGCTTTTGAAATAATAATAAATAAAAAATAAAACAAATGAGATTGATATTAGCAACTTCCTTAAGTTAATTTTAATAAATTCATAACAAAATTTTAATTTTATTACGGTAGCCTCACTTACCATGCACGGCGACCGCACCAACAGGATCATCAAGCCCGGCTTTTGCAATAAGAGGCGTCGCTAGAACTGCGATCGTACCTCCCACCATGCCAATCAATAGGGCTTCAAAGGACGTGTAGAGTGAACAACCGCCTGTTTATTAGCTTGTAGTTAAAGTATTAAGGTCACTTATTTGCTTATATTGCAAGTTGACTAAAAATTTAAAAGCAAAGAATAGTGACGAAGAAAAACGAACTGACGATGGAGCTGGACTCCGAAACGTTTTCTATAAAGATATGAATTTTTGTGGACTATTCTTTGCTTTTAAATTTTTAGCTTGTAGTTATAGTTATTTTAATGTTTTTGAAGTTAAGTTTTGGATTGGTTGGTCACTATGGACAAATACTTGAAGAAAGATATAACAATAACTTTTAAACATTTTACTAGTTTTTAGCGCATTTTCTCATTTATGGAAAAAAGGTGCTATTGTGCTCGTTATGTCCGTCCGTCTGTCTGTCTGTCCATCTGCCTGTCCGTCTGTCTGTCCGTCTGTCCGTTCGTCCATCCATGACCACATTTTCGTCAACGAGAAAATACGCTCTCTGTCACTCACTGCAGTGAGTACTGAGCTATATTTTTTCACGGAGTTTATGTTTCAAAGAAATTATTGAAATACTCGCACGTCAATAACTCATGATACTGCCAGAGCGGCAGTCCATCATCTGTGCATCTCTGTACGAGCAACCCACGAGAGCACAGCTGGTAGTGAAACACAATAAGTTGCACGGCACGTATACTGACAACGCAGATAGAGCAAGATCTGGATAACTTAGTCTGATGCCGATAAAACAGATACTAAACGTGACGTATTGCTATAGTATACATCGGCTTCCGAAGGCACGTAAAGGTTCGGACGAGAGTTGTGCACATCAACTCTACACAATCTCTGTTCTAATCAACTGACCTGTGATAGAAACCAAAGACCCGAGGATGCTGCTGATGACGTCGGCTACGTAGAGTTTTTTATTCTTGAACCACGAGATGGACATGCCTGTTAGGCCGCCACCGATGCTGGACTGCAGTGTCGTGACAGCCGTGCGCGCTGCATATTTCCATTTGTGGCCTCGTATACCAAACGTGCTGTAAAAATTTCTCGTGTTTAGAACTTTAATTTTTAACTAACTATGTATGATATTTTCACTACTAAAAATTTTGTTTTATGCATCCCCCTGAGAACTAAGTTTCAGGATATCAAACTTTCATGCTAACTACAAGAAAAAGAAATAAGAATTAAGGGCCGTTGAACTTGGAAGATTATGATGATTCTTGGTGTGTTAGTTTTTAGCTCTGTTTAAGAAACTTTCATACCTACAAAAATATTAATATAATAAATATGATACAAATAATTAACATTACTATAATACGACAAAATTAAAAAAACAATCAATGTAATGAATATCTTATTCGATGGAATAAATTTTGTAACGTAGTTTGACGCGAACGAAATTGTTCTCAAAACAATTATTGCAAAATTATTCTTCTTAAATTTCATGTAAAATATTTCCCTTTGTCTCACCTGCCGCAATTGAAGCCCAGCCAGCCCCACCAGAGCATAAACATGCCCAAGATGGCGGTGGTGGGCGACCCCATAGGAAGAGGAGCGTCCGAGTGATCGTAGCGACCCAAGCGGGGCCCCACCATTACGGCAGCCAGGAAAGCTGGATTTGAAGATGAAGTAATTATGAGTATCTATTGGTAATCTTAGCGCAAAAATATCAATATTTGTAAAGTTATTTGATAAATATTTGTTGTTGCAAACGCGAACAAATTTACGAGTGTTCACGAAATTAGAAATAATATTTGAATTTTGGTTTGAATTAAAAGTGAACTCAATGCTGGAGTTGTAGATAAATTCTGGTTCACCTAAATGTTAAGAACACTAAACTTGGGTAATGAATTAGTTGTTCAATACATGAAGGGGGTTGTGAAATTTGTGGTCGAAAATCAGGTACGGATGATTGGTAAAACGCAGCCAGATTGCAGCAACGAGTTTCGGGTTCGATACCAAAGCTAGCTGTTCATATTTTTCAATGTCTGAAATCAGCGACAGACCAACCCTGGCCAGTTAATCAGCGACCGCACCACTATTATATCCCTGAGTAACAAAAGTTATTTATAATTTAAAATGCATAGAGAATTGAAACGAAAAGCTACTGAATATTCTTCAATTAGAATCAAAGGTTAGGTAGAGATGCATGGAAAAGGACCCACATTAGTTACAAATTAAACGATGGGGCCTTCAAGTCCTATCAAATTTCTTTTACTAGACCCGCTTTACGTAGCTCAGAAACTGAGTTTCGTATATTTATAATTTTACAAGTTTGAGTAAGAAGAACGCCAATTTTGTTTGTAAATTATTTAGAATTCAGTTTCTTTAGCTGTCTAGTAATTGGGACAGTAGTAAGGCTAGCAAGTCTTAAATTGTCAACAAATTAAATTATTGTAAATTCATGCGAAGCGTACCGCTGATCACTGAGCGACTTCAGGGTGTGAAAGTGAAGCAGATGAATGTACGAGGAGCTATGTGGATGGCTGCAGGAATGAGACTAAATTGAAGGAGTAGTTGAAGAATGTGCAATGTTCCTGTACAGTCCAATGTACCGTCGTTCTATTTGTCGAGTTCAAACTTCTATTTTTGAAGTTTCAAGGTTTCAAACTCTAAAAAAGTTCTCAATGAAAAATTACCTTATTTCTAATCAAACTAAACTAAATGAAAGGCTCTACCCTCAATATATAAATTTTTATTATTTTTTTCATTTTAAAGAACTATAAAGATTAAGTATTACGTTTCATCCGTTACGTTACCTAAGAACATTTACTAATATACCTAATATGAAATTAATTCCTACAATAAATATTGAACATTCTGTAGAAATATTTTATGTCCACTCCAGCTAAAACAGAATATTCTTTTAACAATTCCACTATATCAGCCACTCAATGATCCCAATAACCCTAACAAAATTTAGAATCGCCCCAGCTTCTAATAATCCAAATCAGAAGCTGCCGCGTCTGCAAATTTTCACTGCGAAGAAACTCTCTGACCAGATGCTCCTCCACAAAGATGGACGCCGCATGATCCTGCTATGTCGATGACGCCCATCTGGTAGAGGAACCCTCGCTCTGCCCACAGCCATCCCGCTGGTATGCAGTACACGACGGTGTTCACTGCGCTGAAGATTACGTACGCCACGAAATTGAACCTGGTGAGCGAAAAAGAAAATGTCTTGTACATTTTATTCAATATTTATCTTCTCGACGGGAGATTACTACACATGATTGCCTGGTACAGTGAGGAAAAATTTATACTATCCAAATTCGCCGATCAGCTTCAATTTCGAATTGGAATTAAAAAAAGATATAAATAATTATCTGGAGGGGGGAAGGACTCAATTCAAATCTATGTAAATATCTTGAAATGGCCTCGTTTTGAGGACCTTAATTGATTTTCTGCTGCCCGAAATTGTTTCATTAGAAGTAATTCACATTTTAAAACCGAGTTGTAGTTCATATCTTTTTATGATAAAATGAAAATTCACACTCGCCGCCGGTCCCACTATACAGCTGGCGCATATGCCCATATATTATTTTTATTCATATTATTCATATTATGCCCATATGAATTTTTATCAACCAACGTCCACTGAAGAATATTGTTCGATCCTGAAAATTTAAATCAATGATATCTCTGGTCATTAACCACTCGTGTTTAAATAAGCTTATTCTGCTATCTTATAGTAATATATTATTTTATGTACCCATAGCAGGTGCCAATATATTATTTATGCAGAGTGTATAAAATAATGAAGTTACCTCTCAGCTATAGCTCCTAATTAAGGGCCGTTGAACTTGGAAGATTATGATGATTCTTGGTGTGTTAGTTTTTAGCTCTGTTTAAGAAACTTTCATACCTACAAAAATATTAATATAATAAATATGATACAAATAATTAACATTACTATAATACGACAAAATTAAAAAAACAATCAATGTAATGAATATCTTATTCGATGGAATAAATTTTGTAACGTAGTTTGACGCGAACGAAATTGTTCTCAAAACAATTATTGCAAAATTATTCTTCTTAAATTTCATGTAAAATATTTCCCTTTGTCTCACCTGCCGCAGTTAAAGCCCAGCCAGCCCCACCAGAGCATAAACATGCCCAAGATGGCGGTGGTGGGCGACCCCATCTGCATCATCTCATCCCCGCGGTCGAACCTCCCCAGCCGCGGACCAACGAGGTACGCAGCGACCAGTGCTGACGATATCAACTGAATGTGATGCTGACGATATCAACTGAATGTGATGCTGACGATATAAACTGAATGTGATGCTGACGATATAAGCTGAATGTGATGCTGACAATATGTATTGAATGAGCTGCTGTCCTGTTGACGATATGAACTGAATGTGATGCTGACGATTTGAACTGAATGTGATGCTGACTATATCTACTGAATGTGATGCTGACGACATGAACTGAATGTGATGCTGGCGATATGAACTGAATGTGATGCTGACGGTATGAACTGAATGTGATGCTGACGATATCAACTGAATGTGATGCTGACGATATAAACTGAATGCTGACGATATGAACTGAATGTGATGCTGACGATATGAACTGAATGTGATGCTGACGATATGAACTGAATGTAATGCTGACGATATGAACTGAATGTGATGCTGACGATATGAACCTGTCTCTTATACACATCTAGATGTGTATAAGAGACAGNGCTGTCTACACCGACTTAGTTCACTGCTGAAAATATCGAGTTAGTTTAATTAATTAATGCAGTCAATATGCATTAAGTTTAATGCAGATAATAATGCAAATGAATTTAATTAATATATAAATAATTGCCCGATTTTACCCCAGCTGCTCAGTACCAATTATTCAGATAATCAGGGTGTTATAGTTAAGCCGAATCTAAAAAATTATAATTTCAGATTTAAGAAAAGCCTTGCATTAGCCGAATTATGAATACCTTCAGTAAAGTTTTGACGATTTTTTCTAAAATTTTGTAATCGACAGTTTATTTCCATTTGATTGTAATAGAACGATGATCTAAACCTTTCGATGATCTAAACCTTTTTCATTACCCTATTTGAAACGAATTACTTATTATGAAGAATTTTGTTGTGCCGATCAGAATTCAATATATTGCTCCCGTCAGCTTCGTGAAGTAAGATGCCTAATGCATCCCTAATGCATCAACTGATTCATTGTCTACTTAGCTACAGACATTTATATTTGATATGTTGATTTGTGAATTCGCGTTCCCGAAACTCCCCAAATAATTACTGGGTACATGGAACTCAAATAATTTATTTACATGAAACAACCCAAATAGTTTGTGTGCCTAATACTCCCCTAACGATTTGTTGACATGAAATTCCAAAAAATCTTGTGTGCCTAAAATTCCACAAATAATTTGTTTACATGAAACTCTAATAAAAATCTAGTTTGCCTAAGAGTCCTCAGATAATACGTTTACGTGAAACTCTACAAAAAATCTTGTCTGCCTAAAATTCCTCAAATGATTTGTTTACATAAAACTCTCTAAATAAATAATATTCCCCAAACTCCCCCAAAAATTTTGTGTACCTGAAACTCCTCCACAGATGTGGACCGCGCAGGAACCAGCGACGTCGATCACTCCCATCTGGTAGAGGAACCCGCGTTTAGACCACAGCCACCCCGCTGGTATGCAGTACACGACGGTGTTCACTGCGCTGAACACAACGTACGCCACGAAATTGAACCTGTAACAGAAGCCCTTTGTATTTTAAGAGATTTATATGATAGAGGGAACACACACATCATTGAATAATTCAACATGAACGCAATAACAGTTTAAGATCACGAGGAATTTCTATGTGACTCGAACAGTAGTTGTTCTATCAAATAAAATATTGCAGACCAAATTGCAAACGTTTCATTTAGAGTACGCCTCGGTCCTGCAACTGAAAATTTTCTTAGTTCAAAAGCTTTGAAAAAAGCTCCAACAAATTTATTTCAGTTTAATCGAAAGACTCCTGTAAACTTTTACCTCTCTGCTACAGCTCCTGAAACGATTGTCGTAGCAGTTGTTGCAAAAGACAGCTGGAAGAAAAAGGTCGTATATTCTTCTCCCATTTTGTCTTCATCAGGATTCAAGAAAAACTTTCCCCAGCCGCAGAAGGGGTTCGACCATGCATCAGTTCCAAACGATAAACCATAACCAAACATCCAGTAGGTAAGGCCGCCCAAGACAACGTCTACCAAATTCTTTGTCATGATGTTGGTTTCGTTCTTCATGGACACGCAGCCTGCCTCCAGCAAGCCAAAACCTAAAGTTCGAAAGTCCGGATGTAAGAAAGCCTTATTTCAATGGAGCAAAATTTAAAATACTCCAAGCGGTTTATTAAACCACCAAAACTTCGAAATTTCAATAGTCTAAATACACCAAACACTTTGCAAATTTACTTCGCTAAGAAGTACATAGTAATGAGCACCTGACTGCATGGTGAAGATAATAAAAGTTGCCGTTAGTATCCATGCTGCATCGTCTCTCGTGATGGTGTCGATGTCAATATCTGGGTCCTGGTTGATGACTCCACCACCACGGTTACCGGTAACGTTGGTTTGTTGCCACCAGGTACTTTGGTTGTCTTGGTAACCTAACGTCCCAGTCAAATTATCACAGTAGATGCAATTGAAATTCAAGTATTCGTCATCGAAGTTATCCTCCATTGTTTCTTATATACCTTACAGAAGCAATACACACCGATTTGAGTGCAGCAATCGAATTCAATTGTACTCTGTAGCTACTAATTTGCGTTAAAATTTCTCAATTTGATACAATCTTTTTAATTTTTATAAACTGAGTAATTGACTCCATAACTTCTATGAAATTGATCTAGGAAGAAAGTCCGATTGTCAACGCGTGAAGTTGAGAGGAACTAAGAAGGAGAGTAAAAATTCCTAAGTAAATAACTGGATAAATTTCGAGTGCTTAGTTTCCATTTTCCAAATAAATTCAAAATAAGTTCGTGTGGAAAATACCAATAAACATGTTACAAGTGTCTAAATAACAACTTCAAATATAAAGTAACATCTTGGAGAAGTTGTTATATACTGATCAAGGCAGATGAAACTTTGATAAATAGCGACAGTACAAATAGTATCAGAAAATGGCAAATAATAACAATAATATCACTCATTAATATTGAGATGAGCTCTTCGATAGTCTGAGCAATTGTAAAATTTAATCACCATGATAGTTAAAAACATTAATAATTATCTAACATTAACTGTACAATTCATTAAAATATTTTCTTTCGCGTATAACAACAACAGGAAGTCAATGTGCAAACATATCAAATAATCACTGTGTTCCTGATCGAGTGTCCTACTATTTTTCAATATATTAAATGAGAAATCTCTGCAGAAACAAAGTCTAACCAGAAATTTTGGTTAACAATTAATTTTGAAATGTTTTAATTCTGGTATTCATTACCGTAAATCCAAATTAAATATTGGCAAAACGTCTCAATGGCTCAAAAACAATAGCAAAAATTCTACAGAATAATTTTCATACATCCATTTGGAAGATTTCCATTAATGAGAGAACCCCCTAGGACACCAACCATTTTAATCAGTCGTTATACTGCAATCAATCGTTAATAAAATTGTTGCTTATATTTCTACATGAAGCGTCTCTTGATGCAACAAGAGACAGCAACACACAAACAACATGTCTCGTTCGCAGATAAAAGTCAAATGAGAGACTTCCAGGTTGGCTGCGAAATTGTTGTTTTTCAGTCTCTTTCTGAATGTCCTGAGGCGTCAACATAAAAGGTTAAATGACGAGGAGACCGAATGGCTCAAAACATGTTTTTGATTAAGCGCTCTTCAGACACGACTTTTGAAAGCGGCTCCAGTTATAGGGTTTCAGTTCTGACCTTTCACATGAGAAATCTTTGAAAGGTTTAGATTTGAAGGACATATACATGAACTTTATTTTTAGCATCATAACATGATTGAACATGCACGAAAAATAGCAGTAAAATTAATACTTCTTTTTGTCATAGTAGAAAGGAAAGTTTTGAGGCTTCAAATCAATTTTCCATCAACGGGGAATATACTCGTAGTTCGTTACACTTTGCACTTCATGCATGGATCGGATAAAATAAATTGGACTTGATTGAAAAGACTTGTTTTTCCTTCATAATAATTTTAGGTATGGAATAAATAATTTGAAAAATAGTGAAAAATGCATTAATAATATAATTCACTGATGTAATACATACATTTCACTGCTTTAAGTAATTTTTTCCCCGAGGCATAAATTCAACGCATATAACGTGAAAAATTAAATGCAAACAATAATCAATGTAAATTGCAACATCTAATATTTATGTAGAAATTATTATATCATGGAATATGTGGATGCGAAGCTAATATGATAAAAATCAGAGAACGGTTGAAGAAATCCAAAACAGATTCAAATTGTATAACAATTTGAATTCAAAGGTTACGTGTTTCACATCGATGCAAACAATAATCAATGTAAATTGCAACATCTAATATTTATGTAGAAATTATTATATCATGGAATATGTGGATGCGAAGCTAATATGATAAAAATTATAGTGCCGACTAATTTTTCGTTTTTTAGCGCATTTTCTCATTTATAGAAAAAATATAACTCAGGTACTCACTGCAGTGAGTGACAGAGAGCACATTTTCTCGTTGACGAAAACATGAAGTCACGAACGGACAGACAGACGAACGGACGGACAGACGGACATAGTGAGCACAAAAATGCAATTTTTTTCATAAATGAAAAAATGCTCTAAAAAGGCGCTACAATGCTCGTCATGTCCGTCTGTCTGTCCGTCTCTCCGTGACATAACGTTTTCGTCGACGAGAAAATGCGCTCTCTGTCACTCACTGCAGTGAGTACTGAGTTATATTTTTTTGTATTTTTTATACCCCAGTTGTCTAGTTAAATTAAAAACTACTATTTTCACCTACGATACTCACCTGCTAATATGGACATTCCCTAAGAGTCATTTCATCAGTTCTTAGCATGATTTTAGTATTTTGTACTGTGTACTCTGATGCGATTCAAGAATTTAGGAATTCTTATAGACAATAATTGCTAATTTAGCAATTATCGTCTCACCTGGAGCCAATTTTTTATCATGATACGCTTTTACCTGAACCAGAGAAATTGATCAACCTCCAGTACGAATATTTATCATATCACAAAAAAATTAATAGATTCATTTTGTTCGTTTAGATGACACCGAATAATATCCATGACTATCTAGACAGTAGCTGTAGAAATTATTCTCCCCAACATTCAATTGAATCAATTTAGCAAGCATGTACAGGATAATTGTAATAATTTATTGTAACTTTCATCGGTAAATAGATTCGATAATTTTCTTTGCATCTTTTATTAAAAAAATCCTATAATTCACAAAAATTCAAACATTTTGCAAATTATTCATGTTCAATCGTAGCATTGAGGAAAATTTCGATCGATCATCAACATGAATAAGTAGAGTTCATTTCATTGCGTGTAAGTACAATTCATTTGCAAAAATTGTAAATAAAATGAAGAAGAGAAAAGGACAATTGTAAGGGAAAAGGAAGAATAAAAACATCAAATTGAATTATATATTATGAAAAATGCTACTGTGCTCTTGTTTATTATGGTTTGATTATATATGTATATTCTTCGGTACGAGACATTTAAGATTGTGCTTGTAGGTGAAAATAATGCGCATCAAGCGCACGGTGCTGTAAATCAAAAAACCCACAAATATTGAAAATATCACTTCAACCACATTCCAAATATTCTTATTTTATAGAGGAATAGTGTGCAGGGACGTACAAGAATTTATACTACATCGAACTCTCTAAAAACTCTCTCATTGAACTCTCTAAAAATTGTGTATGCAAGCCTGGGATCGTCGAGCATAGCAAGGCTTCATCAGCAAAACAGCAACGCCGGCCCCTGGTTTTCCTAGCAGTTGATGGTCTTGTATTATATATGAGACCAGGCATCGCATGAGTGCAACTCTCAAATTTAACAGATAAAACAATAGCAGCTCAATACAATACTATTTTATCGAAAAATTGCAATAGCTAAAATCCGTTTTCATTAACAGTCCAAAAGTTAACTACACTAATATAATGTTCTAATTATTAATTCATTAAATAATAATTATTTAAAAACTGATTACAAGTACATCTGCAACAAACGAATGATTTCAATTTTAATTATTTTATGATTATATGCTAAGTGGCTCAGTCAATGGTTTTATTTGATTGATTTACGAAAATCTGGCTTGTATTTCTTGAACTATTGAACCTGACTAAAAATTCCATTTTTACAATTCGCACCTACGTCTGTCTCTGCTATATTATTGAGAATCTTGCAAAATTTATAGACTTTCCCACATTCGTCATGGCTGGGATTTTGCATTCAGTTCTCAACCTTAATTTTTTTAGGACGTCTTCACAATCATTTTACTTCGACCATCCACTGAAATTTTACAGATTTGTGATAGTTAAATTGTGTTTTCTAATTAGGATGAAATTTATAGGCGCAGGTAGCAAATTTCGCTCGAAAATAAAACATTGGCTTGAAGATTTTCACATATGGACGAAGTAATTACGTTTGTTGCAATTAGGATGTAACTAGGATGTTAGGATTAGAATTACGTTTGTTGTAATTAGGATGAATTTTAAATTATTTGATGATGTGATATCTTTCTTTTCTGCACGAAATCAATCATCTACAAACCAAGCTCGACGCGCCGCACCCGCAGACATTGGTGACGTTCGAGCAGTTCCGATTCTTCTGTTACTTCTGGCAGAAGATGGTAAGGATTCTACAGCGTTCTCGTCTGTGTCTTGGATGAAGTTGGCAGTCAGGCTATCTTCAGTCTTGGCTCCCTGTTTCCTCACGAAGCGGTCTTTGATTTTTCTGGTAACTGCGTGCAGCCGTGTTACTTGAGCGAGCGCCCCGGAGAGTGTCGACCCCCTTCGAGACTGGAGGTCCTCCAGCCTTTGTAGCACCGAGACGTGGCCTGAGAATGAGGCGAAAATTGTCTACTGGATCTAAATAAATATATTTTTGTTATCTTTAGATAGAATGACAAAAGAATAAGCATCTCTAGGCATTCGCCTTAAATATCTTAACTTTGCGCAAAACCGTTCGTTACACCAGCGTATAACATTAACGGCTATATTTCCGAGCCTGAAGTTGACCTGCAGGCTTCAACTACATGGAATACATGTGAAGTATCTCTAGTTATAAGAATCGTTTTGCTTCAATACTCTAAATACAAGTCGTTTGCTTCAATACTTTAAATACAAGTCTTTAAATACAATACTTTCAATATGAGCAACTCAAATATCTTAAATACAAAAGCAATTTCCTGTGAACATCGTCTAGGTTGACAATAGGACGCTATATTGAGTGTAGTCGAGCAGATCGCCAAAAGAAATTAATAGCAGAATAAAGAAAGTTCATAATTTCAATCCATTCAGGCTCTCGAAAGTTGCCTTTACAAAAGCCACTCGTATTAAGTATAGCTCACAAGGGTTGTCCCCCTGCACGGGTATGGTGGAGTAGTCGTGGCCGTGGTGCTGGAAGCCGAGCACGGAAGTGGCTCGGGTGATGCCTGCACCTCTCCTCCTGAAGCCGTGCTCCGCAAAGTCGGCACCCACAAGCTCCTCCCACTCGCTCATCCGGATTGGTACCATCAGCTTGTCGATCAACTTGCAATATAAAACAATCGTTTATTTTCATTCAGACTAAATTTTGAACCATTACATATATAGTAATAGTTACTTGGGGAAAATGATTCCCATGTAATTTTTACTATGAAATTTTCTAGCTTCAAGGTTTCCAGCTTAAACAAATCCTATAACAAAGAAAATTATACCTTGAGCAAGATGAAGGTAACTGACGTCGACCACAGCATAACAACGACACAAGCCAGGGCCTGGATACCGAGTAAGTAAAATCCTCCTCCTGCAATGAAATCCAAAGTAATTTCTCCACATGATTTGGTTGGCATGCACAACAAATCCTGAATGAGTCGCCGAGGGTCAAGTGAAAAATCACGGACACAATGTTTTGAAATGAAAATAAAATAAAAATTAAATGACTTACTAGATTTCAATACAGCGTAACAGATCGAGAAAGATGGCAGGAAGATGTGAACTAACTCTAGGCTAGGCAAATTTGAAGACAGCACAACTTCTTTACCAATGTCCTTAAAGCGACTCAAAGATACTGAAATGGAAAACTTGACGACATAATCGTGGAGGACAAAATTTTATATATTGTAAGAAATTGCGCACGTATCATATGATCCTCTAATTCATCACTGCTCAAACCTCGCAGCTTAACTCGAGACCTCGTCACATGCTCAGCAATGAGAGCCTCTAGGTTTTCGCCAACATGCATTTCATCAAACCTTAGTTAAGTCTGCTTTCTGCGCACGGAATTTCTGAGTTATCAGCAGTTCCATATTAGAGCTTAATCAGCAGGCGTATAGTGTGTGTACATTACGGCTGTTATATAGCGGTTTCAGTGTTTATTAGGCCGTAGGCCTGTCGCCGATTCTTAACATCGCAGAACATCCACAGCTTGTTGCGGGCTTGAACTCACAACTCACTGCTTCAAATTTTCATTGCTTAACCGCCCGGCCTCCTTGCCGACTCTGACCAGAAACTGGCGCACAGAGCTGGGATCGAACCCGCGCCTCTCTGCTCCAATCCTGGTACTCTGAACTGTAACCACTGGGCCACCCCACCTTATGACGAAATATCGCATACGTCACCACTGACCATGTGATATCGGATTGGCCAATCATTAGGCAGTTCATTCTATGGTATTTATTCGAGCGGGAATTATCGCTATGATTATATATTATATTCACCTCGGAAGAGCCCGGAGCGACCATGTGTCATGCCAAGAAGAGTATCAGCTTTCACGAAGAGCCCGATGGCAAGCATCGCCCATATCCCGCATAAGCCTGCGGTATCCGCAAAATGACAGCAAGTCAAGTGATTTATCTTGACTACCGCGTCGAAATATTAGATTAACACAACTATTGTTATTTTCTCTAATGATATGTAAAACCTGGGTATATATTTTCAAACGGTAACTATGTACGATGAAATTTATTGGACAGTTAAACTGATATTTTAAGATGACTTTAAAGAATTCCGTATCTCTCACTAAATCATTCGAATTTGAAAACGCTCTCTATTGAAAATGTGCTAGAAATTGTGAAACTCCCTCGCAAATCTGCAAGAAAACTATACAACGGTTAAAAAATATTATGGTTAACTGAAGCCAGCAATTGTACCCTCACCATGAACGGACGTCGCTCCGACAGGATCATCCACGTGAATTTTGTCCACAAGAGGCATAGTGAGCACGGCTATGGCTCCCCCAACCATACCCACCAACAGGGCTTCGAATGTCGTGAACAGAGCGCAACCAGCTTAAGTGAATACAAAAATATATTTGAAAATTATTTTTATATATTATTAAATATATTAAAATATTATATATTAAAATTAAACAGGGAATGTAGATGAATACAAAAATTAAGGCACAATATTTTGGTAACCAAGGGAAATTGCAATAATAAATACTCACAAATCCCCACCTGGGATGGGCATTTGATCAACGAACAACAAGCATTAGAACCAAATTAATTCAAATTTTCTATTACACGAACATAAAAACCTCGTGAAACCTCGTGTTTCATTCACCTGTAATTGAAACCAAAGCTCCGAGGATACTGTTAACTACGTCGCCAATTTCGAGTTGTCTGTTCTTGAACCATGAGATGCTCATGCCCATCAGGCCACCACCGATGCTGGCCTGAATTGTCGTGACTGCCGTGCGCGCTGCATACTTCCATTTGTGACCTCTGATCCCAAACGTGCTGCAAAAATTTATTTCCTGTTTAGAACTTTAATTTTTAACTAACTAAGTATGATATTTTCGCTATCAGAAATTCTGTTTTTTTGCATTCAAAAATTCTGTTTTTTGCATCACATTCAAAATTTTAATAAAGTTATTACAATTTTAAATTTTTAGAGAAATGGTTAATTAAAGTTAATGATTCACTATAGATCGTGAATGAGATTGAATCAATGTACATTATATTTTCAATAATGTATTATTTTTTTTGAAAACCGCAAGTGAGGAAGAGACAGGAATCGGCAATAAAATTTGAATGACCGATGAAAAAACTAATAATATTTTTGACAACTCTAATAGTAATTACTTGTCACGTGTGTGAGATGCGTTCAAAATATTAAAGAACAAAAATACAGTTCTTTTTAACACTCCAAATGTAGAGTAAACTGAGAAAAGAATACAAATTTATAATATAAAATGTCGCCGGCAGAAAGCCATGGACATTTTTTCATTAATCAATTTTACACTTAATTACTTAAGTGATTCAACAGTCAACAAGTCAAGAATCAATCAAAAACTACCATTGAAAATTCTAAACTTTTGATGCATTATTTTTTTTTTTTTGAACCCTCAGGGACAATAGTGCTCTCAGTTACAGGACTGAAAAATGAAGACTGTCGGCGGTATACAGGCATGAATATTGAAAAAAAATTATATCTGACTCCTTCTGCTTGCCAACCCAGCATTCAGCAGACGTTTTCTCAATTTAGAAGACAAATAAATCAATAAAAATCACCTGCCGCAATTGAAGCCCAGCCAGCCCCACCAGAGCATAAACATGCCCAAGATGGCGGTGGTGGGCGACCCCATAGGAAGAGGAGCGTCCGAGTGATCGTAGCGACCCAAGCGGGGTGAAAAATTTATACTATCCAAATTCGCCGATCAGCTTCAATTTCGAATTGGAATTAAAAAAAGATATAAATAATTATCTGGAGGGGGGAAGGACTCAATTCAAATCTATGTAAATATCTTGAAATGGCCTCGTTTTGAGGACCTTAATTGATTTTCTGCTGCCCGAAATTGTTTCATTAGAAGTAATTCACATTTTAAAACCGAGTTGTAGTTCATATCTTTTTATGATAAAATGAAAATTCACACTCGCCGCCGGTCCCACTATACAGCTGGCGCATATGCCCATATATTATTTTTATTCATATTATTCATATTATGCCCATATGAATTTTTATCAACCAACGTCCACTGAAGAATATTGTTCGATCCTGAAAATTTAAATCAATGATATCTCTGGTCATTAACCACTCGTGTTTAAATAAGCTTATTCTGCTATCTTATAGTAATATATTATTTTATGTACCCATAGCAGGTGCCAATATATTATTTATGCAGAGTGTATAAAATAATGAAGTTACCTCTCAGCTATAGCTCCGGATACGACAGTGGTGGCTGTCGTGGCGAATGAGAGCTGGAAGAAGAAGGTCGTGTAAACATCGCCCATGGTATCTTCATCAGCGTTCAGGAAAAAGCTCCCCCAACCAAAGAGAGGATTTGATCCCCGCGCCGTTCCAAAAGACAAGCCATACCCAAACATCCAGTATGTGATGCCTCCTAGCACGACGTCAACCACATTCTTCACCATGATGTTGGTCTCGTTCTTGATGGACACGCAACCTCCCTCCAGCAGCCCAAATCCTGTGGAGAACATGCATTCAAGAACAATAATCCATAAACTTCAAAATTTCGACGTAAAATATAATGTACATGAAGTCGTCTAAAAAAAATTTGAACAGTAATATAATTGAATAGCATTTTATATTTTTTCACATGGGGATTAAGGTGTAAGTTTATTGATGAAATTACAACAATTATGACAATCGGTCTCCTTGAAGCGCTAAGCTGAAGCAAACTTTATTATAAGTTAAAAAGCATTTCTCACGCCAATTTTTAAAAATATTAAGCACTGTCAACCCCGTTTCAAACCAGTATATGACCTCAAGTAGCAACAAAGATTTTTGTCATGGATAGTCATTGAAGGAATAATTATCAGCAAATTCCGGGTAACATTTGTATTTGAATGTAAAGCATTCTCACCTGACTGCATTGTAAAGATGATGAACGTGGCTGTGAGCACCCAAGCTGCATCGTCCAGTGGGACTTTGCTGGAATCCTGAGGGGTCTGATGAATAACTCCACCTCCTCTGTTCCCGGTCAGGTTGAGGTGCGGCAACCAACTCCAAGTTCCATTGTATTCATAGTGAGTTTCATTGAAGCTGATTGAAGTATTGCTGGCGTTTACACCCGTCGAGTTTAGTAACAATAGAAGTAAAACTTGACTGGCATTTCGTACCGCTGAGAGCAAAGTCGGTTTAAAATGGAGCTCGTGCGAATAATTTTTCATATCCACTCTGGTATTAGGAATTATATCCGTGTAAAAATATGTAGGCATCCGTGAGCTATAATGTTTTGAGAGCGATATGATCTTAGCTAGGCGATTCCTACTTGATCAAAATTTAGAGGTTCAGTTCAGGTCCGTTGTTTTCCAAGACAAGATACATTATTTGTTCATCTTGCAGCTGATCTTAATCATCTTTTGGATCACCGAGCAAATACTCTGAAACTCTACTGTTGCTGAACCATCGTTCAAGAATTCTTTTTTTTTTTGCACACAGATTTCCAAATTTGATTCACTTGAACATAATTTCGTTTATGTACTAGATCCCCTGCAACAAAAATTTTGCCATTCAAAGAATATTAAAATGACAAAGATTGAAAAGAAAGCCTTGATCAAACTAAATCTACAGATTCTTGGGCAGAAGCAAACTACTGCATCTTTAAAATTTAGGTGAGTGCTAGTCCAGATCGACCAAATATTAGTATTTTGAGAAAGCAGATCGACCAAATATTAGTATTTTGAGAAAACATCATACATAATCAAAAGCGATTCGACCAGCTCGAATCCATGATTATGTGTGAACAAAATGTACTTATGACAATGTCTCGATTATCAAAATCAAACATGTATTCAAAAAATTAAAATACAGTCAAAAAATCCAAATTTCCTCGAGTTTTGGCGTTATTTATATCTGTGAACGGCCTAGTACCAGCTTTTAATAAGCTTAATCGAAGGAAAATATACACAAGATACGATGAAAGTGTACTAAGCTACTGGTGCATATAGTATATTACAAAGAGTTTACGTCAAAGCATTGAAATATTAGAAATTATATGACGTGTTTACATTGTTAGCAGTATATTTCAGTTGCATACATTTTTTACGTGACACAAGTGCGTATCGTTTTCGCTAGTGTCTAACGTAATGTCCATGATAAAGGAAGTTTAATAAAACCAAGTTGATCGAATTCGACGACTTAACATGATTATGAACACGGTGAGAATCTAGGCCGAGCTGATAATGTCTAATGAGCACAAAACGCAAAGACCATGCACGCAAGCGAGAACTTCTCACTATCAATCCATGCAGTTAATTATTAGCTACATGACATTAATCAATAGTGTGGAAAACTGCAAAACGTTAGGTTACATAATATCAGCGGATCCAGGTTACACACTAGGAAGTGACTCATACCTGACTTTTTATTAGTTTCATACTAAATTATTTTGTCTGATGTCCTCTACTCTATGTGCATGCCTCTATCTAAGTGAAGGAAATATATTAAATATGATTACATTACTTTGAAAATTAAGTTTTCCTCGTGGCTCTGAGAAGGACTTTTCATTATAAATTGGAAATTAAAATATCAAATGTTCCGTTCTGAAAAACATTAATAAATATTATTTCATCAAGACTCACGAGCCAACAAATCAGGATGAAGCTCTGTTAAATTAGAATCGACACATCAGGGCAATTTCAGATTATTGTTATATGTACAACGTGATTAACAATAATGAAAGTTCACTCAATCAAATCCAAATAATTGTCCTTCAAGTGTTTTCAAAGTTCATGATATTTTAAATGTACAATAAATGTGTCAGCTTCAGCTATATAAACATGTTTTTATATTAAATCTCGGTTTCCAAACAAAAATTTCCACTCATTTTTTTCTACATCCAATTTCCATCCGTTATTCTGTTAAATTCGTTGTTTTAAATTTCTCAAATATATACAACTTGTTTTGTCACTTCATAAACTTCAAAACAGAGTCATTTCTCTATTCCTAAATCATTATTAATGTTTAACTAGAGAAAATCTACGTTGAAGAAATCTCACTTCATAAACTTGAAAACAGTCATTGCTCTATTCCCAAATCATTAATAATGTTTTACTGGAGAAAATCTACGCTGAAGAAAATCCTTTTATGGGATCGTTTCCGCATCAAACCACACTCTAGAACCAGAGCCCGCCGAAGAAGGCGCGTCACGCGCTGACGTGACTCTGCGGTTGATTTCCAGCCGTGAGGCAGCTGGACCCAGGCTGCCGAAGGGATGAACGAAATGTTCGGGTATTTCATCTTCATCGATGATGCTGATCTTGTTAGCAAAGCGATTTTGGGAATCGTTTGTTGATATAATTCGTTTGGATATTTTCGCGATTGCTGAAGAAAGCCTAGAACCAGGGCGAGAATGGAGGGCGCTCAGCCGCTGCAAAACTGAGACATGGCCTGTAGAAGTAGGAAGAGAAGGCGACGTATCAGCCAACGGCATTTAATTAAATTTGAAATGGCTTGATTTACTGTTCCCATCAAGCTATCATGATTTCAAGGAAATACTATGCCACCACAACATGGAGGAGAAGCAAAATAAGATCGATTGATCAGAAAACAATTGTGTAGCAATACTACTTAATGCATCACGACAGCTTTTTAGAGGTTCACAAAGTTAGTAATGAAGCTCATCGATTTGTGAGGCAGCTCCACATTGTTTTAGTTAAATTCAACGAATGCAAAAATTAAACTGAATGCAGTTGAATGCAACGAATGCAAAAATAACTGAATGCAGTTGAATGCAACGAATGCAAAAATAACTGAATGCAGTTGAATGCAACTAATGCAAAAATTTAGCTGAATGCAGTTGAATGCAACGATACGAATGCAAAAATTTAACTGAATGCAGTTGAATGCAACGAATGCAAAAATTTAACTGAATGCAGTTGAATGCAATGAATGCAAAAATTAAACTGAATGCAGTAGATGCACTGAATGCAAAAATCTTCAATGATTTTCATCATACGCGTAACCAGAGCTCACAAGGGTTGTCCCCCTGAACATCGTCTAGGTTGACAACAGGACTCAAGGGAGAGTAGTGAAGCAGATGGTCAAAAGAAATTAATATCAGAATAGAGAAAGTTTGTGTTTTCACTCAATTTAGGCTCATGAGAGTTGCCCTAACACAAACCACTAGTATTAAAGTATTAAGTACTCACAAGGGTTATCCCCCTGCACGGGTATGGTGGAGTAGTCGTGGCCGTGGTGCTGGAAGCCGAGCACGGAAGTGGCTCGGGTGATGCCTGCACCTCTCCTCCTGAAGCCGTGCTCCGCAAAGTCGGCACCCACAAGCTCCTCCCACTCGCTCATTCGGATTGGTACCATAAATTTATCTATGATCTTGAATTGGAAAAAATATGATCGAAATCGTTTTGATGAGTGTGATGATATTTTCATACACGAGTGTTGGTCCACCTAAGTCAGTAATTAGGAACTTAATTATTACCTGGAATAGTCATAAAATAATTATCGTAAAACTATAGGACAATTTTATGTATTTTGGTCGGTCATCCAGGTTGGTTTTGAACCCGAGAATATAAATTGAAGAGTGTACATTTATTCTGAATTTAATCTCGATTTGTGACTTTTTTTGTTACGAGATCGAATGAGTAATGCCTAACTTTAAATAAGATTACTCAATATATAAGATCGATTTCAATATCATGATAGATTAACGGCATTTCTGGATTACTTCTTGTTTACACGAAAATTAGAAATCAGATGCTCCTGCCTAGCGACAGTTACTGGTTCTACGTTTGCGCGATCTCTCTACATCAGAAAAAATGATTCCCGAAAACAAACTCTTTAGATGGCTTAGATTTAAATTTCTTCATATTCTAAGAATTTAATTTCGTACTTCAACCGCATAATTTATTACAAAATAGAATTATGATGTGATGCGCAGGAAAAATTTTCTAATCTAACCTTTAACAAAATGAAGGTAACTATCATGGACCACAAGATGACGACCAGACAGGCGAGGAGCTGGACTCCAAGCAGGTAAAATCCTCCTCCTGCAAAAAATAGTTATAAAGTGTGATTCATCTGAAAAAAAATATTGTAGTATCGTATACAATTTTATCAATCAGCTTCAAAATTCGTTTATTTAGGATTAACTTTAGATACCTCTTAGCAATCCAGATCTGCCGTTAGTCATTGCAAGTAAGTTGTCAGCCTTGACGAAGAGTCCAATTGCAATCATGGCCCACAGTCCGCATAAGCCTATGAGAGAATAGTTTCACATAAAAATATTTTAAAATATCCCTTAAATATTTTGTAAGCAGCTGACCAGAAAGAATAGTATATAATTTACATTTGTTAAATATACATTTTCATTTATATTATGCATCTACGGTATAAGCAGCACGAACTCGACAGAGTTAGTTAAATATTCTTACTGAAAACCGTAGACTTCCAGCGAATGTGAATCGTGTCTATAATCTTGCAATTTTCTTAAATTTAGGAGTATTTAAAAATGCCGTTGCAAGTTGATATCGTAAAAAAATTGCTCATACCCTTGTTTTTATGTATTCCTAATGATGTCAGTTTCAAATACTATAGATCTCACCATGCACAGACGTGGCACCAACAGGGTCGTCAACGTGCAGTTTGTCGATGAGTGGCATGGTGAGGACAGCTATAGTTCCTCCGACCGTGCCTACCAATAAGGCTTCATAGGTCGTATATAAAGCGCATCCCGCTGTGGATATTATCAACAATATGAGCCGCCTATTTATCAGTCGTATTTTATCATGTAGGGGGGTACCAGTATTATAGAAAAATTGAATGCCAATATCTACATAGATATTGTTGGAATTTGTCAACGCCAAGCTTAATTAAATTTCTGGTCGACAATGTTGCAATAATAAACTCAATATACCAACGCATACTCTTAAGTTCAGTTAATTCAATAGATAAAAATTACAATTGAGAAGGTAAAACGATGATGTTAATTAATGATTATATTTGTTGCTAATATTACTTTATAGTTGTTGTTCAACCTCTATTATTGATCATCAATATTTATGAGAGTTATGTTGTTTATCATGTGTTGTTCACAAGTAATTTTCAATTTCACGGCGGGTATCGAAATGAAGAACCCTTTTGCCATGTCCAGGTGTACTATTGGCATGAAAAGGTTCTAGCAAATGTCATAGAAGCTCAGAATTTTCACTGCCGATTAAAGGCGATGTATAATTACAACAAAATATTACTAAATACTAAAATATACAAAAAATTTTGTGAACATACAGTAATTAAGACAGAAACCGGTAATTGCTTAGTTGAAAATTTTTATTTAGTTATAATGATGATCATATATGAAGAAAACATATCCAAAAGTTCCTCATTAATAATTTAGAATTACTGCAGCAGAACGAGATTTACTGTTTAGTTACCGATGCATTATGACTAATCATTATAGTGTAATGTGAACCAGGGGCCATACTTTCAAAACTCGCTAAGTGAACTAAGTACTTACGCTATATTTTCTTGTCTATGATTGGTGGATTTTACTTGGGAGGCCGTCAATGATTGGCTGATGAACTTACGATCTCTTAACTTTTTTGAAAGTATAGGCCCAAAGCTTTATTCGTACCAGTGTTGGAGACCAGCGCTCCTAAGATGCTGTTTACAACGTCCCCGATCTCCAGCTGCCGGTTCTTGTACCAAGAAATGCTCATGCCAGCAATCCCTCCTCCGATGCTCGCTTGGATCGTCGTGACGGCCGTTCGTGCTGCGTACTTCCATTTGTGGTCTTGTATTCCGAAGGTACTGTTGTGATTAACAACAGCTGCTATCAATGATTGTCTTAGGTTTAAAAAATGGGAATGAATTAGGTTTAAATTAGGTGTAAAAACGGTTTACGACCTGAATTCATGATGAATGACGGAATGAATGAATTAGATTTAAAAAATATTCCTCGGTACTCACTGCAGTGAGTGACAGAGAGCGCATTTTCTCGTCGACAAAAATGTGAAGTCACGGACAGTCGGACGGACAGACAGACGGACATGACGAGCACAATAGCGCCTTTTTTCCATAAATGGAAAAATGCACTAAAAAGCGGAAGAGCAATAACTTCACCGCAAGTAGGTATAAAAGCAAGCTATCATTACAGTTTGCATAACCAGCTTCAATCACATGTCACCGACCATTTACTCACAATTTTATTTCGAATCTTGGCCATCGAAGTTTGATCACTTTTTCCGATCAAAAACTTGATCATTTGCCTCCGACTGACCTTGCACTTTTTTAACCGAGAACCCGGGACTGCAAAATTGCAAATTATGCAAAAATATTACAATCGATACTCCAATTAGGCCGAGAATCATTGACAACAGTCTTGCCTTTGTGTCTTCCACTCGTGTTTGATTAAAACAGTCTAAATAGGCAAAAGCATTTGTGACTATCGTGCAGAGACCGGCACATACATGATACAAGATGATTACACGATCTCGCGATGTGAGAGTGAATGGCCATGAGCAACTCGCAATTTAAACCTTGAAATGTTCTGAAACCCCCCTTCACGCCGGACAACTCAACCATTCTCGTCTATATCTACCAGTCTACTGTATCCGAAAGTTGAACTGAGTTATATTTTGCTCCAGTGCAATATTAAACTGCAAAATAGTTGCATTCATCATAGAACATAAAAATTGAGTTGTAAATACTCATGAAATTAAGAATTTAGACCCACCCGCTGCTACGTGTGATGATTATGATGAAATATTTCGTATTTTATTTGGATCACAAAGAATGAAATGAAATCAAAACATGACTCTGTGCTTAAGGAGCAGATGTTTTATGTATATTATTTTATTCGTTCTGCGAAAAAACATTATAACAAATACGTATAGGGAAGACGAAGCTCAACCGTCCAACATCAATAACCGAAAACATAGGTATCTCTATGGCTCATGCTAATAAATTGAAAAACTCGCAAAATAGTCACTCCCTCTCTATGAACTCTGTGAGATATCTAAGTGTTTTACCTTTGCTTTTTTTTTTAATTGAATTATATTTTCACATTTGGTATTAAAAAATTCAATGTTGGTGTTATCCCAACAGAGTTAGGGTATACATTTTTCTCAGACTTAATTCATACCATGATGCACTTTTCTAAGCTTCAAGCAATATTTTTAATTTCAGAGTTTCCTCCTCCGCAGTTCCACCAACCTTCCAACACTGAGCAGTTCCATCCAGCAGTTCGGTGTTGGAACTCAGTTCCAAGTCACTGAACAATTCACTGAACACTGAACTGTTGGAACTCAGTTCCAACACACCCAGCAATTATGAAGGGAATAAGAGATTTAGCTAATATAAGGCCCGTTAACTCCACCTCTTCAGTCCAACACCTGCAGCATCCAGCAATTATGAAGTGAATAAAATATTTAGCTAATAAGGCTCGCTAACTCAAGCTTAATTCAGTGTAACAACCAATATTCTACATCGAATAGTGGTTCAAGGCCAGCGTATTAATGCCATCTGCTAATATATGTCCTTTATCATAGTTGCCAATCAGTGTGATCTTATTTCCTTCGTATATAATTCATGGTTAAAAATTTGAATATTATACATTGTTTAATAAATAGTGTACTTATTCAATACTCTCTTATATTCATCCGTGGTCGTATTTCTTTCAATTACATTTCTCTTTATACCATTAGCTTTTTAGCTACATACATACATAACATTTTGTCCGATGACAATACAACATTGCTCGAAGGCCAACAAATTCTTTAATGGGAAGGCCGCTTTTTTCATTTTTCATTTTAGCGATTACTTTTTGTTCTGGTTTAAATATAGAAAATGATCTTTAGAATAAATCGGTGTATCAAATATCTTGATTATTTTTAATATCTTCATAGAAGCCGTCGGTTTTGGTGTCCTAGCAGAATAAGTCGGTATCGGAGAACAGAAGCTTTGCTCTATCACCATATTTTATCTAATGAAGTCGTAATGCATGTTACACATCAATGTTTTACTTATATTTGGAATGCTCATTCCTACATACAATGCTGTACTAAACTTTAGCTTTTGTTTTTTTCATGCGACAGGCTATTAGGTTTTCTGAAAATATTTTGAACCTTTTAAAATTAGGTTTGTTAACTAATATCCTCAATTCTTGCTTAGTCTTGACCACTTTGACTCGGTTTCTAATGTTCTCCATTGTTTTCCTGAATACAGAATTATATATTAGCTTAAATGAATCTTCATCAAAATCTGATTTCGCTTGTTGTCGCCTTTCTGTGTTCTGATCTATGTAGGGCGTTATCCATGGACTTTCATCAAATTATAGTATTCTACGGATTTTCTCTAATTTCAAAACAAGTTCCTCGTACCGCTTCAAATATCATTTCATTTTTGGTGTTAGTTTTTGATGAAATTGCTACGGAGAAAAATCGAAATCACTCTGATAGTTTTTACACCAGTATAAGATATAATAAATGTAGTTCAATTTACTTATCCCAAAAATATTACATATTACCAAGACAAACCATGAACACGAATTCAAATCGATTAATTCTATTCGAGTTACTTTTCATCGATATGAAGAATATTCACAGTAATTACATTCCTCGCGATATGGCCTTGGCAGATTTTCATGAACTGTATAATAAATCGTATAAAGTATCATGTATTTAATTGTGTGTTTATCAATAAAGAAGAGCAACCCGACACAGGAAAGTTTTTCAAAAATCTAAATCAAGTTTATATTTGAAAGAAGTATCTACCATCGTTACGCTAGGTCAAGTTAGGGGTTCTCAGTTAAAAAAGTGCACGGTCAATCGGAGGTAAGTGATCAGGTTTTTAATCGAAGAACACTGATTAAATTTTTGATGGACAAGATTCGAAATAAGATTGTGGGTAAATGGTCAGAAACCTGTGATTTAAGCTGTAAAGGCAAACTGTGATGATGATCTCGCTTTTTTACCTACTACCGCACTTTATTGACGCTCTCATATTTTGATTTTTTTGTGCTAACCTGTCTAGCTTTGAGGCGGGCAGCCTCAGTATAACAACAATAACAGATGCGAATAATCATCACCTTAGTCGTTCCCTCTATCGGTTAGAGATGACAATTTAGAGGGGGCGACTGACATCCTCGCCTTCATATTTTGGCGAGGATGACATTTGCATCATTCCGTTCTGTTCTCATTTAGATTTTTTACACATCGTAATACTCCACTAATGCCACTTTACTGAAATTATGTCCTCTTTGTTAATATTTTTATGTTCATTTCTGCACGCGTGTAATTTAAATTTTTACATGCTACGCTAATTTCTCAGGTTGCCTATTCAATGTCAGTAATAGAGTTATTCTTAAGCTTTTGCGAGTGGCAAAGCATGCTTAAGGTTGTGTGATTGTACGAATAAAAATTTTGTTTAATTACTGTCAATCTTTACGTGATTTGTCAATCTTGAATCAAGATTCACTGCATACCAAAGAAACATTATTCATAAGCGTTAGCGCCATGAATGCCTTGAACATTAGTAAGTTAATAGAAACATAAGAATGAAATTTTATTAGCCATTGCTTCACGGCGAGGAGGCCATTGATTGATTAAAATTATCCGAATTTGATGTAAAATAGAATTAAAAAAAACTCTTGACGGCGCTACGCCTCTATTCAGGGCGAATTATATTATATTTTAAAACATGTCTTACTAACATTCTATTTTTTATTGTCACATGTTTTCAACAAATTCGTGAAAAACTATGTTCAACATCGTGAAAATTTGAAATCGTTAAAAAGTGTCCGAAAATAAAATAAATTGCACACGTGAGGAAACAGAATAGCATATGCACGCAATCCTAAGTAAATAATTACTTATTTTCAATTGAAAAATAGGTACGCAATTTCTTACCTGCCGCAATTGAAGCCCAGCCAGCCCCACCAGAGCATAAACATGCCCAAGATGGCGGTGGTGGGCGACCCCATAGGAAGAGGAGCGTCCGAGTGATCGTAGCGACCCAAGCGGGGGCCCACCATCACCGCAGCCAGGAAAGCTGGATTTTTAAAAAATATAACTCAGTACTCACTGCAGTGAGTGACAGAGAGCGCATTTTCTCGTCGACGAAAACTTGAGGTCACGGACAGACGGACGGACAGACAGACAGACGGACATGGCGGGCACAATAGTGCATTTTTTTTCATAAATGAGAAAATGCGCTAAAAATGAATTAATTTTGAGTATCTCATAATAATCTTACATTGATTTATTATGACCATTAAAGAATATAACAGAATCATTGCGTTGTATGGCGTTTGATAAATAGAATATTGTTAAATTACATTAATTTATATTGTTGTCTATTCTTGTGTATATCCATCGTTGAGCTGAACTCACCAGAGGCGCCACCACACAGATGAACGCCGCAAGATCCTGCGATGTCGATCACGCCCATCTGGTAAAGGAACCCTCTCTTGGACCACAACCAGCCCGCAGGTATACAATACACAATCGTGTTTACGCTGCTGAAGATCACGTACGCTACGAAGTTGAACCTAAACCCAAACATTATGATTACTAAATATCGGTCGTTAAATTCTTCTTTAATTCATATGAATGGTCTTCGATCCACTATGCATAAAATTTATAATATCATTTTACAGGTTTCAATTTATATCGCGATTTAATTTATAGCACCATGGTCAGGCTTTATGCATAACTTATTCCATAATTATTTGCCGTCTATGTACCTCTCCGCCACGGCTCCGGATACGACAGTGGTGGCTGTCGTGGCGAATGAGAGCTGGAAGAAGAAGGTCGTGTAGACATCGCCCATGGTATCTTCATCGGCGTTCAGGAAAAAGCTCCCCCAACCAAAGAGAGGATTTGATCCCCGCGCCGTTCCAAAAGACAAGCCGTACCCAAACATCCAGTATGTGATGCCTCCTAGCACGACGTCAACCACATTCTTCACCATGATGTTGGTCTCGTTCTTGATGGACACGCAACCTCCCTCCAGCAGCCCAAACCCTGTGAGACGAAAATTTTTTTTGGATTTATGCACCAAACTTTCTTCAATCGTGCCAATTTAATTTTGAATGTAATTTAATTTGATTGATATATATTCGTATGAGTTATTTTTCTTTGCAGTGATGGATACAGGCAAAAAATCGGTATATCACCATCAACCTAATTATACGTTTCATTTCAATTTCGGATTAAACTCACCTGATTGCATTGTAAAAATGATGAATGTAGCAGTGAGCACCCACGCTGCATCGTCTCTACTGATTGATGAAGCTGGATCAGGTTCGGTCTGGTGAGCGACACCACCTCCTCGGTTACCAGTTAAATTCAAGTATGGGAGGCTCGGTATCCATGTCCAGGTTCCGTTGTGGTGAATATGCGTGTCATTAATGAAATATGAAGCGTTCTTGTCCAGCAGGCCGGTCGCATTGAGGTAAGCTGTTATGAGGACTTGAGAGGAGTTCGTTATCAATGTAAGCATAGACGGCTTGGTTTCTACGAAGCCATCAACGATGGATGAATTCGGGTACGAAAAGTTATCGGGAAAATCAGTTGTAATTGAATCGGAAAATCGAAAGGCCTTTGCTTGCTCTATCGACGCATAACTGCTCGGTAATTGTTCAGCCCTCACTGAATTATGATGGCCAAAATAAAACTCCTCAATATTGGAAGTATAATTCGGATCTCCTTTCATCCAAACCATTTTGCAATGGAAGACTCGTCGAAAATTTTAAGTATTAAATATATTCGAAGACTGAAACCTTCTGCTCATTTGTAAAAGAATCACGGGTTGCAGAAGTTGCTCGGGCGTTATAGTTTGAAAAATAGTTCTATATTTATACAAAAATATTAGTCCGAAAGACGTTAACAAACCCACACCCTCGATATGTCAGGGACTAATGGACACTCAATAATTTACATGTTTTTATGATGCTGAGCAGATGACTGATGCAAATTTCATGATTGACCATTCCCGTTAATAAATAACTCCCATGTACCTAAAATTCAAACCCATATTCATATTTTCTTGCATTTGATTCGCAATTAGTTAAAAAAAGTATATGAAATGCTTGCATTTATATTAGGCGTAAAAAGTTGATCTTCAACTTTGCATAAAATTTGTTTTATTTAATGTTATATTTTTAACTACACCTCAGTTAGTCAGTCGTTACTAAGCGCAAGTCATTGCTCTACTGAAGCTCGATGTTGGGCATAGCCTTGCCCTGCGCCATTCTACCGTTCTCTCCCCCAGCCAGTTCACATAGAATATTCCCAATGCAGTTCAAATTAAGGTCATCGTTCTTCCGATAAATCTGCCGCTGGCAATTTCTTCCTGGTCAGAGTTACATGGTCCCACAGTCTTGTTTTGATTCTGGCTTGTTGGTGTTCATCACGCATTGGGTCACCAATGTCTGGTTTGACATTCAAATGACACATACGGTCATTAAAAGACTGAGGAAAAAGTTGGACGGCTTTGGTAACTCTAGAAAAAAATACAAGGCAACAGCAAGTGAAAAATGAAGGCTCAATGTGCACAACAAAATTTTCATTCATGTTCCATTTATATCATTTATGATGACGGCACTTTGAGGCACAAGTGGACAATTCAACAAGTGTAATTTATTATCGATTTAAAATACGTATAAATGGCGCAAAAGATAATGCTAGTATCAAACAATTTAAATTTGATTTTAAAATCGGAGACATCTTTATTTTGTCAACATGAAGCAATGAAAAATATCATGCCCCAAACTACTGAAATTATTCATCTTTTATTGGTAGTATATGCGTATTATAAGTTGAAGGTTAAAAGTAAGCCTTGCAGGTTCGTGTTTCTTATACGTAGAAGGCCCCAGTTCTTTATTTTGGCAATGATTTCATCATTGGGCTGCAATCGTTCTCAACTTTTCAGGAATTGAGCTAAGAAATTTCATGTTACTGTTTCAATAAAGACTGACTTTATTTACCAATTTTCTATTAAGCAAAACTTTGATCGTTGTTCTCATCCACGGTTATACCCATAACAAAACTATCAAAGAACTCCCCACGATTCTTTTGAATTATATTTAGCGTTTACGATTATTGATTCAGAGATCGATTTGTCATCGACGTCGTTGCGTGCAGGAGGTTCAAAACAAAGTTGTTATTCAAAGCTCTAGCTATGAGGACATGCACGTAACTGCAGTCAATGCGAATTACGGCCTTAGTTTATGGTGATCACTTTACTGTTCATGCATGGATTATCGAAAATTTGAACGGCGTGATGACAGATGCCTGAATAATAGAGTACATGTACGAAACAACGCGTTGCTGTGGAAGCCCTTTAACCTGGCCTGAATATCAGCCTAGTAACGAAAAACACTGAGGGTTAATGGTGTATTTTAAATTTTATACCATATATAGGGTAACATGGGGCAGCGAGCCCACTTCGGGTCACGGGCCCATAGCGGGTTTCTCGCTAAGTATGGCAGATATTGGTCCGTGTTCTCTACCGCCGGTCGACAGTTTCACTGGGATGAAGTATACGGATTTACGTTTTGATAAGTGTTTGCTGTTATAAGTTATTTGTGAATAACTGTTTTAGCCCAGATAAAAAATTTTTTGCTGCCAAATAAAACTGTTTTCGATTCCTGTAGATGAAGCTTTTGAAATTACCGTGAAATATATTTTGAAAGTTATATTTATGGAGATAATTTTGAGATCAAGTTTAGACTATTAGCTTTTAAAATAAAATGTTGACACGATATAAATTGAAATGATACCTATAGTGGGGCAATGGGCCCCACGCGTGTCACGGGGCAAAGCGCCCATGGTGAAGCCTTGTGTTATACATCATTAGATTTGTCTCAATGACCTTTTCAAAACTATGACTAGTTTTTTTAATTACAAACTACACTTCATATTGCATGATTTTTTATTTGCCGCCTCAAGGCAGCAGGTTTAGTTTCTAGTTGTGCGTTTTTTATGACCCCTTATCGAGTTATTGACTCTTGCCTTGCCAAAAGTTGATTTCAGTCAACACCAATGAGCCAAAAGTTGATGAGTTTTTATGGTGTCACGATTAGGTACGAATTCTCTGCACATAATATATGGATTATGGACGAAACTGAAACGAAGTTTTTTTTTCTGATCAACTAAATATACTTTTTCTAGTCAAGGATACATTTTTTTAGGTCAAGGACGAATTTTTTATCGCGAGAATTTATTTTTCAAGTCAAGGATGTATATTTTTATGTCAATGAAATATTTTTCTTCACGTCAGTGATAGATTTTTAAGCTCGGCGATACAGACCGAATATAAGGAAGTGTGAAATCAAGAATGACGGTAAAACGAAAAAAAAGTCGCAAACGAAGGTAAAATCGAAAATTTTTTGAAGCTAAAAAATCACCGTTTGGTAGTTAGGTATGTATATTCAAAATTTCGTTCAATTTCAAAATTTCGTTCAAATTATTTGATCACTGCGAATTTTGGCCTTTATCGCAATATAACTCACGAATGAAGGTGAAATTCAAAAATTTTTTACGAGCTAAAAATCACTGTTAGTTTCTGATGAATACATGTTCCAAGTTCAATTGAGCTGCTTTCATTAGTTTGGGAGATATTACTTGATAATTGAATTTGGAGATTGGTCGTGCGACCGGCCACGAGTCCGGCAGTAAATTTGCCCAAGATGTCCTAGGTTTCTAGTGCTCAAACAGTTAAAACAACTTAAAACATATTGGTTCACTAAATGGGGTTCTATTTGTAAAAGACACATTTTTGTTTAACCTTTATCTTCTAAAATTGCAGCGTATTTAATTTCAAGAAAGAGGCGTATGTTTTTATATGTGTCTGTGGGGGGCGATAGAAATTCACTAGGGAGCCAAAGGGAGCGCCAGCCTGAAAAAGTTTGGGAACCACTGGACTAGACGAAGCTATGCAGCAGCACATGATCAGTCTTAAAATGCCTAGCAAATTACGGACCTGGCAATAAGTCTAGCAGCTATCTCAATCAATCGTCAGTTATGGAAAGATAGTGTTGCAAAGGCCGGATCCCTTGTGAATCAAGTCACGAAAAATTCAAAAATCGGCAACAGGCAATGGGCTTATTTCTTCAGTGCCGACACTTCTATTCTAATCTATTCTATTACTTTGCTTCCATAAAGTTTCACTGTCTATCCAAACATTTCCGTGTATCTTAAACATTTTTTGGTATTCATCTGCGCAGGTTTTAAATCCGCCGTTATAATTTTAACAACTTGCGTTGATATAATAGTATATTAATGGATGAATAGCAGAATTGATCGACTTAATGATACTTGTTGTCCGTTTTAAATGCAGAATCGCGATCTTTGCACACGCTACAACTCAGCGCTTCAAAAAATCGAAGCGGAAAAAAAATATGACAACGTTTGCAGGAGCAAATTGGAATGAAATAGATTCGTTGTCGATTGCAAAGATAAAGATTGTGCTGTAAATATTTATCCCAAGAGTTATTCCGTGCGGTGGTAATTGTACTGGGTTTCACGGTTAACGTTCAGCCGCGGCTGTTGATAAATAGCGTGTTGCATGAACTATGTTTAGCATGAACGGTGTGTGTTACACAAACTGTGTGTAGCATAATCTGTGTGTTGCCTGAACTGTGAATGGCAGGAGTTGGACGTTGCAATAACTGTGTGTTGCATGAACTGTGTGATGCATGAAGTGCGACTTGTATGATTTGTATGTTGCAAGAACGGCGTGTTGCATTAATCAACTGTGTCGTAGTAACCGTGCGTTGCATTACCCGTGTGTTGCATGAACAGTGTTTTGCAAGAAACTTTTGTTGCATGAAGTGTCTGTTGCATGAACTATATGCAGCATGGAAATTGTATGTTGCAGGTTTTTTGCCCGCATTCACCATCATTATGTCAAGTGCCCTGCTTTCCTGAGTGAGTAGAGGTGTCGGGCACCAGCCGAAAATCCCACTTCTGTCTTTTGCTTTTCCATTGACAATCATGCAACAGAATATAATAAAAAATTTATCTTCTTCTAGTATTTTAATGTAACGTTATTTCATTTTCAAACCACATTGAAAAAAATTTTCGAGTTGAATACTCAATTTACCAACAGAGCGGAGGCGAGGCCAAAGCACATGGCCAAAGAAATCATCGCTGAATTATGATGGTTATAGATCTCGAGATGAAAATACCATATTTACTTGCACTTTGCAGTCCATTTTGAAGGCTTGATTAGTATTCAATGATTTGATGATAAATCTTATGAACCCATAAATTGAAAATAATTGGATGATGAAACTACGATGTGTGAATAAATGTAACGGTTCTGTCTCGACTAAACTTATAGGTACGTACTAGCCGCCAATTTACTGTTCACTAAATTTTTACCATTGAGAATCACGTTTCGGACAAATTTACGGTCATCTTTGAATGAGAGTGTTGTTATCGTGCCCTGAATGTACAATTGTACATTAGATCGCAGTTTGTAAATCGACGCAGTGAAGGAAGGAAATATTTTTCGTGACAAGGCTGCGAATAAACTCTCCTCTAAAGCTACGAGTACGAACGACGGTCAGCGGGTCGACGTCGTCTCTGTGGACGAGTGACAACTTATCTAAAGTGAAGTTTATTTACATAGATATGCTATTTATAATTTGATGATTTTTCCATACCTAATTCCAAAGATTTACGTAATTAGCTACTGGAATTCATTACTCACGGTTAAGTGACAGCTACGTAAAATATACTGGTACTGTGGTACACGACCGAGCATTATCATGATTATAGTTAAGAGGTGCAGTCTGCCCCCTGCACTCTGCAGTCAACGCAGTGCATTGTAAACTTGTCGATTATCATCTGTCATCGTTTCTGCTGCTACATGTAATTCATAATTGATTCTGGGCCCCTTTTCTATCGCTTAAGTTCCTGATGATAAAATTTGTTATGATTAGTTCCCATTTTATTTGAAATAACGCTGATTACGGTACGTACGTCGTGCCCGTGGCGGTGGTTCACTGGTTGTACGTGACTAGGTACTAGCCTACCTATTAAATTTCTCGCCAGTCGCAATACTGCTGAACATCCCAAGATTCTGGCCTACCTATAATATGTAATTAAGTTCATGTGTTCTCTTCCAACTCTGAATTCCAAGATCTGCCTATATCTTAGTTATGGCCATGAGATTGAGCTTGAGGCATAAGGTCCCGACGTCCCGTATTTCTCTGAGTGACTGACAGACTGAGTCTGGGACTTGACTTGTTGGTGATATGCTTATGATTCTTATCTCCTCCAGCCTCCAGGCTCTCACTACTATCACTTCACTTCTGAGATCTGAGTATCTAATTTAGACTGAGTCTGACACTGAAAGTTAGTTGTTATTTTAAGTTCTATGCTAATTCTATTGCCACACTGTAATAACACAACGTAGGTAGGCTATTGTTTAAAATTTCAGTTCAAACTTCAACAACTGTTCAGTAGACTGCACAGTGCAGTGACAGACTGACAGTGAGTGCACTGTAACTGTGTAACTGCATGCAATTTAATTGCAATTTTGCACCCTTGTTTCACAGCAATGAGTGGAAATATTCCATATGAACCTGAGTTACCTGACTTGAGTCAAATCCAAACTGACTGCATTAAACTTTCAAGAAGTCAAGATGAATCTTGGGCTGGTGATGAAGCAAGAAAATATTTTGAAAACTCTTCAAGTTCAAGATATTCTTCAATGCTGCCTCCTGTGCTATTACGAAAGAAGCGTGAAAGTTTGTGCAAGTTGCAGGTGGTCAGGGGCATTGGGGTAAGTCTGGTAGTGGTAGTAACCAATGGATTGTTGTTTTATGAATAAATTTCCCTTATCAATTTGTATTTTTTGTAACTACCAGTACCAGATAACTATAATTTAAATATTATATATTTAAATGCCATTGTTGAAAAAACAGACCAATAATACAATACCTATGCTATGTAGGGCTCATTTCTCTAAAAGTCTTTGGTGAAAACAATTTTTCTTTGGTAATTGTGTAAAATAGCTTCCAATGTATTGTTGAATCTTGAATACTCTATATTTACATAAGAATTTAGGCAAGGGATAACTTGAAACTGAAAGTATGGCCAAAACCCAAAATTGTTAACTCATTCAGGCTATTTTAGCCCATTCCTAGGTGCCGGCTTATGCAGGCTTACTGGGCTTAGAATATGATGTCTACTTTCTGACCTGTGATTAGAGCTTTCTTGCCATTTTTCATGATGGGAGATTTCTGCTAGATGAATTTTCTCCTATCTAATTCTTATCAAAAGTGGGCTGGGGCTGTACGCCTGTACCTGTAAAATTACTAATGTACTGAAAAATGTTACTTTGGAGCTGCAATATTCCAGTTGTAAGTAGGAAAATCCTTATCATGCCTGGCTTGCATATACATTATACATACTGATAGTGATACTGGGTTAGGTGACCTCAAATTTTATATTTTCTTAATTACCTAGCTGGTATTTTTTATTTTAGCCTTTGACACAGCTGGATCAATGTTGAATATATGAAAACTCATTCCTAGAATTCCACCCTGCTAATGTTTGCAGCATAATTTCTTAATAAATGTGATGAAATATCTCATTGTTTTGAAATAATATTTTCTGGAAATATAAATAAATCTTTCTCTTTATGGCCTATACATGATTATTACATTTTTTGACCTGGGTATTGTGACACATGACATTTATGTATCTTTTTATACAAATTGTGATGCAATACAGTAAAACTTCTGGTCTCTTGGTCAAGTATAGAAAATATTCTGAAGAATTATGATAAGAAAGGCAAAAAAATTTTTTTTTGGATGGATTATTTTGAACAAGCTGATTTTTTTCTTCAACAGCGCACAACTCGCCATGCAGTGCAGCGTCACTGCCAGCTCACCTCTGAGCTGATCAACAGACTGGGCTTGTCTACTGAATTGCATGGCCATCAAGGCTGTGTCAACTGCATTGAATTCAATGATAATGGCAGGTTTGTGAATTTTATAGTTTTTTTAAAGTTTTTTATATATAAATACATATATTTTATGCCTATAGGTACGGTATATACCTAATATCACCATATATGGTATATTGACCATATACCATATACGTACGCATACAGGGTCATCAATATTTAGCGTTTACATTTTTTTCAAAATCATTGTTCATAATTGTCCTCGATATTTGTCATTTATTTACACCTTCTCATTAATCTTTATCTTTATTTATCATTTATCATCTTTATGGTGTCAAAAAACACCAACTGTCTGCTCAAGTTGTTGACAAACGCCTCCAAAGATCCAAGATTATTCTTTCCTGCATTCATGATGGCACGCTGCCAAACCTTGTTTTCAGTGATGAGAAGATATTCAAAGTTGAACACCACTTCAACTCCCAAAGTGATCGAATTTGGTCGAAGAATGGGGACGAAGGATCCCGTGTGGTGACTAGGAAGCAATGCCGGACCTCAGTTATGGCCTGGGCAGCCATAACAGAGTCCTCAAGGAGTCCCCTCGAACTGCCTAACAGAGTCTTCAAGGAGTCCCCTTGACAAAGGGGTGAAATTAAATCAGAAGAATTATCAAGATGCCATCCTTGTTGGTGCATTGTTGCCCTGGGCACAAAAGCACTTCAAAAAACGTCCATGGTCGTTCCAGCAGGACTCTGCACCATCCCATGGGGCCAAATTGATTCAGGAGTGGCTGTCCGAGAATGTTCCCCACTTCATTACCAAAGATGAATGGCCCCCATCATCACCCGATATGAATCCTCTGGATTTTGGGATCTGGTCATACCTTAAGAGTAAGGTTTCGACTGTTCACCATCACAGTTTGGATGCCCTAAAGGTCAAACTGCTGAAGAAGTGGGCCAAAATCCCACAGAGTGTCTTTCGTGACTCGTGTAAGGCTTTCTCTAAGCGTCTACAACTCGTTATTGATGCAGATGGTGGACATCTTGAATGAAATTGTGGGAATTGTATCTCTGAATCTATGCCTACATAAATACATTTTCAAACATTCACAATTGTCTTTCATTTCATAGTTCTAACCACTCAAAGTTGTAACACTAAATATTGATGACCCTGTATATTTTTCAAATGACCTCCACTAAATAAATTTCACTAGGCTGCTAAGCATGCATTTATAGAATGTAATCATAATGTGTTTCCAATCTACTAGTCAGCATTATGTTTGCATTGACATATTAACTATAGGTACTGTTGTATAATTTTTTTTCAAATTTCAATCCAAGTTTTCAAATGATCTCCACTTGTTGAAAAAAATTAATTGGTTTTAAGGTCTTTCAAACCAAACATTTTTTGGCTTTTAAAATGTTATTGTATATGGTTGGAAATCACCTTGTATGCTAAACTATTTTTAAGCTCTATTGACATGAATGGTTTTATATTGTATAACTATTGATATTTATAAGGCAATTATGGGTCTCAAACTCAATTGTGTTCCACCCAAATTTCTTGTCTACTATTTCCCTCACCACAACAATTTGTCTTCTTAATTTTCCCTATTTTCCCAGATTACTTGTATCAGGTTCTGATGACTACCAATTGATGCTGTGGGATGTGCATAGTCGTAAGAAATTGCAAGCTTATACAACATCACACTCTGGCAACATTTTCTCTGTGAAGGTTGGTGCTTAATTTATGTAGGTACCTAGTGTGTTTCAAATGATTTCGAGGTGTATTGTAAATCCTTGAGGATATTGTTTATCCTATAGCTAAAGTAGAGTAATTAATGAAATGATAATTTTTTAGAAAAGTGATAGAGCAATGCTGACCTTTCTGGAATCTTTCAGATAAATTTATTTTTCCTCAGTATTTCAGTACCAAGCTTGCTGTGTTTTCAACTTATGTTTGTCTATATTTGCAATAAACCTTATCTGGAACAATGAGAAAAGAATGGGCTTTATTTCTCCCAAGTAAATATTGCATTTCAGACCCTTGTGATGGCAAGACAAGGATCTGAGTTTATTTATCACTAGATATTTTATTTCTTTCATGTATTGACTCATTCGGTTTTTTAAATGAATTATTTTAATAATAATTAACATTTTTGCATTAGTTTTTGCCCTCTTGTGGCACTGGACTTCTGGTGTCTGGGGCTGGTGACAAGAAAGTGGAGGTGCGAGACATATCAACCAGCCGACTGCTGCACTCCTGCACATGTCACTCCAGCAGAGTCAAGCGGCTTGCCACTTCACCACATCTACAACACACTTTCTTCTCTGCTGCTGAAGATGGCACTGTACTGTAAGGCTCTATCTCTTTACTGGGCTGTTCTTTTAAATCTTGATAAACCTTACGGTACCTACGTAAAGTTTTTATTCCTAACTTCCTAATTCTTTTGTCATCAATAATTGTGATGTCTGTATTTGTAATCTTCTTATTTATTTGTTATAAATTCTAGGCTATAATTTGATCTGCTTTTGCTGCACATAATTGGTGCTATTTTCATGACTCAGACAGCTTATAACCATCATAGGTTGGAGCCTTCAGGGAAAATAATCAATAATATGCGAACTAACCATAAGCCCCCATTCAGGGATACACTGACAGGTTCTCTAGGCTATAATTTCCATTGTGTTTGTAGAATTGCTAAACAAATTTTAACACAAGGATGTAGTGTGGTAAACACAAAGAAGCATGAGATTTATCTTGTATATCAATATCCTGAGTGTCCTGGACTAACAAATTTCTATATGAAACTCGGTACTAGATGTATAAGTTCCATGTGGCGTGTGCAAATTTTTGACCTGCTATTCTTCCATCATGTTTCAATTTGAACATTTTTTTGCATAGGTAATTTTCGTTTCATATCGCTCAATCCAGTGGTTTTGCAAAGTAAACAAGTGGAAACTTTTAAATTAAAATAAGATTGCAATTTATCCTTAGCTTTCCCAATAACTTTCTGTTCTGCGATAATATACACAGCTCAATTTATTTAACAATATTTTTTCATGTTCCATTTATATCAATTATGTGTCTAAGTGTTAAAGTTTCTATACTGTTAGAAAAATTACCGTCAATGGTATTACCAGCGCTTCAGTGGCCGGGCGGCACGTGAAAAGAAACACCGTGTCGCCGTTTTTATTCTAATTTAACACTAGAAATCCGTGTAACATCTGTTAAGAACGGAGAAACTGTTTATTTTCACGGGGCGACCGGCCACTAGAACGCCAGTGGGACCGTTTTTTCACCGTTTTTTCTTACAGTGTATGTTAGTTAGTATGAAGATTATGTTTGTGCAGTCAGTACGATCTTCGGACTCCTCATCAGTGCGATCGCTCGCCCTGCAATGTTGTCATTGACCTGCGATCTTTGGCCAGTCAGGGCCATCCAAATGAAGTGAAGTGTGCTGCTATCAGCCCACGTGACCCCAACCTGCTGGCTGTGGGAGCCAATGATCCGTTTGTCAGGATTTTTGACAGAAGAATGATAAAACTTTCCAAAATGCAGGTTATTTATTGCCCAAATATGGCCATTAATGTTGATCTTTTCTCCGTGATGTTCGAAGCACATAACATTGGTAGCATGCCTTTGGAACAGCTTATTAATAAAAAATAACATGCCTATTCTAAATTTTCATTGATTATTATTTTCAGTATATTAACCATTCAATGCTCAAGTGAATCATTTATTTCTACATGCACATTTCTTTGACAATTTTTCAAGCTCTTATCAATTTGAGTAATTATTTACAAAGAATTGTTTAAACTTGTCCTTGACTGTTGAAGAATTATCAACTTCCAAAAAAAAAGAAATTTTAATGAACTTGAATTTATATTGAAGAAATGTTGCCTATATGAAGATTGAAAGAATATAGGTACTACCTATGCATAACTTTATTTATTGGTAGAAATGAAGATTAATAAAAAATCGGTTAGCATATTTTTTACTATTGTGGTTGTGTGTCATTATCTTTCAGAGGCATCTTATGATCACTTGTAGTTTCCAGTCAAAATCCAAATAGTTGAATATTATTTTTTGTAAATTTATTTTGAAATTTACATGTTTGGAACCAGCGTTTTTCTTCCAAAAAGAAAAAAATAAACAAATAGTACCTAAATCGTTCCTGAACATATACACTCGAAAGAGATGCTTAATTTTATTAATAATTGATGATAATAATAAACTGGGTATTATTCACAGAGTGGGATGCCACCAATGGGGATGCATGGAGGAGGTGCAGTGAATGGTGACATGCTGCCCCTAGGTTGCTGTCAGTACTACGTTCCTGGTACGTGATGTGCAGGAAATACCTGGCAATCTTCACCGTATTTTGGTTAAGTCATGGTTTCTGTTTTTGGGGTATGCAACTTTTTAGCGCATTTTCTCATTTATGGAGAAAATGCACTATTGTCCTCGCAATGTCCGTCTGTCCGTCCATGACTTCACGTTTTCGTGATATTTTATTCATTCGACGAGAAAATGCGCTCTCTGTCAGTCACTGCAGTGAGTACTGTTATATTTTTTAAAAGCGTTTTTCAAGTTGGATCACAATTTTTACTTTGATTTATTTACTAATTTACAATTTTTGATATGATAAATGCATCACTTGGTATGGAAGAATGGTTTAGCAAAACTGGTTTTTTTAATAATCACTCTTTTATAGAATTCTGTTTCCTTAAATAGTTTGAGATGAAAATAAGAATTTATTTGCATTCTTTGATCGAAACTCTTGTAGAAAAAGAATTTTCTACTCCAATCAATAAGACTTTTTCCTTGATTGCCTTGGTCTGCGTTCTGGTGTGCGTGGATACATAGGTAACTGTAATTTGATGCCCCTAATTTTTTGTTACTATTTAGACTCTTTTTGCTTTATAATCCTGTCGAGGTAAAAGTTCCTTCATTGATTTCCTGAGATTGGTGCAATCAGTTTCATGATACCGGTAAGTTCAACAAAGTTGAGTCCAAGTGTTTCAATGACTTCTATGCTTCCATCAATAATTACCTGTATGCCTCTACAGAAGGAAATTAATATCTACCGTTTTAACTCTTTTAAGGTTATAGTCCATTATAAATATGTTTAATTCATGATTAGAATTTACACACATGTGATGCAATATGTTCTTAGCCCATAATGCCCAACGTGACATTCGGCGCGAGATAGCTTAGCAGCTGAAGCGCTAGTAATCATAGGGTCACTAAACTAACTAACTAACTAGAATTTATACTCAATTTTTTTTAATACTTTTTGTTTTAGCAATATACTCATGTAAAATATGGTTCAGCTTTGTCGTAGTTTCACATGTAACTGCGTCCAAATTCTTTCCCATTCACTAGCCCTCTCTCAATAACTCGATTCAGGGACTCTTCCGCAAAGAATGTTCAATTTTTTAAATTGTCTTGCAAAACCTCACTTATGTAAAAATTCTTTAGGGTATTGGGCTATATAATGTAACTATCAATTATGAACATCTATTTATCTGGTCACCTCTGAATACTAAGTATTAAAAATTTTGTTTGTAGAGAGCATTAAATTATGTAGCTCTGGAAATCTTTGAATTATGAATTTCTCTCACTTAGGGTATAAATTTAGCATAATTTGCCTTAACTTATTTGGAGAAAATTCAATTTATATTAAAAGACTTAAGTTGTATAGGTATGTATCTAATACAGAATGATTCACGGAAACTTCCTGATTTGAGAGCTGAATTAAAATAGAACTAGACAAGATATCATTATAATAGGTATTTTATTGAATAAGACATTACCCGAATTTTTGTGTCAGTTAGTTTTATAGATGACATCGGACAAATGACGGCCCCAATTTTCAATGCATTCAGTTAGTCGATTTTTGAAGATCCGTTCAACTTGCTGAAGCATATTGATGGGTATGTTGGCGATGGCTTGGCGTAGGTATGTTGTTTTTCAAATGAGGTAGGGTCCTTGGACAGGCATTGTAAATAATTGATTTAAGGTGACCCCATATAAAATCACATGGAACAAAATCGGAGGACCGGGCCGGCTAAAAAAGGTCAACTCTCAAGGAAATGAGGCCCTCTGAAAAATATTGTCTCTGACGGAGACAACTCTGCGAAAGTACGCCTCGACAGAAAACGCATGCTGCTCACTTGTCCAATGCCTAGTGGCTACTGACTAGACGAGACCCAAAACTTTATGACTTTGCCTTTCATATGAAATACTTCCCACCCTTTTCCTGCAACATTTGGCTGCTTGGCGAAAAATACAAAACAGGAAGTTTCCCTTAGTCACACTGTAGTTAATTATTGATAAAGTCAAAATACAGCCGTTATGTCCCACAGGTCACTTGCCTCCGAGCCAACAGCGAGTGCAGCGTCGAATTAGGTCGTTGGCCACCACGTATCTTAGCTACAGTTCATCAGGCCAGTATCTGCTAGCAAATATGGGCGGCGAGAACATTTATCTCTACGACACCTTCAACCCTCTGCCCCCTGTGAGATATGCGCCTCCTACACGCTCCTGCTTCTCATCTGGTTAGTTATATTCTGTACTCTTTTTTTCAAGCTTTGTGTGCTATTTACTGTCAGGACACAGTATACTCCTTGTCAATGCTTACAGTACTCATAACTTTCCATACGGAGTTAACTCTTCGTGCACGGTGAACAAATTTTTGCAGTTTTAAGTAAAGCAATTTCTTTTCTACTTAGCCTGACTATCTTTCAGATGAGAAAGGTTCTTGTGACCATTTAACGGAAACATCAAATGGCGTCAATGCTTCTTCTTCAAATGGAATGTCAAGTTCATCATCAAATGGGATAACGGCCTCTTCTGCTAATGGAGTTTCGAGTTCTTCAAACGGTTTCTACATGCCTTCTACGACTCCTCCATCCCCACCTTCCCCAACAATTCCAGAAGTTCTTCCTCCACACGTAGAGGCTCTGAAGGAGAAGGCCTCAGAGCTCTGCAAAACCGAGAACTGGGCGGCCGCCGTTATGACGTTCAATGAAGCTTTGCAGGCTGCCCCGGAGTCAGCGCTACTTTTCAGGTCATTTTAGACTCAGTTTTCCCACGTTTTAATGAAGTGATTTCCTAATATCTCTTCTCAGATTTTATTTTTGCCTATCGACGGCAGAGAAATGTTACCCCATTTATTGTTTTCTAATACAATTCCTTGACTCAGTGCCACTTGAGTAATCAAATTGCGTTAATATCTTCATATGCAACTTCTGATACATAATTCCCTGCTCAATTTCGAATGACCAGGCCGTAGAAAATACGATATTGATGCACTTTAACATTTAAGGTGATAGATTTCAGTCGATTCCGCATAGAGATTACATATAGGTATATATGGACTATCTTGATGTTGAGATGAAATGTTATGATTTGATTTTCTAGCGATAAGGTTCATAGATTACACTGAGCGTGGTATTACTAATAGTTTACATATTTTCTCACTATTGTCTTTCATCATCCATTTCAGGAATCGCGCGGCCGTACTTATAAAACGCAATTGGGAAGGTGACACTTACGCCGCACTACGTGATTCTTTCCGCGCAATGTCATTGGAACCCAATCATCCTAAAGCCTATCACAGAATAACCAAATGTCTCCATAAACTGTGTCGCTTTGACGAAGCCAAGTATTGCATGGATGACTTCAGGAAACATCACGCTGCATTGAGTCGCTCGCCGTCATATTGTGCGCTATATACGAACATTCTCGATGAAGTCTTTCAAAGCTCAGTTGGAAATGAAAGCAGTAGCAGTAAGAACGAAACTCATGGAAGTGCCTCTTCGCAGGACCAAATCCCCTCAAATAATTTATCGCCGGAGCAACAGCGGAGGTTGAAAGCATTTGACTACGTTTCATACTACGCTGGTCATTGCAATACCACGACAGACATCAAAGAGGCCGTGTTCCTTGGCCAGTCGGGTGAATTTGTGGCTGCCGGCTCAGACGACGGTAACATGTTTATTTGGGAAACGGCGACCGGAAATCTCGTTCGCATCATGCCGGCCGACGAGAACATAGTCAACTGTGTTCAATGTCACCCTAGCGCCAGCATGGTCGTCACAAGTGGAATTGACCACACGGTTAAAATTTGGGAGCCTTTAGGGGAGTCTCAAGTTAACACTGACGCTGACCTGGTTTACACGACCGGCAGAAATCAGACCCGCATGAAGGAAGATCCACTAGAACTGCTGTTCATGCACATGGGTGACTTGACGCACGTCTTCAGCAGCAACGAGCTGGGGCGCGGTATCTCCAGAGGGAGCCGAGCATCCTTTGGTCTAAGTTTATTCAGACGTGAAGCAGATGACGACGATGATGATGGCGAGGTTCCTCAGCACGCCTTTGAGTTCCTCAGGATCCCGCGGCCTGACGGTGGTAGCGATGGTAGTGGTGGTGCTGGGGGTGCTGCTGGATCGGATGTCCAGTGTAGAACTTGTTGAAGTTGTTATATTTTATTCATTCGAGAATAGTTGTTCACTCCAGCACATGGCTATTGTGAACGAAACGGTAAAGTTATTAATCAGGATGTGTATTAATGCAGAGATATGTACAGGAAATTATTTGCCACAGCAGCAGGGGATATCGGTAGTGCATCATTTCGATACTCTCTCAAAGTTAGATGAATCCCAGAAGGTATTGTTTAGCTGTTAACGCATTGCATGCAAGCTAAGTGTTAGCGAGTAAGTATTTCCTGATATAGTGTGAGAAAGTGGAAATAATGTAATAAATATTTGCTATCATTTTTCGTTGCTTGGTAAAATGGAGTTCTTTTTTGCACTAGCGCGGATATCTTTTGATTATAATTTACCTGAAAACAATTACTTCTTTGCTGATGATCCTTTGCATATTCTCAAATGTACATAAACCAGAATCAGCTTCCGGGAAGTAGTATTCAAAAATGGTGCTATGATTATTCACAATTTCGCATTCTTTTTTCTATCTAAAGATTTTTAGCAGGTAAACTTGTTCTGAAAAATTGTTTTCAGCGGATTTTTTCTTCACTCAGATTGTACGTAGTCAGTCATTTTCAGCGTTAGGATAAAAAAATTCGCGCGGCTGTTGCAGCACTCGTCAAAAAGTTCATATGCGTGCCGCCCTGAATAGATCCAACACCAACTCATCTGTGAAATTGCTAATTTTTTCAAAATCTCTGGAGCAAATTTTTTGTTTGCTCTGTACGTGAAATATTTCATTGATATGCTCAGTTGCGTTAGGAAATTTTTGATAAATGATTATTATTTCTTGTTGTTAGTTCATTGCAGCCAGTGCAATATTAAGAATTACGAGCATTACTTATACGGTTGAATTAAGCCATGCTTTTGAAATGCTTCCTTTAACTTCTTTCGCTTTTTGCGCGTGTGATTAAATGTATTTCCCCATTTAATTAAGATATTAGAAGTATGTTCTTGATATATTTTGTCTTTCCTTGGAGTTATTTTCTTCTGGTTATTTTGTTCACTTCACCGATTCTCTAGGTTAAGGTCGGAACTCTAGCATCCTTCAGTTTCGATCTTACTTTAATTTAGGCCGGCGTGACTTAAAATTTTCTTCAGTGTACACTTATTCCTTGCCTTTTCTTCTGGTTGTAATAGGCGCATGGTGTTATAATGCATTTTTCCAAAAAATGCAGCATATAATTAGTACGACTGTTATTCTCACAGTTGTTTGTTTACGCATACTATGCGAGCGCAGTGACCACAGTCTTAGCTTGTTTTTCGTTTGACTTTGTCTATGTATGAATACTTATGGATAGTTTGATATTTATTTTCAAGTTAAGCTTAGGAGCTAAAGGAACATGAGTTTTTTGTTAATTTTAGTTGATTTATTTTCATTTTACGCAAGTCGTGTCTACATCATGCCAGTGTTATGACCTATTAATGCTTTAATAGATTAACATTGGAGCCCAGTTCACGAAAGGTATCAGTTTATTGCAGAATTTTTGTATTAATGACGAAATGAGCATGTACCTATTCTCCTATTTCTTTGCATCTCAATTATACTGCCTATTCTGTATGAATATTCTTCATTCTGATCTATACAGGAACTTATTGGATGACATATCAAGTGTTTGTTTTTGATTCACATCTACAGCGGTTTTCTAAAACTTAATCTTTAATCAAATTTGCCTAAATTTCTTTTAGTCCTAATACGATTCTTCATTTACTTTCAATAATTGAAAATACCTTTTTTTCTGTCCATATGTTGCTGGTGAGAACCAAGTAACGTGATCGTTACCTTGAGCAAATGCATGATTCTATTATCGTCATTATATATTGCTTGTCAAAATATAAACGTGAGTCATTTGCCTTAATATATCTAGCCAATGTAATTATATTAGTACAATTTGATCAGGTAAACTTTACTCGAATTCAATCTCAATGTGACAACAAGTATTATTACCAAGACACACGATCACCATTTCTATTCTAAAGCGTACTTCTTAAAGATCTATAAATTGTAGTCCTTCATATATCTTTTAATGAAAACGTTGAATATATTTTCATTATCATAAGTTGAGTTATACTACATCACATAATTATTTCAACATCCGTAGATTATTTAGGAATCCCAAGCATACAGACTATAAAGTTTTCTAATTATTTCCTCGTGCACTTATCAATACTTGTAATTAACTTTAAGGGGAAGGGTATGAAAGGCGCATATTTGCTAACCCAGTACCGAACACTCTGTAAAATTGGCTCCAATAAGTAAAATAAAAATTTGGAACAAACATGAACACCATAATGATTTAGAAATAGGGGTACCTACATTTGGCCGTGCTTACAGCATGCTAGCAAACGTCCCGAAAGGATTGAAAATAGTTCGCATTTGAAACCATACAGCACCGAAGTTGCCAGCGTGAGATTGCGTTCCTTCAATTCGATTGATAAATGTACCTAATACTAAAGGCATGACATAGCGAAGCAAATCTTGCATAAGCAGCCTTCGGGTAACGCAGGTCTACAGATATCAAACACTTCAAGTTTATTTTTCATGCAAAATGAGACACATATACAACCATTCATACGGTTCATCTTGTCAATAATTGCATTATCCTTACGAAGACTGGGAAGCATGAGAATAATTCTTGCAGAGAGAAGGCGAACTGGAGCACGACGAGCAGCAGGTACACGAGGGACTCCCGTTCTCGACAACTGGATTTGATGTTTCATGACAAGAACAAGTCGAATTAGTCCCATCCTTAGCATGAGCAGAACCTTCTCCACGTACATTTGCAGAAGAATTTTTACCGACTATCTTTTTCTTCCTCGCGCCTCTCGCTTGAACTCCTACCAATTTATCAGAGTCTTTGCTGGGTTCTTCTCGCTTTTGGTCATTGAGATGTTCTTTGGAAAATAATTCAGGATTCATTAAGCTTGCCGAAAGCGTAGCAGGGACATCGGCGCCTTGCACGGTGTATCGGCCTAACGTCAAAGACTGGAAGAAATGGTCAACTTGAGAAGGCTCTTTGAACACGTCCACTATCATCTTCTCTATGTTGCGCATGATCACAACTTCTTGGCGTGGCAGTAACGGGTAGGAAATGTTGTCAGCGGGAGGTGCCTGTGAAATCAGTCAAATGAAGGTAAATCCGAGAAAAATAAATAAGCTTTGTTCTTAGGTCGAACACAATCGCCGATGTCAACGATAAGTCCGCTGTCTGCAATAGTTGGCAGCCAATTGATGACCAGTGAGGCATACACTAACAAAAGCTGTATTATAATTAAAAAGATATAGGTACAGTAAATTTCATGCAATTTCAGAATATACTGGTTTACAATACCAATTCAATTACTAGCTTTGACATACCCATTGCATAAAAGTCAGATGCTAGTATTAATCGCTCACCTTGTACCAGAAGTTGAGAGAGACAGTGTATGGGTGAGTGTTGAGGGACTCCACTTGATGCCACCAATAAATGGGAATATAAAGCACGTCACCCGGCCCCACGATTGCTTCATGACCATGTAAATGGCGCAACCCAGGGTAAAGGGAGAAGTTGGGCTTTGAAAGGTCCACCTGTGAAGTGTGTGAGAGGAAGTTATGCTTTGAGAATAAATTTAATGTAATTCAGAGATGATGATAGAAAATAACCAGCTCAGTATAAATAGCAATATGGAAAATATAAAAAAAAATAATCGAATTAAATGTATGAATGGAATGGTCATTGATTTGATGTTCCAAATAACAGCCAGTGTGACTAACAATCAAGCTTAAGAGAATAATGAGGAAAATCTTACAATGAGAAAAAAAAATTGTAAGCATTGTTAGAAATTGTTTCAAGATTAGGTATCTAAACATTGTAATTCACCACATAAAAACTCCAATATTTACTTAGACTACCTGATAAAACATAACGCAATGATACCAATACTATTACAGAGAGATGCAGTAAAACCAGACAAAGACTTGCAGGCTTACTTGACTTTGCCTGTCATGCGGGTGGTATACTGGATGAGGATAAAGGCGATTATGGTGCTCTGGGGAGAACAACGTAACTTTCTTCTGACCAATCAACTGGCAAAATAGATTTTGCTGCTCATCATAGTGCACGGGAGTTAAGCCACCTAGGATAAAGAAATAATATTTGATTCAGCTGATTAGTGTGTGCTAAAAGATGAATCTCCATAGTTGCAAGTGATTCATGTAAATTGAAAAGAACATAAATATCTGTGCTAATGGACAGATGTTTTAAACAGAAATTAAAACAAGAATAAATTTAGAGGCAATCACTCCACAGGTACTAACCTTTTGCAGCAATAAGCAGCAAATTAGAGGTTAAAGCTCCCCAGTTCACTAGCTTCTGTAAATTTGTCAGCCAAAGCCAATTGAATGACACAAAATCAGCTGCCACTTTAGGTCCTACTGTGCTGGATAGACTTTGTTGCAGGTACAACCTGGAAATATTTTTTTTTCAGTAGTGGACTTAAAATGGCAATAATAAATATTCAACAGTTTAAATTTAAGAGCATTATCAAATTGCTAAATTGTAGAAATAATGCACTTTGCTTGTGTAATAACAATGATATGTCATTAAAGTCAGTTGATAATTCTATAAAATATAGGTGCCATATATACAGTTGAATGAGTCATTACATATAAGCATAACAAAAATTGCATATTATTTTGTGAAAAAATTCCTAGAACAAATAAAAGCTAAATGTAAGAAAAAAAACACAAGGCAAGAGATAAGTCATCATTTTAAAAACTGAAACAAAAAATTTGAGTGAAAAATAAATATTAGAGTTCTTAGGTTTTATAATTTGCATCCAAATTTACTTTTTTTCTCCAGGTTTCCAGTTATTAAATCTCTGGTAGAATTCTTTGAAAGTCATTGCTAGCTTTTCAGTAGGCCTTTCAAACTGAGGACAGAATTTAATTTTTTGGTCATCATAATATTTGAAGACATTTGAGCATGATGCAAACACAACATGTTCTGCATCACCAATATGCTCTAGAAGATATTTGAGGTCCCACTTGAGAGCAGGCTCACATATATGTGCATGTGTGAGAACAACTGGTTTCTGAAAAAAAAAGAATGGACATAATAAAGGTTACGGTATGCTTAGAGAGACACATACAGAGAATATTACTTTAGTATTTTAAAGAAAAAATTTCTTGAGCAAGAGCAATCTTGATATTTTATTCCAAAAAAGTGGCACATTCCAATCCTGGGCCAACATGAAAATGAAAACTTTCAAGCTCAACTGCAATTAAGTAATCAATTCTGCTTTTGACTTAAGAGTGTAGCAACAATCTTTACAAGAGACAGATAATTTCAACTACTAGACACAAATTAGAAAGTTGAAACAAAATAATAGAAATCATAGGCAGGAAAATGCTTCAAAATTCACAGGTCTAGTGATCACAGTAAACAAAACTATATGATGGAAATACTTCAATTCCATAATGAAATATCAGTTTGCTCAAGACCAAATGGCATCAGCTTACATGTAGGATATTGTGAATTCAGTCATGTTGTGATGTCACAGTCATTCCTTCACCACAAAGAAGAATATTAACACGTTAACTGCCACATGTACCACCAGTGGCACAAAACAAGCTTTCAATGAACGCCCTATGCTGGCAGCTAACGCATTAATAATAGAGTTTTCTTTTTAAAAACCTTTTGCAAAAAATAAATTCAAAAAGGCAATAAAACCTAACAAGGCTGCCTAATTTCACATAATTTTACCTGGTGTGGCTTACAGTGGCACCTACTTTCCATGTGGTCAATAAGGGACTAAATATAACATCATTGGCAAAATATTTCAATGATGACAATCTTTGTGCCACTGAGATCTTGGAATATTTGCTCTCACACAGCATCATGGCTAGTTCACAGAACTAAGATGAACAAAACTAGGAGGAATTGTAGGAACAGTGGTCCACGAGATGATGCATGTACCGTCAACAAGGGCTACTCGGGACGATTTTAAATGTTTATCATTCATAACTTCTTACCATGAAACATTTCATAAACAAGTTTAGGATCAGTTCAAAGCTCTTTGCAAGGGCTATCACATGGCTTCTCCAAAAAAAATTCCATATGCTATTTGTAAGGTGCCAGAAGCAAAAGAAAAAGTGTCCCAAGTAGCCCCGTCGAACGGGGCTACTCGGGACACTTGGAGTAAAACTTAATTTTGAAACATTCAAAGCATGCAGAGTGTACTCATCCATTACTAACAGTCCTCTGAAGTCCTCTTCTTTCATTGTAGATGATGTAGAGGTAAAATAAATGAGATTTTCTGTGATTTTTACTTGTTTTTTCTTTATTGATATGATATTACCATATACATTAAGATGCAATATTACCATATCCATGAACAGGCCATTGAGCATTTTAACTACCTTGTCCACTGCAAGCTTCATATCAACAGCTTTATAGCATTTTTTCTGTATCTGTAAGCTTACAGGACGGCTTGTAATTTCACACCATTTTAATTGGGTTAAGTGAATTTACTATAAAAAAAAGATTGTGAAAAACATACCTGAAACAGAAAGGAATTTTTTAGTGACAACCATTATATGTTTTGCAGAAATAAATCATAGTTTAGGTCAATTACTTTTCATTCTATGATGCCTGGTGCACAATTCTATATATGACATTCTATGCACAATTTTGTGATGACCGATGATGCACTAATTTTTCGATAAGTGAAATTTTTTTGCCAAGCAAGGTAAATGTAATCAATATTCTTTGTTTTTATTTAATTTTTTTCTTAACTGGAGCCTTTGCTTACTGAGGTTCTACTGTAAATGTGTTTTTGGGGGTGTCCCGAATAGCCCCTGGGGGGTGTCCCAAGTAGCCCCGCTGTGTGGAAATGGCTGCCATTTTTTTTTTGGATTGAGGTATGTAAATTCTGCAAATAAAGTTTACAAGCCAACACCTGGGTGCAACTTTTATGTAGGTAAAATTTTTTAATTCGGCAAATATTTTATTTACTACAGACCTTAGCAGAAGTAATTTTTCAAAATAGCATTTTTTGCCATTTTTCAGGAATTTTTCAAAGCTAGTATATGTAGTATTTTTTTGAGTTCCTTTATACTACATAGAAAGGAAAAATGTTGATGTTTACACCACTATATTTAGTTTTGCAATATTCCAATTAGTTTTGCTACTAAAATAGTTTTACACCATGTCGGAGGACTGTCCCGAGTTACCCCGCCAGTCCTGAGTAGCCCCGGTTGACGGTACCGCAGAATCTTACTTCCATTTTGACGCATAGTAATACACTTAACTATTAATATATAGTACTACCGTCAAAGGTGGTAATAAGGGACGGTTTTGAGCGTTTTCTGTTAATAACTTCTCACCATGAAACATTTCATAAACAAGTTTGGATTCATTTTAAAGGTCTTTGCAAGGGCTATCGTAAGGCATCTCCAAAAAAATTCCATATGCCATTTGTAAGGTGCTAGACGCAATATAAAAGCCTCCCAAATTAACCTGGGAATCATGCTTCAAAAGGTTTGAATCATGCTTCAAAAGGTTTGAATCATGCAGAGTGTACTTACTTATCCATTACTAACAGTACTCTGAAGTATTCCTCTACCTTTGTAGATGATATAAATGTGGATATGTGTCTTTATTGATATGATATTACCTTATCCATACATAACTGTATTATTGAGGTGATATTACCATATCCATGGACATGCCATTGAGCATTGACAATGACCTTGTCTACTGCAAGCTTCATATTAGTAGCCATATAGCATTTCTTCTGTATCTTTATGCTTACAGGACGGCTTGTAATTTTGCAAAATTTTAATTGAGTCACGAGATTTCATTACAACAGAAAATATCACAAAACACACACCTGAAACAGAAAGGAATGTTTTAGTGACAACCATCATATTTTTTGGAGAAATGAATCACAGTTTAGGTTGATTATTTTTCATTATTTGTTGTCCAGTGCTCAATTCTATCTATGACATTCTATGCACAATTTTGTGACAACTGATGATGCATCAATTTTTTGTTAAGTGAAATATTTTTCACTGAGCAATGTAAATGACTAAATGTAATCAAAATTCTGTCAAAGTTGATAGTTGACCTTGTTCTACCATATAGTGATAAACTGTTTGTGTAGAAAGAATATTATGGTTTGAGACTCTTAAATAAGTCTGTGCATTTATTAGGAATCCTTCATGTATACTTGTATTTGCTGATTTGAAGTGGTAAATAAATTAATAGATGATCAAGTTGAGCAACGGCCAACGGTTTTAGACACATAAAAACTAATTCCGACACAGCTTGGAATCAGACACACACAGCTTGTTCCGAGCTGTGTCCAAATATTAAAATTTCCTTGATTAAAAGCTTAATGGACCAGTAGTTAGAGTTCAGAGAACCAAGATTGATGCACTAGAGAGGCGCGGGTTCAATCCCAGCTCTGTGCGACAGTTTCTGGTCAGAATCCGCAAGGAGGCTGGGCAGTTAAGCACAGCAGAATTGTAGCAGTGAGTTGAGAGTTCAAGACCTCAAAATGCTGTGAATGTTCTGTGATGTTGAGAATTGGCGACAGGCCTACGGCCTACTAAATGCTGAAACCGCTATTATTATCATTATTAAACCACTATAATACCTCTTAATTAAAAGCTTAATTATAAAATTGAAATTTATTTAATTAAGCTCCTTCCAAGCTGTGTCAAATTCCGATACAGCTCACACAGGGCTTTGGAATTCCAATACAGGGCGCCGGAATTACAAATTTAATAGAGTTTGAAGTGCTGCCAGAATTAGTCTCACAATATGCCAAATTTAGTCACACACAGCGTCAGAATTCAGGGATTTTGTAGGTTTGAATTCTAAAGGCTTTTAAATAAATATGGCAACAGTTTGTGATGTTTCATTGTTGCTGGCACGTAGTGTGGGGTTTTGAGAGTGATGTAAAGCAACCAGAACTTGAGTTGTGCATACGGTTATATTTTAATAGCCGTTCATTTCTTGCTACGTCCTTAATGTGTTGGAATATACCTCATTTACCCTACAACATTTCTACAAAATGTTGGAGTACTGTCCCTTTTTACCCCACCCAAGCATGGAATATATCTTTTTGGCAAGCCGCGACTGAATTTTTTGAGCCATGGTTTAATGGATTTGTCAGCCGTGATTCTATTTCTTCAAGCCGTGATTCCATTTCACTGAGCTGTGATTCCATTTCACTGAGCTGTGATTCCATTTCACTGAGCTGTGAATTCCATATCTAGGCCATGAAAAGCCATTTGCAAGGTGCAAATTTATTTACAAAGTCCATGCACATGTTACCCCAAAACTCTAATTTTACCCTAAAACAGTCAAACAGCAGCAATATAATTTGTTTTTACTGTAAGTTGAACACGTGTTAATGCAGTCTGACGCTCTGACCGCTTTGATGTGACCACAACTATGCCGTCTATGCGCAATCTTCAACAAAACGTTTAGTTGTTTTGTTTACATTATGATGTTTACGTTTTTTCTGACGGATATTTTGGAGGGAAGGGTGCAGAAAGGGAAGGTTGCAGAAGTTGAAAATTTTATGAAATGACAGGTTTGTGAACTAGTGAAGTGCAAACTGCAATTTTTCAATCAAACAAAAATTTATGACATTCGAGCTGCAAGATTTCATACCTACTGAAATTATATGATATTAGAGCCATGATATTTCAGACAAAAATAGGACTTTTCCAGCCCTGACCCCACCTGTCCCTTTTTACCCCATTTGAC